ATTTGTTCATAGACTATCCCAGCCGCCCTAAGGCAGCTATGCAGCGTCCGTCTATAAGTATAGGTGTCCCCGCCCTTACTTTCAGACACCAAGCCGTCCCTGCCAGAACTACTTCCTTCTTCCGCCCTGGCTGGTCGTCAGGGCTTACATGGTTTCTATAAGCGCATTGAGCACTCCTGGCGCTTATTAAACACCGGGAAATCTCGAGGTCCGGGATAGAAACCTAACACCTAGAGTCTATTCCTGTGTTAATTTAGGAGTATAGGGAGAGACTAAATACTACATTTTACTACAATAGCAGCTATAGAGCTATTGTGCGTCACAAATTGTGGAGGCTTTTAATATATAAACTCGCGGGAGACACTTCTCTTTCGTTGCATAAATCAAAAACTTAGTATCCTAGAAGCACACATACATTCCCAGGAAAGCATATAGCTAGTTCCTAGATTCTTATCAGCTCTTAGGAAAGCAAACTGTATTCCTGCAACATACAACCCACACCCCTGGGGACCTGTTCATCGATTCTGGGAGCTTTCGAAGCTATTCATCTCCGAATCACAAGTTTCTTACGACGCACCAATCAACCTCTAGTTAGTTAACTCTATCATTAACAGGATAGAGAAAGACGGAGCAGTATAAATATCCTTTTTTTCTTTCGTTTATTAGCGTTTGTCTATAAGTAGAATTATTCTGAAACAAAGCGGTCGCCTTAGGTAGCTACTCTAGTGCCAGAGAAATACCTTCGAAGCTACTCATCCACACCAGTCTACGTATCTCGAGGAAAAATATTAAAAACAGCGGATCTATAGATAGTATAGCATACGTTAGTGTTCTAACAAAGGAGTATGTTTGGCAATTCATAGCGTTTCAAGGGCCCAGAATACTCTGGAGCTACGAAGTAGTATCGTAAAAGACGTACGACGGAAATTCTATAAGAAAACGGCTATTAAATATTATAGAACCGAAGTCGAGGATCAATAGTACCCAGACTTATTATAAAACCTATATAACACCCTACAGCGCGGGAAGGAGGCTTTAGACTCTGCCTCCGTAATTTCCCTATCCATAAGATATAGTGGGCCTAGCGGAGCCTTTCGCTTCTCCGAATAGGCGATTTTGCACTTCTCCGAGGAGATAACGTACCTCTCACTTACCAGTTCGTACAGGATGGTTTTCCTTACCTGAAGGAGATTGAGATTGGTTAGAAGATTTCCTAAAGTATCTGGTTTTGAGAGCACCTAGGGTCCTTACCGGGAAGGAATCGTGAATACAATTCTAGAAATAGGTCTATCCACCTTATACTAGCTAAGGTTAATATTATTAAAAGTTAGCTAAGGAAATACAATTCTATAGTACTTTCTCATCTCGCAACTTAAACAGCCGGCAGTCATCTTCGATAGTCCACTTAGTCCGCTTAATAGATAGCCGTAACCGCATAGCCATACCTTCTCGAGGGGAAGTATCGATTAAGATGGTACCTATTGTAATAATACCGTATGTATGTTGTAGGGTTTTTGTTGCAAGTTGAAGCACTGCAAGGTCCTCTGTAACAAGACCGCCTAAATCCGCGTGCCCATCAGAAAATACGACATCGGCGCTTACCATAATGTAAGCGTGCGTTAGAGATACGAGGGCATTCCTAAGAGTTACGAGCTTGCTAGCTAAACAAGTCCCTATAATTTAAGATAACGATTCACTGCCTTTAAGTTAAGCCTAAGCTCCTCGTCTCTGTAGCGACTCGTTCACGTCCAAAATCCCCCGAGTCCTATAGCGGGACTTTGATGACAAAAAGGACGGATCTTCCAGCGGTCGTTTCCTCGTATTTAAAGTAGAGTATTCGTAGCAATCCCTGTCGCTTTTTATACTCTGATCGTCGTCGAAGACATCAAAAATTCTCGTTGTTCCTAGGCCCGCTAGACCTATCACGGAGGGAGTATTACTACCTTAGGAGGTAGAATGTAGTGCAACATCATCAGGGTACGCGGGATAGTATCCAGTAGCTGATAATCTATCATCAAGAGGTATATTAGGCGAATAAGATCGAGAATGCTCGCCGGGTCCAGACACTGGGTAATCCGTATTAGTCTTAAACATCATAGAGACCCTATACTTAGAGTATTGTTTACTAGAGAGCTCTGTACTGGATTGTTCTTGCAGACCATAACTGTCCAGAACGTAGCCTTGCTCGTCAGTTCTTTCTCTCTATGTCCCTAACACTATCTAGATAGGTTGCTCTTCTGTGTCGGTCAAGGACTGTCTCATAGAATCTTCTGGCACCGGCTGCCAAAATCTCTGATGGTTTAGTGTTACTGTTACGACACGTGCCCAGGCGCACTAGCCAAACAAGCCAAAAAGACCAAATATGCTAGAACGCTATGTTCTAGCATGCCTGGGAGTCCCAGGAACACCACGAGGCAACAGCGCGGTTACAGTCACATGATGAGAACTGGTAGATGTGGGCAATGTGCAAGGCAAACAGGTTGCTCAGGGAGATGCTCAGGAGTAGCTCGGGAGGAGCTCAGGGTCAACTCACGAGCAAGCTCGGAAGTGCTAGGGAGCAGCTTAGGGCGGCGGGATGACTAACCCCTTCTGTGCTCCGGGAGCCAATTGTTTCCAGAAGCGGTAGCCTTACCGTCACCGATATTACATTGAAAAAGTACTTTATAGGAACGAAGACCCGGGTCAATATCTGATATATCCATATACTTCATCCACTGTATTATAGGGGAAATTGCCTTTTCTAAAAATGGCACTCTATCAAGTAGCTACTTAAAGTCGACATTCCTTCCACATCAGCATTTCCACATTCTATTTTGTATAATCTCATAATATAATTTTATGTTTCCTACAAATTCACTGTCGCTCTCCTTAAATATGAATTTCTGTTAAAGTTATGATATCCAAGGTTGGTTCCTCGTAAAGTGTGAGATTTATTAGTAACTATAGGAGTAGGGGAGTAATAAATTACATAGCGAATCCCAGTTCGTCCTATCAGCAGACCGATATATCCCAGCGTAGTAAAGGAATATTTCCATATAGTTATATCTATAGTCGGTGTTCGATTCCAGGACCCTTATGAAGTCGCTCCAGTAAGTCGGTATAAACTCTAGATAGTATATCTAGATAGAAAAAGTTCAGGGCAATATTGGTAGGATTCCATCGTTTCTCAGTCCCGTTCGATACTTGATCAACAATGCGGCCTCGACCACCACAGGAATTGAAAACCAGAGAGACGGAGTAATCGCTGAAAAATCGATCTCGCAGCAACGGCCGAAGACTATATTGATAATTTCCTCGACCATGGGAGGTCGAAGAATCTCGCTTAGAAAGTGGTAAGCTAACTCCGTATGAATAAAGAGCCGCTTTTAGTCCTTACAACCGACAAATTCGATAAGACCAGACTATATAAAGCTAAACGAACATCAGCAGGGAGAATCTGTATAATGTGAAAGAGGAAGACCGTATTGTACCTGTGGTATTAAAGATCCATTTCATGAAGATAATACGAATGTTCGTTTCACTGGTCTAAGGATGGTAATTTGATTCTTAGGTGCCGCTAGAAGGGAGACGAGGTAGACATTAAAGGTTAAAATTACTTATTAATATATTGGGGGCTTTACCTCATAAGGATAGACTAATGAAGAGTGAGAAGAGTTGAAACTCTCCATTATTGTAGGTGGTGCATTTATATCAAGCTCACTCAGTGCTGACGTAGCTATCCAGGGAGAGAAGGAAAATTAGTGAACTTTTATGATAAGGACTTGGAAGGAGAGATAGAACCGCTTTTATCTAGCGCCTTATTAGCCCGAAGTCGAAGGCTAGAAGGACGGGCAACTTATCGAAAGCTAGTAATAGTTCTAATACCTTTAACCTAGGGATGGAAAGTTAAGTACGGTAAACATCGGTCGAAATCCCTATTCCTTGTAAGGTTCGCTTAGTCTGTCGAAAAAAAAGTGTATGTCTTCTAGAGCTGGATTAAGTAGTAATGGAAGCTCATTACAGCTATCCTGTAAGCAAGGAAGCCGTTCTGCGAATGTCAGGATTTCCTCTGCTTCAACTCTCTTAAAAGCACGGTCTGTGAAACCTAGCCCTAGCAAGAAGATATGGGAACGGGGAATAAGCCGAGGGTTAAAGATTTATATCGAATATTTTGAGATTGAAAATTAGATGAGTTTCTCGAATTGCCTATTAAATACCTGTTTAGGTCGCCCTTCAATGTATGAACCTCAGGATGTGATTCAACGATTCAACGTTTCAATAGTGTCCAGAATTTCACTTACAATTTCAATCCCTATATGAGTCAGAACGAACACCAGGTTGTAACTAACGCCGATTCCAGTAGTGGGGCACTAATGGTTTCGACCGAACTCACAAAATCACCTCTTCAGCCAGACAGACTAGAGAGATATTGCGGGAACTATGTGGAAAGAAAAGATGAAAGAATGTATCTGGCTAGATCATTACTCCAGCGGCCAGATTCATACTACTAGAAGTTTTCGAAAATGACACTGAGTGTACAGCGTGTGTCCAATTATCCAATCACAACGATTGGTATTCGCCTTACCCGCCGGACCCTCGGCCGATCATTTCTTCCCTCTCTCGAGCGCTCCTCTCCTCCCCCACAAAACCCAGAAACCATAAAACCACCACCAACCCTCTCGGTCTTGCCGCAACCATCGTCTTGAAACCCACCCCGGTCCTTCTTCTAGGCTGAATAAACCTCCACCATGTCGTTCTCGAACTTGGTGTCTGACATCGCCTTCAGAGACACTAACCCGGACGATCGTGCCTCGCAGATCTCGCATGCTCAATCCCGCACTGCCCGATCCTACACCAGTACCACTGCGACCAGCGTGAGCATTTCAGGGGATATCTCTAGCCAGCTACATGCCGGATACAGTCACCCTCTGAGTAGGTCATGGCAGGCAGAGAGGCAATTGACCAAGGTACCACCACCCCACTTCTTCTTCGTCACCATCGGAACTGACATTTCGGTCACATCTAGGATATGCTCATCTACCCACTCTTTATCACGGATAATCCCGATGAGGAGACCCCGATTCCATCTCTACCAAATCAGTACCGTCGTGGTGTCAATCGTCTGGTGCCTTTCCTGGCCCCATTGGTTCGGAAGGGTCTACGCTCGGTAATCCTCTTTGGAGTCCCCCTCCACCCCTCGGCCAAGGATGCGCTAGGAACCGCAGCCGATGACCCGGCGGGCCCAGTTATCCAAGCCATTCGCCTTCTCCGATCTCGATTCCCTCAGCTCTATATAACAACCGACGTCTGCCTTTGTGAGTACACGTCACATGGTCACTGTGGTATTCTCCGGGAAGACGGGACCCTCGATAATACACAGTCGGTGGATCGAATTTCCGATGTCGCGCTAGCTTATGCCGTTGCTGGGGCTCACTGTGTTGCCCCGTCGGATATGAACGATGGACGAGTACGCGCTATCAAGCTTAAACTGATCGAGGCTGGGATCGCCCATCGCGTGCTACTGATGTCCTATAGCGCTAAATTCAGCGGCTGTCTATACGGCCCCTTCCGCGATGCAGCTGGCTCCTGTCCATCATTTGGAGACCGCCGTTGCTACCAGCTTCCTCCCGGTGGCCGTGGTCTTGCCCGACGTGCGATCCAAAGAGATATCGCGGAGGGTGCCGACATTATTATGGTGAAGCCTGCGAGTAGCTATCTAGATATCATTCGTGATGCCAAGGAATTGGCGCAGGATATGCCGGTCGCAGCCTACCAGGTTAGTGGTGAATTTGCAATGATCCACGCCGGAGCGAAGGCCGGAGTCTTTGACTTGAAAGCGATGGCCTTTGAGAGCACAGAGGGAATATTGCGAGCAGGTGCAGGCATAGTTCTGACCTACTTTGCTCCGGAATTCCTGGACTGGCTGTGACCCGGACTCTGAACAGGCAGGAAAAGAAGAGGGGTCATAGATGCCCAGCGTGAGCGTGATCTGTTGTATATCGCCTACCCCACGACTGAAAAGAGGAGGGACAAGGCAGCTCCGAGTCGAGACTTTCGGCCACCAATCACTCCACTCCAGAAACAAATAGATACCCATAATTTGGACGGAATCAAATCATTGTATGTCATCGTCATCATTCAATTTTTGCCTCATATACTACCTACTCCTCCGGAAGCCCGATCATCGCCTGGCCTCGCCTTCTCTCTCAGCCAGCCGGACCTACATCAAGACCCATGATTGGACACATAGTGTAATCAAACTCTCACAGTTAATATTTTATGACCATGCAAAAGTCATGATCGGAGATCGTTCATACTTAATGATTATCTATATACCGCATTAATCACAAGCCCAGATCGCTATAATAGTCAAGACATGATGGCATCAAAAAAATAGACAGAAGGGTTGAAAGATATCACAGCGAAAAAGAGATGCGGTAGATCCACATAATTGTACTCCCGAAGCTATTGACTCGAGTCAAATGCTGCGATCGTCCGTCCATTTCACCACCAGGGCCTGATTTTTTCAGGCAAAAAACAAAGATGAGGGCTGAGGTGGCGTCCACAAGAGAGCCCAAAGAAAAGAGGAAGTAGGGGACTCAAATCTAGACAAGAGGGGGTATTCACATATAACTGGGCTTGTATCCTTGGAACCCATAAGCAACGATGTCAGTCTTCACAACCTCGCCAGGCGCGACATAGGCACCTCGATGTAGATGCACTCCGGGATAAATGGTGCAGCCCGCACCCAGATAACAGTCCTCCTCGATGATGACGGGCCGGCCTTGATAGCGACTCTGGGACCCTTTACGCTCCTGCATACTGGAGTGGGCCATCGAGCTAAGCAAGGTGACGTTTGGGCCAATCCAACTATGTGCACCGATACTGATGCCGCAGTCGTCGACAAACAAGCAATTCTGATGTATCATCACATCTTCTCCAATTTGGATGTTATATCCGTAATGGCAGTTGAAGGGGGATTCCACGACTGCACCCTGTCCAATGGAACCCGCGGAAGTAGGCGCCGCAACCCCGGAGGGAGAATTGGCGACGGAACCCAAAGGAGGAACGAGGATTTCCTTGAGGAGACGGTTCTGCTCCTTCGAGCTTAATCCGTAGTGCGGATTGCAAGCATTATTGAAACGCCACAGTGCGCGCTTGCATCGATCTCTCTCTTCCACCAGTTGCAGATCGAAAGGCCGGTACAGTTCGCCGCGGATCATTTTGTCCTTTTCCGTTTCTTCCACGTTGATTGTACGGGATGATAGTTGATGCTCAATCTTGAGCGCCATCCGTGCCTGCGTCTGTGGACTACTGGTGTCCATCGCGGATGTTGGCATCGGGGGCGGAGCGGGGGCGGGGGCAGGCGCCGGAGGCATGGGCCGTTGCTGCTCAGCGGTTGTCCCATGATACAGAGGTAAACCATTGGGCTTCGGCGGCGGCGGCGGCGGCGGTGGTGGTGCATGAGAGAATTCCCGAATGGGAGGAACCATGGGGTAGTCCGGCTTCGGATGTGACTCTCGAGGAGGAAGCTCGTGAATGGGGGCCACATCTCGATAATCGGGTTTAGCCAGATGGTCCGGGGGTGCGTACCCCGAATGGCCGGCGCCTGACCAAGTGCGTTTTGACCATGATGAGGACGATGATGATGACGAGGCCGTATGGTTAGGTGCTGGATTGTTGGACGGACTCGTAGTATATGGTTGGGTGACACGTTCATTGTCCTCTCCCAATGGTCTCATTTTCCGCGATTCCATATGATCGGGCATTCCCGCAGGTGGGCGGTCATGATGAGCAATTGGTTCTGGAAGATATTGACCGCTCATTTCTGGATAACCTTCCTTGGACTGCAACGGAACGGGTGGTTTCGTTGTCGAAGGTTTCTGCCAGGTACTTCGTGAGGTGTATCCTTCGCACAAGAACCCGCCACGAATACAATTATTGCCTGGAATGATGATCAAGTTAGTCGGACACATTCTCCTTCCGAGAACCATTATTGGTGCGAATACTAAAGACTGTGAATCCGGGCATGGATGAGGCCAGAACATAACGACGTGGTAAAGGAACAGGGGACGGCAGAGAAAGAGAGAGTAAGGGAGGGAGAGAAAGGCATCATGTCGACTCACACGCAGGGTGTTGCTCATCGCATTTCTTCTTTCGGCGGCGACAGGTCATACATCCTGTCTTGGTGCGGTTGCTGAAGACACGCTTTCGCTTAGGTGCGACTTGAACAGCCCCGGCAGCACGCTCAGAGACATAGGTCGGGGATGAGGCTGGCTGCATATTGGGGCCCGGTGGAACGGAGCGATCACTGCCCCCATTGCGGGAGTGTTCCTGGCCTTGAGCCTCTCGCTGGAGGGCATCTGCCAAGTGTGCGTCAGAGGGATCAATCTGTTGCGCCCGTTGGGCCTGATTGACCAAATGGGTGTCATAATCGGGCCAAGGGCCCGCGGATGGGGGCTGTGACGTCTCATTCGTGTCCGATCGGTGGCCCGAGGCGGCGACCGGATTGATCGAGTCCATGTCGGAGGAGACCGATCCGGGCCCGGCCCCATTGGCATGGAGAGGAGACAGTTCCTCCGAGTGGCCGATCGAGCCGCGACCGACATGGTGATGATGGTGATGATGGTGGTGGTGGTGATAGCCAGGCTCTGATTGCTGCCGGGCTCCCTGGTCCCCCGACCCCGACCCCGATCGCTTTCGCTTGTGCTTGTTGGATCCAGACGGTGAGGATCGTTGCGAGTCGTCGTGGTGATCGCCTCGGGTTTCCAAGCTGTCGCGCGATGGTTCCGCATTGTCGCCTGAAGGCGCCGCTGGCGCTGGCGCTGCCGCGGCGACTCTGTCCTCTTGATTCATCGGCGTGCCAGGAACCGTAGTCGGTCCGTGGGGATTTGACGCGACCGAGTCTCTACCATTGACCGCGGTAAAGCGAGAGGGGCTATGATCCGTTCGGGGCTCCGTCCCAGAGTCATGGTTACTCATCACGGGAGCGGTTGCGACAGCCGTCATGGTTCTGGGGGAAACGTGGGCGGGTAATCCCCACGAGTAGATGGATCCTCACAGAGGACGGAGGGGAATCAACGACAAAGAGGAGCGGGAAGGTGATATAGTGCTTGTGGGGGGGGGTTTCCCTCCCCACCACGATTTGAGTGGATTGGGAAAGAAAAGAACACCCGTAAGGAAAAGGAAAAACGAAGGGAAAAGTGAAACGGGCTTACAACAAGACCTCTCGTCTTGATCAAAGGAGGGGGGTGGGAAATAATACCGGGAGCGGCCCCCAGTCTAAGTCGTCTCAGCCGCAGATTGGGGGGGGGGGGGGAAACTCGGGACGGTGCCTGAGCGAACGACGCAGAGACGCGCGGAAAGTTGCCGAGGCGGATAAAATAACGGAGAGAGAACAATCGGGGAGGAATAAGCCCGGATGAGCAAAAAAGGCCCCGAAAGAGAAGAGAGGAACCGTGTATGCCCTAATGAGAAGGATGGCTTTCTTTGAATTGGGTTTTGGATAGGCGGATATCTTGATTGCTCTTAGGAGAGGAGAGGGAAAGAGGATCGCGGTAACCTCGCCTGGGGGTGGGGCGTTTGGAAGGGAGGGGATGAGAGACGGCCGAGACGGGATCGCGCTTCAATTATGAAGAGTGAGGAAGAGTGAGAGGGAAGAGGAATTGAAAGAGGGGAAAAGAAAGAAAGCGAGAGAGGGAGAAGAGAGGAGAGGGAGGGAAGAAGAAGAAGATGTGATAGGCGTGATGGAAGTGATGTAAGTGATTGGAGTGACTGGAGTGACTAGGGAGGGGGGAGGGGAATGTCAAGAGGGAAAGAGGTCAAGAGAGGTAAAAAGGTAAGAAGAGGGTAAGAATTCATTCAACATGAACCGCGAACCATTAACCATCCGCCATCAGGCCCCCAAGGCCGTCCGTTACAGTTACAGTACTATACGGAGAGAGAAAAGCCAAGTCACGTTCCTTTCGAGGAGTATCGTACGGGGCCATACTTCTTTGATTCCTTCCTTTCTGTCATCTCTTTTTCTTTTTCTCCTTCTCCCCTCCCAAAGACTTGCGCAACCGGGAAAGGGAAACAAAAACAAGGGCGCGAAAAAGAGGAGTTAGCGCGCGATCGGCACGGCCGGCGTCACGGCGGCCGCCAATCGGAAGAGCAAAGCGCGCCCGTCTGGTGAAAGCTGCGCGGGTCTGAGACATCCTCGCTCCTCTCTTGTCGTTTTCCCGACTGGCGACAACCGACTACTAGCGTCAATGGCGTTCCTGCGCCCCCCTCTCTCCCTCGGCCGTCTGGCCTACGGGTTTTCTTGCCCTTTCCTTTCCCCTAACATACCTTCTTCGTCCTTCCCAGAGGCAAAGGTACTCTGCCGCTAGCCCCCTCCCCCTTTGGCCCCGTCCAGACCCCCAGATTCGATGGTCTCGCCCATTTCCCAAGTCTCCCCCCACTTTGCATCCTTGCGCGCGCTCTGGCTCTCTGGCGGTCGCATGCGCCGTCTCGGAGTGGGGCGTGACGCCTACGGTGGCGCCGCGCGGGTTGGGCGGTTATGCATCGCTTATCAGCTGGTCACCTTTTTTTTCCCTCTTCTCTCTGGGGCCTTTGCTTTGCAGTCCCGCGCGCGTCGCCAAATGCCTCCCTCCCGCTGGCTATTGCGCTCCGATGAAAATAAATACGTCATTCTCCTTAAATATCAGTTCACATTTCCGTTTTCATGGACTAATCTAGACGATCCGTCTTGGTTCTAACATCGGATCAAGCGACGAGTGGTGCTCATGACTACCTGGTATGCATTAACATATTTCCTTGGTGTCTCTTGGAAAGATCTCTTGCTGGGTATATTTTACGAGTATCGTGCTCGAAATGTATATCAATGCTAATATTTCAAACATCCTCCCGGTCGCAGATAAAAACCAACGTAGCGCGGGTGAAATTCGTTGATTGGTAGTATATGAGAAGAGCACTAAAGTAATTAAATGACCACTGCTCCCATCTATACTGACATACACCCATCAGGATGAGTAGTAACTTGTGTCTCTATCTAGATCAAGCTTCATCTCGATCGGATCCAAGTGCTGGTTGTGTATTTGGTAAGGGCATTGCTCGGGCTTAGTTCTAGAGCACACGCTCGCCCCACCTGGGCCGAATGCGCGTCACGAGCTATGTCGGAGAGAAACGATAGTCGTTCACAAGGAAAGACTATACGGAGAGCATCGATTTTCCGTCGATCGTAGGCTCACCAGCCCTTCTACCTCGGGCAGGAAAGGTGGTGTATACACATGGAGGAAAGGTAGCACCATACTTTCCCAACACTGACATCGCATAATGTCTATATGTTGTAGATAGGTCACTTGGTAATAGAATCATCATCTAGGTCGCTCTAGCTCGTGATCTTAAGAGACATTTCCTATCACCGTTGTTGTTTTTTGTGTATTCCCCCTCTCTATAGTCAAAAGCTCGAGGTTCTAGTCCACTAAGGTGCCAGCTCCGGCTGACTAAGCTCCCCTCCCAGCTCTCCAGCTCTCGTCAGTTCACTGAACGTCCTCTGCCAAAAAGACGTTGTGTCCAACACTCCCCGACGCGCCTTCACCGCCAGTGTTTAAACCACTTCCAGAACTTTTTCTCTCCCCCCTCTTTCTCCTTCGCCCCCCCACTGGCTGTTGCTCAATCTATCTTCAATCTCGATCTCGGTTCCTTTTTGTGCCACTCCTTCGAGAGAGTTCCTCCTCCCCCTCTTCCCCTCCCGTTTTCTGTTTGGGGGGTTTCCTTGTCTGCGCGGTCAAAGCTCAGGTGTTTTGCTGACCCAAGCCCCTCCAACTCGTTCCCTCTACCTGCCCCACCAGTCACCGAACTACCATCAATCCACTCGGCCTACTCCCCTGGCTTCTTCCTTCATCGTTCGATCTCTGAACCATCGCCCTACCTTGCCACGTTGATTTGGCTTCTGCCTCGGTCAATTCCCTTCCGCTCCCCCGCCTCCTTCTCGGCTCCATCCTTTCATTCCGGCAAGCCTCGGTGACGGCCACTTCGTGACGGCGAAAGCGCCAATCTCTGCGGCGGCATGTCTATTTCTGTACAAGAGCTGGACAACACGGTCCGCGCCTTCTTTGAAGGCAAGGGCGACGTGGTACGTATCCCGACGATCCTCAGTCTTGGCCTTCTCGTGATGGATTTCTTCTTGGGACTCGAAGCTAACAACAACACAGCAAAAGCAAGCCCAGCAGACCTTGACCGAAGTAAGCTCGCCACTATCCCCCCGACTTCCCAGTTTCCCCCTCAATTACGACGACGCGACAAGTGGATTATGGATCGCCGGCTCACAAACCTGTCTTTATAATAGTTCAAGCAAAACCCTGATGCCTGGGTCACCGTGGGCAACATTCTCCAGGAGGCGACATACCCCCAGACCAAATGTGGGTTAACACGAGATACCCTGTCATCCTAGGGCTGCTTGAGTCCAAGGAACCGATTTTTCAGGCGAGGATGAGCTGACGAAGAAATCTAGATATCGCCCTACAAGTTCTCGACGATGTGATTATGACCCGATGGAAGGTCCTACCAAGAGATCAGTGTCAAGGTAACGACTTGCTGCTTCAGCAATACTCCCTTGCCTTTTTTTCCTAGGTTTCGTGGGATCCGGTTTTCTTTCTCCCGCGGGGGAAGAAAAAAATAAGAGTAAATAGAAAGGGAAGAACATTCGCTGACCAACATCTTCCGCTTCTCCTCTCTCTAGGTATTCGAAACTTCATCGTCAACTTCATCATCGAAAACTCCGGATCCGAAGAGAAGCTCCGTACTGAGCGCGCCTTCTTGAACAAACTGAATCTGGTCCTGGTCTCGATCTTGAAGCAAGAATGGCCACACAACTGGCCCACGTTCATCAACGAGATTGTCTCCTCTTGCCACGCCAGTCTTTCCATCTGTGAAAATAACATGGCAATCCTTCGCCTACTTTCGGAGGAGGTCTTTGACTTTTCCCAGGATCAAATGACCTCGGTCAAGGCTCGCAACCTGAAGACCTCCATGACCCAGGAATTCGCCTCCATTTTCCAGCTGTGCTCCGAAGTCCTCAACACCGCCACCCAGCCGAGTCTCGTCAAGGCGACCCTCGAGACTTTGCTTCGCTTCTTGAATTGGATTCCTTTGGGGTACATCTTCGAGACGCCCATCATTAATACCCTCCTGACTCGATTCCTGGACGTTCCCGACTTCCGAAACGTCACCCTCAAGTGTCTCACGGAGATTGGTGGGTTGCAGATTGGCACTCCCTACAACTACGACGAGAGGCTGGTGCACATGTTCACTGAGACCCTGACCACGGTATCGAACGTCATTCCCTTGTCTCTGGACTTGAAGGAGACCTACGCTCGAAGCAATGGACGAGATCAGGAATTTGTCGCCAATCTGGCTCTTTTCCTCTCCAGTTTCTTCAGCGCCCACTTGGATGTACGTGTAGCCATCCGGTCGCTTTTCCTTATCCCTTTGTAGACCCATTTTCCAATTTTGTGCCGATGCTGACCATTCTCTTCTGTCTAGCTCATCGAAAAATTGCCCAACCAAGACTTCCTCACCCATGCCCATTTCTACCTGATTAGGATCAGCCAAATCGAAGATCGCGAGGTGTTCAAGATCTGCTTGGACTATTGGACTCGCCTGGTTCAGGAGCTTTACGAAGAAATGCAGCAACTGCCCATCACCGACATCAACCCCCTCGTGACCATGGGGGTCAGTGGCCTGTCCAACGGCGGCGCGCCACACCCGAGCACTCTTGCCAATTACCCGCTTCGCAAGCATAAATACGAGACTGTGCTGTCAAACTTGCGCACTGTCATGATTGAGAAGATGGTCCGCCCCGAGGAAGTTTTGATCGTTGAGAACGACGAGGGCGAGATTGTGCGCGAATTCGTGAAGGAGAGTGATACCATTCAGCTTTACAAGACCATTCGAGAGTGCTTGGTTTATCTGACCCATTTGGACGTGGTCGACACTGAGACTATCATGATTGACAAGCTCGCGAAGCAAGTGGACGGGTCTGAGTGGTCCTGGGCGAATTGCAACACCCTGTGCTGGGCGATCGGCTCCATCTCCGGTGCCATGAATGAGGAAACCGAAAAGCGGTTCTTGGTCACCGTCATCAAGGATCTTCTTGGCCTGACGGAGCAGAAGCGTGGCAAAGACAACAAGGCTGTGGTAGCCAGTAATATCATGTACATCGTGGGCCAGTACCCTCGATTCTTGAAGGCGCACTGGAAGTTCCTGAAGACGGTGGTCAACAAGCTTTTCGAGTTCATGCACGAGACGCACGAGGGTGTCCAGGATATGGCCTGCGATACTTTCATCAAGATCGCCAACAAGTGCCGACGGCATTTCGTGGCACTCCAACCGGGTGAGAATGAGCCGTTCATCGAAGAGATCGTTCGCAACATGAGAAAGATCACCATGGATCTTTCTCCCCAGCAGATTCACACTTTCTACGAAGCATGTGGCTACATGATCTCTGCTCAGGGTCAAAAGACACTCCAAGATCGGTTGATCGAGAACCTGATGCAACTGCCCAATTCCGCCTGGGATCAAATCATCGCGGAAGCCAACCAAAACGCTGCCATTCTCCAGGACGGCAACACGATTAAAATCATTGGCAACATCATGAAGACGAACGTTGCAGCATGCTCGTCTATTGGAACTTACTTCTATTCTCAGATTGGCCGCATCTACCATGACATGCTGAATATGTACCGTGCCGCCAGTCAGCTCATCAACGATGCCGTGGCCAACGATGGTAATTTCCCATTTATGCCCATCCATTGCTCCTTAGATACTAACATGTTTCGCTCAAGGAACGATCGCCCCCAAGACCCCCAAAGTTCGTGGGCTTCGCACCATCAAGAAGGAGATCCTGAAATTGATCGATACCTATGTGGAGAAGTCCGACGATCTGGACATGGTGAACGCTAATATGGTCCCGCCGCTGCTTGAGGCTGTTTTGGTCGACTACCACCGCAACGTGCCCGATGCCCGAGAGGCCGAGGTTTTGAATGTCATGACTACCATCATCCACAAGCTTCATGTACGTTTTTTGATCATGGACTGACCCCCTAACATGCTTCCTCCCCCCTCCCTGATTCATACCGGACGTGGCTAACAACTTGCTTTTTTAGACCCTGATGGAGGATAAGATTCCTGCTATTATGGACAGCGTCTTCAGCTGCACTTTGGAGATGATCAACAAGGATTTCCATGAATACCCCGAGCATCGGGTTCAGTTCTTCAAGCTCCTGCAAGCCATCAACCTGTACTGTTTCCAGGCCCTCCTCAAGCTTGATGGCACCCAGTTCAAGTTTGTCATTGATTCCTGCATGTGGGCCTCCAAGCACGATAACCGCGAGGTGGAGAACACGGGTCTGACCATGTGCTTGGAACTGATGAACAACATGGCCGAGGCGGATGTGCAAACCTCGAGCATCTTCTTCCGTCAATTCTACATCCCGATCCTCCAGGATGTTTTCTTCGTCCTTACGGATAGTGACCACAAGGCTGGTTTCAAGTCCCAGGCCATGCTCTTGTCTCGCATGTTCGAATTCGTCGAAACCGGCAAGATACAGGAGCCTATCTACGCTGCCGATCAAGCGCCGGTGGGCACTTCCAACAAGCAGTTCCTGCAGGAATACGTCGCAAACCTGCTGCATAATGCTTTCAAGAATCTGCAAGAGTAAGCTTCAACCTTTCTCCGTCATGAGGAGTTACTGTGGAATAATAGGTCGCTAATTTCGGTTTTAATTTAGGGCTCAAATCAAGCAATTTGTCCTTGGCTTGTTTGCTTACACTAATGACTTGAACAAGTTCAAGACCCATCTGCGTGATTTCTTGATCTCCCTCAAGGAGTTCTCTGATGACAACGCCGACCTCTATGCAGAAGAACGAGAGCAGGCCGTGCGCGATGCGCAAGCCGCCGAGCGGACTCGGGCTATGAAAGTGGGAGGATTGTTGAAGCCATCGGAGATGGATCAGGAGGACGAGCTATGACTGGATCAGGAGTTGCGCACTGAATTTCCCCCACCGGCGTCGGCTGGCTCTTCTGGAAGGTTGGGGGATCCAAGCTCAATGAGGAGCGCTGGCCTTGACGGCTGGTCTCTCTACGAGCTCTAGATGATTGGAGGGGGCATGCATATGAGAGTCGGAATGCGCACAACACGCAGCATAGAATCGGCCCTCTCCTTTCAGATGCTTTTATGTTCTTTTTTTTTTTTTTTGGCGCAAAGATGATGCAATGATGCTACCCAGTCTCCTTTCCTCCGCTTCGTGTATTTTGCAACCCCTTTGGAATGTCGAGGGTGGTCATGTTTAATATGTTTCTTTTTCTCTCTCACCATAGCTCTTTGGAAGGAAAATAAAAGGAAAATTTTGCGCCAATATATTTGTTTACCTTGAGAAGATCGATCTGTACGACAATTGAACCCCGTCTAGTAGAAAGTGGGTGGTTACAAACATGTACGCACCTCTCGCTCTAACCTAATCCACCAGATACGTCGTTTTTTAGGGCGACAGCAAGACCCGTAGCAGCAGCAGCAGCACCTCCAGTTGAATCGAGTTGGGAGCTCGAAGCAGAAGCAGCGTTGGACGCAGCGTTGGAGGTAATGGTTGATCCCGAGGTGCCCTGTGTGGCGGAAACAGCTAGGGCCACGGCTGAAGGAGAGTCCGTAATGAGGGTTTGAAGGAGGATCGTGGGCCTATCCAAACGATCGCGTGGTGAATGGTTGACAAAGAGAGTGAGAAAGCTCAGTATGCTCGAGGTCTTCTAGAATTTTTGTAAAACGAAACCACGGCTTCTAAAACTTCATGCTTCGGCCTTTGTCGGATTTCCTCGAGCACAGTTAGCGACTCGACTAGTGAGAACGACCTTGATCATCTTGGCATGAGGCCCAAAATTACTTCTTTGCCGAACTTCTCAGCTCTATCCTAAGCCACACTTCGGTAGTAAGAGGTAGCCGAACTGTATGATCCCGCCCGGTTTGGCCAGCAAGACCGACGCCTCTTATTAGTATTATACTAGTCTGGTTGACATCTTGTGTTATGTCGCTCGAAGAGACATGAGGCTGCTCTCTGAGACGGTTCATTCCGCATGGTATGATTGCATGGATATGATGCTAGTTTATTTGCGTTCTTCTTACACGCTGTCGGTAGAACGGAGTAGAATAATGGACGCTTAGCACCGAGTTCGACAGACTCGAGCATCGAGAGCTCTTGTGCCTGCGGCCCTACTTCGGCCCCTCACGGCCGGAGAGGATCTAATTGACCTTCAATTGAATGGCCAGTATGGGCCCATGCTAATCTAAATTGACTGAAACATTTGGACCGCGCCTTCGCTTATGGAGGAATATTACGAGAAACAGGGAGCTGCCTAGAAGGACGATAATATCTTCAGTGTCAAGAAGGAAAATTGTTGCCGAACTGACTTCCAGCTTGAACGGTTTATGATTTTGTGGTTCGGATGTAGTAGAAGTAGGATATCCTTGCAGGTCGATATCAAATCTTATCTTGATGGTAGTAAACAAGCGCAGGATCAATGTTTTGACCGAGTTGAGCCAAGAAGCTATACATGAGCAAGAGAGATTTCCAAGTATCATTATTAGTCAAGCCTAGTCTTCTGAGAACATCATTTCTTACATCTACGATTAGCAATTCCGTATCATTCTATTGTTATGCGAGACAATAGGCCTTCGCAGGGCTGCTTTGGTAAGCTAGGGTGCTAGGCGGTGAGAGATTCTATCGTCTTATCAGTTGCATCATTCTTTTCCAGTGCCATCGCCAACTCATCCTCATACCCTTCCCCCCACCACAACCACTCTCCCTACCACACGATGTCTCGAACACGTCAACCAGTAAATCTTCAGCCGCAGTCTACAACGGAAACATCCAGTGAATCATCCACACTTCGACTCACAGGCACCCTCCGATTGAGAGCCGAAGACACCTCCGACACAACCGCAGAACCATCCCCAGCGCGCCGCATTCGATGGAGCGAAGACGTCGTGGACAATGAAGGCATGGGCAAGAAGAGCTCCAAAGGTAAACATCCTCTATCCCCCTAGGAAACCATCTCACCCAGCAGCCCGTACTGACCAACCCCACCCCTCTCACACAGTCTGTTGCATCTACCACAAAGCCCGACCCGTGGGCGAAAGCAGTTCCGAATCCGAGTCATCCTCCAGCTCATCCGAGTCAGACAGCGAAAGCGAAGCCGATAATCGAAGCCACATGGCCCATCACGCACGTCATTCCCACGCACGAGGACGCAGGCCGTCGGGCGACAATCAGGCTGACCAGTCTCCCGATGGAGACTCGGCGACATGCTGTTCCGACCACCACCAGAAGGTGAAACGCAGGAGGAGGAAGCCCAGCCCGAATGCATATGAGAAGATGCCCAAGCCGTCGAAGAATCCCCAGCCGCGGGGCACTTGAGGATTTACCCCGCCTTCTAGATCACGGCCCGCACGGTTGCACAAAGGTCGCATGCTACTCTATTTGCAAGACTCGTCGCCACGGGCTAAAATCTCATATTTCGAGACCGTCGGATGGTGACAAAATGGCGATAGAGGGTTGCCATTACCCCAATATGTGTAGACAACCAGCGAAAGCAAGAGCCGGGTCACTTGCTCGTACCTCGAATCACTCTCGCCACGGGAGAGACACGCCTCGATGACAACTGGACGGCGTGTTCCAAGCAGAGAAGAAATTTAATTTCCATGTGAACGAGGACTGGTGACCGATGGGGTCACCACGGTGCCCGGCTTCGAGTGTCTAGTCATGCCAACTGTTCCCACCCATCGTGTCTACAATGAATGCACTTCGAGGACCCAAGACAAAACCAAATAGTTCAATTGACAAGCAAATCTCGCTGAATGGAAATAAAACGAAGAAGAAATGGAAAAGGGGTATCTGTACGGGGGCTGCGACCAACGCATGCTAATGTAAATACAGTCTTTAATTTTTAATCCGCGCCCAATCCAGGGCCCATAGCACCGGGAACTCCTGCCAATTAAACCATCATACTCTTTCTCCTCGCTGCAACTCGAGTCTCCATCCGGTAGGCCGTGTCGTCGGCTTCGAAGCTGCTGTCTATATCGCTGGCCACCTCTGCCTCACGGCGTAACGTGTCGAGGGAGGTGCTCTTGGGGTTCGAGGAATGCCGTCGAGATGGCCCCTTTGAGCACAGCCTTTGCCCTAGTGCTGTCGACAGATCGACCAAGTCTGAAGCATCCGAGTTTGATGATGATACCTTTCGTCTCCGCCGAGAGACCCTTGTCAGTAACTGATCCGAGTCGTCATCCTGAGCGAACGGGTCGGCGGCCTGGCTTGATAGAACCGAATCGGCAGGGCGGGTTGCGTTCGAGGACGGATGAGGGCTGGCGCTCGATTGTGAAGTGTCCAATTCGTTGCCGAGGCTATCCCGGGCAAGTTGGAAACTCGATGACCGGCGAGGATCGGCTCCAGCCACGGCATCAATCATGGTTTTGGACGGACGACGCATCTTGACTCGCAAGTTAGGCTCTGCATAGCTGACCACAGCCCCACGACGCCGGGAAGGGCGAGAAGCAGCGTTCATATCCGACATCCCAAAGGCTGGGTCCCCTGCCTTTGCGACTGGTGAGTCCGTTGGGAATGTGGCCTTCGGCCCGGGCTCGAAAGAATCTTCCGTTTCAAGAGGCCGACCGACGCGCCTTGGTTTCTGTGAGACACCACCTAGTCGTGCAACGCGGGGTTTCTGATTCAACGTTCCCGGGTTCTGAATATCGATCTCTTTAGATTTCTGAGGCGAGCGTGTGTTTTCATCTGCACCTGATCTTGGAAGACCTTTGTTGTCTGGATTCAAAGAACCCCTCATCTTCCTGGGGGAGCCTAGATTGGAATTTGAACTCTCTGTTTGATTTTGTTAGTTGATAGACTCAAATCTGGAGGGACAATTTATCCGACAGGTGTGACATACTTGGTTCAAGGACCTTGCGCTTGGTGATTCCAGATTGGGCAGATCCTCGTTTCACGCCCACGGGCGTTTTGCTGGGTGAAAGGTCCTGGAGCATAAAATCAAAGAGATCCGCCTTTTTCTGAGGGCTTCCACCAGGGCGGCTAAACTGGAAATCGTCATCCTCTGTTGCGGGATCTGCCAAAGGCCCGTCCTCGTCTGGACTAAATTTACGCTTCGATCCTGATTTCGTCGGCTCGCGAGGTTGATTCGTTGTCAATGGTCGTTCGTTCTGGGGCGATGGTTCATATGCAGGAGTTGCCGAGTCGATCTTCTTTTTCTTCTTCCGAGTCTCGAGCGTCGGTGGCAGGGCGGTTTCACCGTGCAAGGGACTGTTGTCTATGCCACTTTCCGATAGTGCATCGTTCAGCTCGGGCCTTGGGCTTTCCGTAATCGGAACTCGATCTTCGCGCATTGAATGATCATTCCGTGGTGATTCCAAGCTGGACTCGGCGTGGAGGTTCTGAATTTCTTGTTGTCTAGGGGGAATAAGTCAATGGCCCCCTCTCCACTGGCTAGGAAAAGGGATCGTTAAAACTCACTCGAGTGTTCTTCGAGGGTAATACTTGTCCTCCACGATTGCCGGAAGCCTTCCATCCTCGGGACCTGCATTGAATTCCGAGTCCGTTGTTCGCGGCTTTGACTCTGCAGTGGCTCTGGGCCGGTCGGAGTCGGTTCCAGTCTTATCTCCCCCTGGCCTGCCTACTTTGCGAGGCAACATCCCTAATTCCGAAGCCAGGCTACTCAATTCCGCCAATTTCGCATCTAGGCGGGACTTGATTTCATAGATTCCCTCGTGCAGCATTTTGGCGGACTCGAATCGTTCGTTCTCCTGAGTGAGGTTGATGATTTGTTCGCGCAGAGAAACATTTTCGGCCAACAGGTGTGAGACTTCCGATTCCAAGCTGCGGATGCGAAGAGATTGCATAGAATTCACCCGCACGATGTCCCGGTTTTGTCGTACGAATCGCCGTTTCACTAGTCACCATCGCGTCAATTTTCGATTCGGGGTGGGGGCAAAACGAGGGATCCTCGTTGAGAGAAGAGGAGAAAGTTCGACTTACAAGCTTCGACAGACTCTGCCGGAGCAGCAAAGTCGTTGAGCCGGGCCATATTGTTGAAGGGCCGCAAAGAAGTGGAGTGACGGTCGCAAGTTGGGCGAAGTGTAAAGTGTAAACAGGACTGTTGATGTTTGTCCCTATTGGGACTAGACCCATTTTTCTGGCTGACTCAGCACCCTCTCGGCGGGATGCCTGACTGGACTTTGGGGGGTTGTTTGGGTACTGCGGACTGGCGAGATCCTTTTTATCTTTTGATCATTCATTGAGCCATCTACCTGACTGCGCCTCGTTCTCTCTCCGTGTCCTTACCTTGCCTTTACCATGGCGTACTCGTCACGTCCAACCTCCATGCTCCCCGGTGCTGGGCTTCGTCAACCGGCCTCCCAACCCTCGTCCGCGCTGTCGACGCGCATTGCCGCGAAAAAGGCCGAACTCGAAAACCTCCGCCAGCTACGGGATTTGAGTGGGACGTTGGCCATGCAAATGCAGGCGCTGGAGAGCAAGATTGCCACGTTGAAGGATGGCACCGAAGGTCAGTTCACTTTCTATCTGTCCCCCGACCGCGGGCACCCAAACTGATTCGAACCAGCGGTTGCATGCGTGCTTGCCAATTGGGACAATGTGCTTCGCGCCATCAGCCTGGCCTCCAGTAAGCTTCAGCGAAGAAAAACCCATTGCTTATCGTACCAGTGCAGTTTCAACTAACGCTACGGAATTCACACAGCCAAAGCCAGTCGACTTCACGATACTGGACCCGACGAGAAGGAGGACCCCGCGCGCGAAGCTCGCTTGCCAGCCACCTTGGTTCGCATCCCGGCCGAGCCACGAGAAAGAAAGACTGGCGAGTGAAACAAGCAACGATCGCACGCAGCAGCAATCGTCGTCATAACCCGTTGGTTCATTAACCTTTTTCTTCTCCGAATCGCTTGTGACTCGAAAAAAAAAAGAAGATGGAATCCCCCACCCTCACCCTTCCTGGTCGTTATCAAGTGCCAAGCGAAGTCTGATCCCTTCCGTCCCCAATCTCCCCTCCAATTCCCTTATCCACCAAATTGGGGACCCTGATCATCCGCTGCACGAGCCCGGGAAGCGCTGATTATCCATCCAATCAGTGTGCATTTCATGCTGCATCACCCTGCTCGGAGAAAGCTTGCCGAAGCGAGATTAGGGAGAACGTTCCACGGGATCTACCACTGGGGACCTCTAGGGACCACTTCCAATCAGAGCAAGGTATCAGGACCGAGCACGATCCTTTTCCCCGCATTTTGCGAGACGGGATGAGCATTCCTCACGCGTTCCTCGCGTGACTTGTCAGCGCCAAAAATGTAAACTGCAACTTAGTCTATCGGAGGGGGGAACGTGCATATGGAGAGCAATGGTTAACGGGGGGACCTTGGANGGGCAAGCTAAAGGTGGCACAGAGGTAGTAGCAAAATGAAACACCAGACGTACAGAATAAAAATAATGCTATGTACTGTAGTACTGTACTCTATACAAATGTATTCAATTACTACTGTACCGAGTGTACCCTGGGTATAAATCTGGAGAGGCTGCCAGACGCTCTAATTGACATTGTATCCAGATAGATCTCTTACGAACCATATCTTATAGGTCTTATGGACTCAGCTCCGGGAAAAGTCAGCCAAGCTCGCAGACCAGGGTTACCTGAATCAGGCACCGTGCTAACTACTATACGGCTACTAAGTTTGCACGTTAACAATAGTCTACCTCCCGTACATTAGTGCACGCCCAGGCCCGTGCGCAGATGACGGGCTGGCAAGCCACCGCAAAGGACACCGGAGGGCACCCCAGTGGAGACGAGGGCCGATGACTACCCGTTCGAGGTTCCTGCAGGCGACGCACAGGCAAACTAGTCTCGAGTGAGCCTCGTCATCCTGTACTCGGTACGGGAGGCAACCGTGAGTGGCCGTCTGTACATACCAGTGGGACAGTCCACGAGCCGTGCATATTCGTGGCCTGCGAATTCGCTCATAGACGGGGGAGGGATAGCGAAGGAGAGTGATTTGGACGTGCTCATCTCCTGCGCTTCCCGCGTTTATTCTGTGGAATTGGGCCTGGAGATGGAGTGAATTGCTCTTTGCTAAGAGACCAGCGGTAGTAGGGGAATATCATGTAGCTGTTCTACGCATTGGGATAGGTCTTTCTTTTTTTTTTATTCTGATTCTCGTCTTATTATAAAACGTGGACTGGCAAATGGGTGGAGTGGTAGCTTGAGGAGGGGCTACTACCCCGGATCCAAGGTTTTAGTCTTGAGTTGATTATCCACATTTAAGATGTTTGCTTTAAAGGATAAAGGAAGGGGGGGGGGGATCCTCCTCGAGTGCTTATACGGCTAAGAGCTCGAGATGTCGTGACCTGGTCGTAAGTCGTCATCTCTAAATTCCAATTTTTCAACTTCGCGTCATCTTATCACTCTATCGGACTCCTAAAGCATGTTATCTAGTGCGCGGATTGCATGCTCGAAATCGTCAGAGTCAGGTCCACGGTTTAACTTTATGGAAGTGGATTTCCCCTAAATTCTTTTGCGTTTTTGCCCTTAAGCGCCCGAGCCACGCCATAATTTCCCATCATCTCCTCAGCTGTGCACGGTACACGGGGTACATCCGGGACCGCGCATGATGCCATAGTCAGTGGAGGTACCCCCCCTTCGCTTTGTTTCTCCCCTCGCCCCGCACTTGCTCGTGTGGTTGGCTCCTCGCCAGGGGTCATCCGTGCGACGATCTCCTCTTTGGGTCTCGTCTTTTTTGGTTTTCCCCCCCTCTTTCTTTTTTCAGCTTTTTGGTGGTACCTGAGATAATGGGGAGGATGCACTGACTTCCACGGTCACTGCGTCTTGTACCCAGTATTTGCCTCAGCGTGGCATGACTGTGACTGTGAGTGGATCCCCCCCCCATCTTTCCCCCTAATGAGGTGATCGCTCGGGTCTGCACTCTGCACTCTGCACGCTGCACCTTTTCTCCTGCTGCGCTGCACTCGTTGGCGTAGAACTCTTTTTCACTCTCGTCTTCTTCTTTCTTATTCACTCGCTCATCCACTTTCCATTCTTCGTCATTTCTGCCGACTTGATAACATTGGCGCCTGCCTCTTGGCGACCTGTTTTGGATTTCTTCCGTATATGATCCTCACTGAATCCTCTTGATTTGCTTCTGCCTTCTTCTACATCTTACTATCCTACTATCCTACTATCCATCAGCCCTCCCCCATCTGGGTTCCTGTCTATCCATCCAGTCCTCAAGCCTACCATCATATCATCACATCTCGTCATGTCTACGGACTGGTCTCTCGACTTCTGCCTCGTCTGTGATCGCCAGACCTCCGGCGGTCCCTACTGTTCACAGACCTGCCGACTCGCCGAGCTGGATCGTACATCGGGCGAGGACGAGCAATCCTCACCCAAGCCTCGAGAGGGCGCAGCTCACTCTCGATCCTCAACCCTCGACTCCATCGATTCCCGATCGGCCCGCAGTCTGTCCGCCTCCTCATCTCAGACCTCACTATCCTCTCTGCGGAGTCATGCCTCCAATGCCGCGCTCTCGGGCCATCTTCAAGAGGAGCTGAGAGACTATGCCAGCTGCTTTGATCATGTTCGAGATCTCAAGCGACGAATGGCTTCCTCTTAATCCTCTCTCGCTCTCCTCGTCTTCTCTTCTCCGACCGACCTCTCCGCTACCATAATAATCATCTTCTCTTGCGGGAGAGGGGCTCTGACTCGTCTCTCCCTCCCCCGCCCCGCACCTTTCTTGCTATCTCTCTCTCTCCCATCTCAGCGACACATCTTGCATACACCCGGGAAAATTGAACCAGGCGTCTCCGTGCAGAAAGAATCTTTGCTATTTTTCTTGGTTTGGGAATATGGATTTATGGATTTATGGATTGTTTTTTTTTGGAATCTTCTCTCCCGCTCATCACGACATCTATACCCCCGCCGTTACCTTGTTATATATGTTCGGAGTTTTTTTTTTCTTTTTTTGGGAACTATTCTCATGGGCCTACGATGCCCCCCCCCCCCCCCCATCAACACCAGAATGTTACGGTTTCCCATTTGGGAGGAATGAGTTGTCTTTGTGAAGGCTTGAGACTTGCTTTTCCTTTTGTTGTGACTTGGACTGCATGCACGGTAGTGCAGAATGTAGAATACTCTGTACGGAAGACTGGATACTCAAAGAGAAGCACCAACTATGACGGTCGATTATGATCGCTTGAATGAATTGCTCGATGGAGCATTGATAAACTGCAATTCTTCCCAATTACTATCCCTTCGTACAGTACACTTCTCCGGGTCCGGGTTTCTTCCTATGGTCCAGAATGTTATATGCCCACGTCAGCACCACGTCCGCCCAAGAACCCCCATCTCCCTCATACGTACATACATACGTACATACAGGGTATAGCACCCGTAGTGGGGATGAGTTTCGGGTCCTTGAAGTCATGGAACCACTGGTCTCCACCCAGGTGGTTTGATCTACTTCAACCCGGCATCACCCCACCTGTCAACGGGAGTCGATCAAAAAGGATTCTTCTTCCAGCCACTCGTGACCCCTACGGAAACCTTGACTAAATTAGTAGTACGATGATAACCTCCGCCCTTCGTACAGTATATAGTAGTCATGTACCGAACTCCGTAACTTACACCCGGGCTATGCTCACGCAACGAATCCGGGCTCCCCTTTCAGGCTTCCCCCTCGGGCTTACTGCGACGAAGTGCTTGGACCTTTCCGCCATGCAGTCATCTCTTTAAGTCTCCGTGCTGTAGGTACTGTAGGCCACCCACCACTTCAAAGTTTGACACCCGATTGACCTGCAGGAGACGGCGGCTGGATCGGCATTGCCACCCCACCCTCCTCCGATCGCCTATCGTTCGTGTCCGTGTGTCATCATGGGATTCGATAAACTATGGGCTGATGTCCGTTCGCCGAGTGGCCAATTTTGTGGAAAATTCTGATTCTGCAGATGAGGAAAAAAAATAATTCTTTTCATAGCTATGTACAGTACTACCGTCCGACCCCATGAGTTAGTTTATCGAGAGTCCTGACCAGGCGCGGGATTCGGGGGGGGGAAGAAGGAGAAAAGAGTGGGAAACTTTGCAACCTGGTATGCATCCCCCTTATCTCTCCGTCCACGTTCCCTGCATTTGCATTGGCTGCAGTACGTTCTGCGTCCTAGGTATTCTTGAAGCCTAGCGCTGGATTTGCAACAAGTGTCATGCATATCCGGACAGAGTTGGTGTGGGGGGTAGTTAACGGGACGGGGATTTAACCATGCGTGATAAAGGGTGTCTTATCTCGAGAGAGGGGGGGGGCTTGTTGGAGGGGAAAACAGAGATGTACGGAGAGACATACTCCGTCACTGCTGCAGATAGTTATCTGATCCAATAGAGATAAGTATGGTGTACCTGGTAGATAGCCAGTCTTATCCTGGAACACCCGGGCCTGTCCGGCCGCGATAGCCGGAGCTGAGGACTGATCTTGATTACTTGGTAGCCTCTTCAATGGTGGCTATTGTCTATTGTTAGCTGATAACAGAATACAGTAAGAACCTGGATCAATTGTTTTGGTATGGCGCGGCTGCGCGGTGACTATATTAGGCTGCTGGAATCTCTGATGTCGTCGCATTGTTATTGACTGACGGGAGTCAGCCAACATGAGTCAGCAGGGACAGTCAGGTGAAGATGGATTCCAATTTTCCCATTCGGCAGTCTGTAAGACCCTCCGAAATATTTTCAATAAATCAGTAGTGGTGTAAGGAAGAATCGTAACTTCTGCTGGTGCCATTCTGTATGGACAAGTAGATCACCTGATCAGTAGGCTGTCTACGCACTCTATGGTGACGCGGTCCAGCCTGATTTCAAAAGGGACTGCAAAGACTGACATAGATAACGATACCATAGCTGATGGAAAATCCATCATCACGTGAGATTTGACCTGGACTTTCAATGCCATTGAACACGCCATATCTCCATTGAGCAGGAGCGTGGGGGCACCATTACACTAGCCGGCCCACCTGCAGGATATCTTATAGTGGCTTTGAAATATTGGAGATACCTTTTCCACCAGTCTAATGGTGTTTATTTATATGTCATAATCGACAACGGCTCTTTCCGTCTTACAGAAGACCCGCAAAGATTGAAGCAGATCAAAAAAAGTCCCAGACTAGGGACGGTGGCCCTAGTTAAGCATATATAAGGGGGACCCCCACCCGCGGCTGATAGTCCTGCCACCAGTACGGATAATCAGGTATAGTTTCCTCCGACTGTGGTAGAACTATGTAGTCATGCAGCCAGCAGTCGATACTAGATGGGTTCCACGACTCCACCACGCAAACAAGAATGCTTGGGATGAATCCGATGGTAACAAGTTTCCTCGACCTGCAAGGCACGCAGAGGGAACCAGGAATCCTGGTGGAGTGGTAAGTGGATCGGGGAGCCGACTGTTTCTGGCTCCGGGATATGAACCTTGCCCTGTATCTCCGGAGAGGAGAGCATGTAATATTAAGTAAGAGAAGAGAAAGGAGGAGAGAGAGGCGAAACACCAGCGCAACTCCTGGGGGGGGGGGGGGGGGAGGGGAAACAGGCAGGTTTTTGAGGACCACCATGACACCATGATGATCATCCAGGATGGTCATTTCAAGTGGATCTACCAACAAGGCAGCTGGCCCCTGAAAACTGGGGCCGCGATCTGGGTGGATCGAGCCGCAAGTCAGCTGCTCATGCAGAGACTGTCGCGAACCCTAGGACAGCTGCACTTTGTATGTTATATATATAGCTAGCTCTCGTATACGGAGTGGTGTAACCCGGTGTCTAGACGGATGGGGAAAAAAAGGTACCGTGTCAGATGGTCCGAGAACAAATCAGTAGTCAGGTATGCCGAAGGACGGTTGCTCCCAAAAGGAAATAGGGCAAGTCGAAGCTCCGGAAGGGATAGGCCAGGATGGAGGATGAGAGGTTCAAGCTGGAGATGTCGAAATTTCTGCGTGTCACATGAAGTGTGGAAGATCCGCCAAGCATTTGAAGCCAGTCGCGGGATAGAGGCTCGCAGCGCAGTCTTCGTAGAGGGAAGATCGGGGTAGAAATCCGGACTGGATTCGAACTGGATTCGAACAAATTGGTGGGCATGAGTTGGCTGCCGAGAGACTGATTGGTGGGAGAATGTCAGTCGGTGGCACCCCGTCATGGCTGGAATCCACCGTGAATCCGCCGCCAATAGGGGACCATTCGAGTCCAGTGGGAGTCCAGTGGGAGCCAGGCCTGGAATGACGTCGGCCAACCGGTTTGGTGGAAAAGACTGGCCCCAGTGGAAAAGAGGAAAAGCTGGGAAGGTATAGCGATCACGTTGATCCCCGGGAGCCGCTACTCTTGCCCTTCGTCAGCGCTTTTGACTCACGTTGGATCTGGTCGACGTGTAGAAAAGGCAAGGGAAAAAAAAAGGAATTTAGAGATTGGAAGAACTGGTAAGATCATTTCTCCTTCAAAGTATCCGGCTTAACTGGTTCTCCTCCTCCTCCTTTCTCTCATCTTCCTCATTCTCCCTCTTCCCTTTTCCTCCCTCCTCATAATTGCCATTCTCTCTCTTCCACCCTCTCCGCTTTTCTTCCCCTCAAGAGTCTCCGCCCTCTTTTTCTCCGAGGTCGCAATTGATTCTCTCCCTCAAACCACAACCCCCAATTGATTCCCGGAACTCGTCATACCACACCTGCTTGGGAGCAGAATAACGAGCTTAACCGTGATTTCTAGCTAGAGTCTTCACCCTCCCTCTCATCTTCTCCCCCCCCCCCCAAATACAATCCCCCCCGATCGGATAATGGCCGCTCGTCATTCGCGCAAGCTCCTGCGACCTCTTCTTTACACCTCGGCGGCCGCGGCCGCCGGAGCAGGAGTTCTCTACATTTCCTATCGTCCTCGCAATATTCCCGGCTTGGAAGCCCCCGCGGTCCCTCCTCCCGGTTACCATGAGGGCAAGCTGGTTCCTCCCAGCTTCCCGGCCATCAAGGGTCGCATCGATCAGATCAAGGACCTGAAGCGCAGCCAGACCGAAGAGCCCTATGATCTGCTGGTCATTGGTGGCGGCGCGACGGGTTCCGGTATTGCGCTGGACGCGGCGACCCGAGGCCTACGGGTGGCGGTGGTGGAGCGTGATGATTTCAGTGCCGGCACCAGCAGTAAAAGTACCAAGTTGGTACACGGTGGTGTGCGCTATTTGGAAAAGGCCTTTTGGGAATTGGATTACAACCAGTCAGTCTTTCCCATCTGAGTTGAATCTTTTGTTTCTAGGACCTTTTTGCCTGGTTCACTTTTTCTTTTTTTCCCCCTTCGTTGGAGAATCCCTTAAAACTAACCGGTGATGTCATCGCAGGTATGCGCTGGTTAAGGAAGCTCTCCGCGAGCGCAAGTACTTTTTGAATACCGCTCCCCATCTGTCCCAATGGCTTCCCATTATGGTGCCCGTTCAGAAATTGTGGCAGGCTCCCTATTTCTGGGCGGGTTGCAAGGCTTATGACCTTCTGGCTGGTTCCGAGGGCATTGAGAGCTCCTACTTCCTGACCAAGAGCAAGGCCATCGATGCATTCCCCATGCTGAAGCGCGACAACGTTATCGGTGCCATGGTCTACTATGGTAAGTTTTTGGAGAAGGATTGACTACTCAATTTTCCATAGAATTGGCTGGATCTGACTTTTGTAGATGGCGCCCACAACGATTCCCGTATGAACGTCTCTCTCGCCATGACCGCCGCCCTTTACGGCAGTACCGTGGTCAACCACATGGAGGTGACCGGTCTCACCAAGGATGCGAACGGACAGCTGAACGGTGCGCGCCTGAAGGACGTCATCCCCGGCAAGGACGGCGAGCAGACCGAGGAGTTCACCATCCGCGCCAAGGGTATCATCAATGCGACCGGTCCCTTCACCGACTCCATTCGCAAGATGGACGAGCCCAGCACAAAGGAGATCGTTGCTCCTAGCTCCGGTGTCCACATTATCCTCCCCGGATACTTTAGCCCATCCAACATGGGTCTGATTGACCCCTCGACGTCCGACGGCCGTGTCATCTTCTTCCTGCCCTGGCAGGGCAACACCATCGCCGGTACCACCGACGCCCCTACCGAGATCACCACCCAGCCCGAGCCTTCCGAGGCCGATATCAACTGGATTCTCAAGGAGATTCGTGGCTACTTGGCCCCCGACATCACGGTCGATCGCAAGGACGTTCTGGCCGCCTGGTCCGGTATTCGCCCCTTGGTTCGCGACCCCAACAAGACCAGTTCCCAAGCTCTCGTCCGCAACCATCTGATCAGCGTGTCTCCGTCGGGTCTGCTGACCTGTGCCGGTGGCAAGTGGACGACTTACCGTCAGATGGCCGAGGAGGCGGTCGACGAGGCTATCAACTCTTTCAAGTTGAAGACTCGCGAGCTGAAAGACATGCCGGATATCAGTGGTGCCGGCGGCAGTGGCTTGGTGGCTGACGGCGCCGTTCTCGACGGTTCCTGCCAGACCCACCAGGTGCGCCTGATCGGTGCTCACGGCTACTCCAAGACCCTGTTCATCAACCTCATCCAGCACTTTGGTCTCGAGACCGATGTGGCCCAGCACCTGACCCAGTCCTACGGTGACCGTGCCTGGCAGGTCGCCGCTCTCTCATCCCCGACCAACGCTCGCTACCCCGTGCGAGGCTGCCGTATCTCCGCCTTGTACCCCTTCGTCGATGGCGAGGTTCGGTATGCCGTCCGTCACGAGTACGCCCAGACCGCGGTCGATGTCATTGCCCGCCGTACTCGTCTGGCCTTCCTCAACGCGGAGGCCGCTCTGGAGGCCCTCCCCAGTGTGATTGACCTGATGGGCGAGGAGTTGAAGTGGTCCAACAAGCGCAAGGATGTGGAGTGGAAGGATTCGGTCTCATACCTGTCCTCCATGGGTCTTCCCAAGAGCCTCTTGGGCCTGTCTCGCCAGGAGGTCTCCAACGGCCGGGTCAAGGAGCTCGATAACGAAGAGCGCAAGCACTTCGGTCGAAGCGGTAAGTGATTTCTGCTCATCCCGATCATAATATGTGATTGATGAATTATTCAATGACTGACACGAACTTTTTTTTTTTTCTAGATCCCCCAGCGGACATTCTCAAGGGCGATGCCAACCCCAATGCGGATCCCTTGATTTCCCCGGACTCTCCGGCCAACAAATAGACATGTGTGATAAATATTATAGAGCGATTTTGTACAAATAGAAAAATCAAAATTCCTTTAATCTTCAATAGTACCTCGTTGTCCCCGTCCTGCCTTCCGTTTAGGGTATTCTGCTCGAAAGGCAGGCACACGCTTAGACGGGGGTCTTGTCCGCTGTCCATTGACTATGATCGCGTCTCCCTCTTCCATACTACCCATCTTCATATTATTCTTCCAAATGGATCACCCAAATCCCTGCAAGACTGGCATTGCTGACTATGAACTGGGTTTGCCCATTGGCAAGGCTGCTGCCACCCCGACGCCATGCATTGCGAAGCTGGACCCGTTCGGAGACGAAAGCGATGCCGGTTTGAAGTATAAAATCATGACTTGGTGGTAAGTCTTGACTCTGTTCAGAGACAGAGAAGCACTCAGAAGCTGAAACTTTGCCTCCAGGCAGGCAGGAATGGGTAGGCAACAGTCGTTTTCTTCGACGATGCCAAAACTGACAGAATCAAGTCATGCTTGCGGAGACTATATCGCTTGGGATTCTGGCTCTTCCCAAAGCTCTGGCAACGCTGGGACTGATTCCGTATCTTGATCTCCCCTTTGCTTCTATTGGAAATTTCCAGAAAGCCACCACTGACTTCATTACTCAGGGGTGTCTTCACGATCCTTACCGTTGGCATCATCTCCATCTACACCGGCTTTACTATTGGTACCCTCAAAAGCCAATACATGCAGATCCATAGCATGGCAGACGCTGGAGGTCTCCTGATGGGACGGGCTGGCCAGGTGGTTTTGGGAGTTGCCCAACTTGTCTCTTACATCTTCGTCATGGGTAGCCATGTGCTTACATTTTCCATCATGATGAACGTTCTCACCGACCACGGCAGCTGTACTCTCTTGTACTCTGCACTGGGCTTACTGGTGTCATTCATTCTGACTCTTCCACGGCGACTTGGGAAACTCTCACACTTGTCATCAGTGAGCTTTGTGAGTATCGTGATGGCAATTCTGGTGACTATGATCAGCATAGTCATCTCCAAAGGCAGTCCGGCTTCTATACCACTCATCTCGCCTGCCCCCGCAATGCACGAGGCATGCCTGGCATTTGCCAACATTGTCTTTGCCTATGCAGGCCATGTGGCCTTTTTTACCATGTTTTCTGAATTGCAGGAGATCAAAGATTATCCTCGAGCATTGACTATGCTGCATTTGTGTGAGATGATTTTGTATACCATCACGGCGATTGTCATTTATGCACATGCTGGCCCGCTCGTCAAGTCACCCGCCCTGAACTCTGCTGAGGATCTATTTCGGAAGATTTCCTTTGGTCTTGCCATACCAACGGTATGTATTTGACAGAATCAATGCAAAAGTCGGTGATCTTCGCATGCTAACCCTGGGGTAGATCGTGATCGGAGGTGTTGTCAACGCCCACGTGGGAGCGAAGTACATGTATGTTCACATATTCCGAGGGTCAAAAGCCATCCATGCCCAAACATGCACGGCTCGAGCGTCATGGGTAGCCATCTGTGTTGTGATGTGGATCTTGTCATGGATCATCGCGGAGGTAATTCCGGTTTTTAACGATGTCCTAGGCCTGGCGGTACGTGCTCATTAGTCTCTGACTATCTCGAGGACATTGCCCACTAATGAGTATCACAGAGCTCCTTATTCGCCAGCTGGTTCACCTTTGGTTTGCCGGGCATGTTCTGGCTCTTTCTCAACCGACATCGTTGGTTCATGGCCAGGAATCAGATGCTCTTTTTCTGCATCAACATCGGTCTGATTTTTTTGGCGTTTATTATTGTAAGTTTTCATGCAATCTTTTGCCTCACGTTTTTGCAGAGACTGACTTGCCCTAGTGCTTGATTGGCGTGTATTCGTCGGCTCAGTCCATCTTCCACAACCTCCGGAATGGGGCGAGACCGGGCATTTTCTCTTGTGCGGATAACTCGCTGTACTGAGTGGTCCCTTATTTCATTCCGAGTGGATGGCCATATGTCGTCTTTGGTTTCTCGATAAAGCATGAGCGTATAGGTGTTTTCTAGTTGCGTTTTAATTGTATCATTAGCAGCCGTCCATCTTTGGGGAAGGTCAACAGGGTTAATTGGCGTTCGTTGAAATTTCCAAGTTTAACAAGGATTCACAGCAAAAATTCAGCGAGAAGTATGTTTCTTGTCTTTAATATCTCTTACACTACCATTATTGTTAGGCTCGTAGCTCACAGCCTATCCGTAGCTTGAAGCCTTTAGCAACTAGGTACTCCAAGAATCCCAGGCAGGACCGGCATAACTAAGGCACATGTGGCATACCTACCCACTCATCCTCGAACACTATGACCGAACTAAACAATCTGTGACAGGCATAATCTCGCTTATCCAGTCGTTGTTGAGTCCAACTACCTTCCTCTATATAAGTAACTTCAACATCCATTATTCATTCGAACGTCTCGGCGTCATCTGCCGCCACGGGGCCACCGACACTAAAGAACCGAACGGGCCAAGTGTCAAAGCCAATAGATTAAATGAATCAAATGGTTTATTAATTTATTTTTTTTAAAAAAAAGAGTCCAATCCACGGCCGAAAAGCCCATCGGAGCCGAGCCAGTCGGAAAAATTGCTGACAAGGCTGGGGCTGCCCGTGTGACATACGGCGGCTCTCTCCACCAACGCAGATTGAAAATCAGGTGTATGCCGAGTCAAAGGTATAGAAATAGAGGTGGGTATATAGTAATACATAATAGAGTGTGAAATGCACTGCGGGATCGGGGGGTGAAAAGAGAGAGAGAGAAGCGGATTAAAATAGACAGAAACAGCATGCTACGCCATTTTGTCATCCAATTATTGCCTGACGCTGTCCTGTGGCCGTTCCTGTGGCCTTTTTTTTCTGGTCGTCCGCTGCCTGACCATGACAATGACAGTACAAGCAAAGTGGTACAATGAGAAGTACTCGAAACCAAGTGGTTCCAGCTGGCAGGAGGACTGTTTTGTTTCCACCTGGCTCAGGGCTGACAACCATTCAATCAGGATGGCTCCCGGGGGCAGGTAAAATGCGGAGATGTCCTGCCCAAATGCATGCAGTCTCGACCTGAGGGCAGGGATGCAGGCCAATTTCTCTGACCGCACTATCTCCACTCCCGCAGGAAGCGCAAGACGTCTTGCATCATGCTTGCCTTTGTCCCCTCCTCCTTCTCCCTTATTGGTCACTTTTTCCAATTCTCCAATTGGGAGTGGCTTCGTTGGAGTCGTTGGGAGGGAAGCGAAGCAAAACGGTGGGGGACCCAACCATAGAGAGGATCCCTCTCGCTACCTGGGGGGTCTGCTTCGTCTTTTTGTTCGCCCTCTCTGCCTTTTTCCCCCGGGTAGCTTTCCCAATAGTCCATTGTCTTTTAGAGAGGGGGCCAAGCTAGTCCTCGTCCATGAGAAGATTTGTCGGTGTGATCATATGTGGGCGCGCGCGGGGCGGTTCACGGGTTGTCTCCAATTTCTTGCAGCTCTCTGGTCCTGGACAGCATCGGCATACACGAACAGCGGGAGTGGCAGGAGCCAGGGCTTGCATCATGCAGTCCGGTTCATTCCAGCCACGTCCAGCGAAGTAATGGACAAGTCCTCGCCGCCTCATTCCCTCGATTCCTCTTGCCCCTCATTCCATGGACTCCTCCCCTATGGAGGACAAGAAAAGAATGAGGAAGACTTGCAGAGGAGAGTGAGAGAGAGAGTGAGAGAGAGAGTGAGAGAGAGAGAAAATTGGAAGACATGAAAACGAGAAAAAAAAAAGATATTTGACGCGGTCCCCGTTCAAGGCCAGGTGCAGATCGCGAACCACGTTTATTCAAAGAGGTCCCAGACTATTTCTTGGCTCCAGCATTGGGGGAGGAGCCCTGGTAGTTGTTCCAAAACCGCGCCACAGCCCGCTGGGCGACGGTCGAGCCGCGGTAGCGCTCGAGAAAGTAATTGAAGAGGGCGAACTCGTCCGAGCTGAGCACGTAACTATCCGGATCGGCTTGAATGCGCGTCCATAGTTCGGTGATGGCGGCTTCGAGAATGGCGGTAGTTTGCGGGTCCACGGTGCCATCCTCACAGTTCCGCGCACGTTCCAACGCTTGTCGGATACCGGCTAAATCCTTCGACATGGCGGGAGAGAGAAAATCCTTAGCGTGGCGAGAGAAAGAGAAGGAGAATGCAGGCTGATAGCTCGGGAGATGTAACGAGCGAACCGCCGCTGACGGGCGAAAAGAGAATTGTTGATGGCGAAGCGGAGGGAGGATAAGACGTGGAAAAGGAAATAGAGAAAGGATTTCTGCACACGACCAGGACGGGGAGTTGGGAGTCTTTTCAATCATGGGTTTAAAGACAATAATACAAATAAAAATAAAATAATGAATAACGGAACCGAGGTGGAGCAGGGGGTAGGAATAAGTGGGAAAGGGGTGTGGTGGTGTGGACTTGGTGGATGGTGAGGAGACCCAGTTTAGAAGCCCCCCTCCCAGATGCCAAACGTCGTCACGGCCAGAATCAAGTACTCGGACGGTAAAGGAGGATTGGGAGGGTCAGTCAACTTGAGAATCCCCGTTGGGGAAAGTTAGGGATTAGTAGTCGGGCTTCATGCCGACGGGGAAAGAAACGAGTCAGAAGGGGCCAGGGGTGTGAGGGTTTTAGAGAGAGAGGAAGAGAGAGATGGATGGCATAGTAGTATCGATGGCAGTAGATTAGAGATATTCGCAGAGAACCGGAAGCAATCACAAGCTAGAAAGGAGAAAATGACGAGAGCCGCCTCAGTAGGGGAAAATGCAACAGAACGGACTCAAAGAAAGTCTAGTCCAATTGACTAGCAGCACGAAAGAAAACTGGACATAAGCCAAGAGCCGGGAAGCCAACGGGGAGTCTGGAATTCCCATTGGATAGCAAAGGCCGTGTCTTTTGGAAAGTCAAAAATAAAATAAATAAAAAAAAGACCAGAAAGGAGGCGGAGGAAGAGACGTCAGGGTATCTCCGTAGTTTGTCAATTTTTCCTAACGGGCTCGCCCGCGGTGGGCAACGTTCGTGATGCACCCATCGCCCTTGGCGTAACGGCTTTTTCGGAAGAAAAATGACATGCTCCGGCTAGGATCGAGCTAGCCGGGGAGGATCGAGACGAGACCAGGTAGACTGCACGCTGATTCGTCCCGGAGATATAGGGTTCAAGGGTCGGACACGTCGCTTAAGTCCAATTTAGATTGAAGGGCCAATCCGACTCCCGAGTGGGCACAGTGCAGGTGTGCACCCCCCGGAGCCTAGCAGGTCCGGCGCATCACTTGGGTGGGGGGGATCCTTGGGCGTCCTTGGGCGTACGGCACGGAAGGGGGGACCCAGAGTTGAAAGAAGAAGTGTAAGCATTGGAAGAGTAGAGCATCGGCGGTGGTAACCGTTGTGGTGGTCCAAAGGTGGACTTAAAGCCGTGAGGCTCCTCCCGTGGAGGCCACTCTTGAGGCTTCTGGGCCACTCTTAGGGCTTCGTCACTGGTTCCGGGCTTGGTAAACTGGGGCCGCATTCCAGCCCTGTGATCACAAACAGTAGTCGTCTCCGGCTTTTAGCCTTGTCCATGATGGAGGGCATGAGGGAATGGTTCGTGATTGTGTTCGGCTCGTTCGGCTCCAAAGGACGTCTGGCCCGAGGATTGGCCGTTGACCAGTTCCTGACTCAGGTGGACGGGCGTCGCGCAGGCGAGCTCGGCAATTTCAGAGTCAGGCTGACCGTCCTCTTTTTTTTTGCCGATACCCTCTGGACTTGAAAGCAGGATCTGGATCCAAATGCCGGCCGCGTAACGATTTAGCTCCATCTGCTCGTCATGCTGAAGGACTTGAAGGATCCAGAAAAAAAAAATGGGTCATCAATATCACATCGGCATCTTCTTTCTCCCCCCCCCCCCACACCGGTCATCAAGCCATAATCGTCCCGAATTTTGCGGTCTCTCTTCATTCGGTCTCTCATCATTCACCCTGAAGGCCCTGCATTCAGATCATCCGTATCACGATGATGGTCTCGTGCTTTGGTGCCCGTTTCAGAATGTCTTGTCTCGCCAGTGTGAATCGTACAGGGTGGATATAATGCTGAAAAGTCCCCCGAGAGCTTCCGAAACCTTCCCCTTCCACCATCCGAGGCGGCATGGGGGTTGTTAAGCAGCGTAGATCGGCAACTGCGTTTCGGAAATCTCAAAACATCATCAATTCCGTTGCGGGCCAGGTGCAGGTCAGACGAAACGGGGAGGTGGAGGAGGGTAGTAGAACAGCTCGAAAGCTTCGCACTGACGCGATGCCGGCTCATCTCCCAGAGAGGCTATTGCGCCGGAATGACGGTCCATTGAGTTTGTCCACGGCAACAGAGCACGAAAAAAGCCGAAATTGACCAAACCTTAAATTCCTCTAGGATTGGATCAATAATGTAACCCATAGGACAATGTTTGGGCGAAAGAGGGAACCGAAGAAGACGGGGGAAGTTGGAAAAAGCAACGGAAATAAAGTTGTTTTCCACGAGATCTGCTCCGAACTATGAATTCTTTTTGAGAAAAGTACCAGATTACTGTATAAAACCCACGACAGCGATGAACTTTATGGCTACTCGTGGCTGATGTGCCGTAGCCCGGATTTCGTCTTTCGGCTAGGGAAAATATGGAGAACTATCATCGTATTATCAATACGCAAGACCCATCGCTCGGTGCCTTGTCCCAGGCGAGACGATGTCCCGTTAGAACCAGCTACGTGAGCACCCACCTATATTCGCGAGTGTACAGTACGCCAGCTCCTAGAAAAGACTATTTGAAAGAACCAATAAACCAGGCAATTTGGATCGGAACACTTGAGAGCAATCATCAAAAGAAGATCCAAATGAAGATTCTCGTCCAACCAGGCCCGGAGGAGAGGTTCGTGTTGACATTGTATAAACTACCTTGAGACCGACTCGATCGGACATTGCTTGAATTCAATTTATACTCTGAAACATGAGTATCCCTTTTCTCCTTTTGAACCTAGAGAGCTTGAGGTTGCACTTGCCATACAATATACATGATCTTCTGTAGACTATACTCCGTACCCCCCGTAGACTATAGATCCTAGACTACGGACTATCACTGCTGATACTATTTATAGCACACGTAGTGATGAAGGAGTCTGATTTGAACATCCACCAGAAAAGAGTCATTTCGTCTTTGCCCAACTGGAGAGAAGGAATGTTGCAATCTGCAACGACCATTATCGTGAAGCTAACTCATCATGAAGTATGTTCTGTATACACTTTTTCTGGATGTGTGGCTGGGCCCGCAACAGGACCAGCCACAAGCGATGAGGAGACGAGGGATGCCAAGAAAACCCCAGTTGAACTGCGAGCAAGATGATCGGAACTCCCGATAAACTAACCACTTTATCTGATCATCATTGCAGAAGATCGCCGATCGAACCCATTGAAGTGGCTGTCCACCTCGATTAATCATCGCGATCCCAGGGCGGAAACGGCCAGCCCGCGCGCTAGTGGAGGTGTTGACAGCTTGGAACTTGCGAACGTTAGAAACGCTGGAAGTCCTTCCAAGAAAACCCCAGCCCGCCACCTCTCCCACTTCCCCTCCTCTGACCGGGTCCAATCCACACTGCGGCCACGATGCCTGGAGAGAACCCCCCGTCTGCTGCTCAAGGTGCGGAAGATCCTTGCCTGATCCCTCCCCTGAGTTCCTCCTGCCTGCCCGCTCACCCCGCTCAATCTCCCCAGGCGCAAAGTCCAAGAAGAACAAGAAGAAGAACGCAAAGGCCAAAGAAAATACCCAAAAGGCCGACTCCGAGCAAACGGAAACCCTGGAGAACCAAGATGGCCTCGTGGAGGTGGGTGCTAGCCCCCCGGGCCCTGCCATTGCAACCGTTGCTAAGGGACCATAGGACGACGCCGAGGACCCCAGCGATCCCATCGAGACCGCAGACACCCATACTACCAAGCTAGATACAAATGCGAACCACACGGCTGAACCACATACCGAGAAGCCTGACTCGGACGACGCCGAGTCCAAAGATCGCTTCGATGCCCTCGTTCGAGACCGCGACTCCCTCCGAGCCGAAGTGACTGACATGCGCAAATCTTTGGAGGAAATACAATCAAAACACCGCGCCGACATGGAAGCCTTGCAGCAGAAATTGGACGATGCGGAATCCAAAAAGGAACAGGCTGAAACGCAATTCCAGAAGCTCATGGAGCGGGTGAATGCAATCAAGTCGCAACTGGGCGCTCGTCTCAAGGAGGATGAGGTGCGTGACCACGTCTCCCATACTTCCTTCCATGGACTCATACTCACGGTACAAAATAGGAGGAATTGGCTCAAGCGCGATCCCAGATTGAAGAACTGGAGGATGAGAACGCCACACTAAAGTCGCAGCTGGAATCCAAGTCTACAGAACTAGCAGAGCTCTCCGAAGATGCGGCACAAAGGACCAAGGAAATCTCTACTCTCCGAGATCGAACGACGTTGTCCCAGCAAAACTGGATTCAAGAGAAAGAGGAGCTAATGGAGCAGAATGGATACCTCCAGTCCGAGTTCGAACAGGCCAAGGACGCCATGCATAACTGGGAGGTGCTGGCTATGGAAGAGCGATCCGTCCGCGAGAATCTAGCGGAGAAAGTGGGTGATCTTGAGGAGCAGCTTGATAACTTGCGGGATGCCTATGAACGTGCGTCTGGTGAACGTGATAGCCAACAATCCACGGTGGATGGTCTCCAGCGGGCGCTACAAGAAATTCAATTGGCGCGGAAGCAGGAGCTTCGGGAACTAGTCGAGACCTCTGATGCTCAGCTTGAGGATTTGCGAAAGTCCCTGCGAGAAGCACAGGAACAAGCGAAGAACGCCGACAAGAACCTTCTTACGGCTCAAGAAGAACTGGAGCGGGTGCGGCCATTTGAGAAGGAGGTGAAAGAGAAGAATCTTCTCATCGGCAAGCTACGACATGAAGCGGTTACCCTGAATGACCATTTAACGAAGGCGCTACGATTCCTGAAGAAGGGCAAGCCCGAAGACAACGTAGACCGGTACGACATCATTCCTAATCTGCAGTTTTATCACTTGATTTCAGGGAGGACCCGTCCTTGCTAACAATCCGGGGTTTCCAGGCAAATTGTAACAAATCATTTCCTGCATTTCCTTGCACTCGACCGGTCAGATCCCAAGAAATTCCAGATTCTCCAGCTCATTGCGGCCCTCCTGGGCTGGGATGACGGTAAGTTTTGCTCCTGATAGCCATTGCACTTACTGTCTGCTAACCCGCCTTGACAGAACAACGCGAGCAAGCAGGTCTGGCTCGACCAGGAACCTCGAGTCATCCAGGCAAGCTTCGAGTCCCCGGTACACCTTTGCGTACTCCCAGCACGCCGAACCTTGCTACCGAGTTCATGGACAATGGAGCATCCAGCAAAGAAACGCTAGCCGAGCTGTGGTCCAATTTCCTAGAGCAAGAAGCAGAGGCTGGAGACAGGAACACGATAAGACGCGGAAGTCATCCAGGGCCAGCGAAATCATAGCGATAGCGCCAAGTGCTTGGTATTTTTCTTTCCTACTATCCAACTCTTGGGGGGTTTCTCCAGGCTGGTTTATTGTATTTGTTGTGTCTCTCTCTACCTGTATAGAAATGGCCCTCCAATAGAGATCAGTCAATCCACACCGCCCCGTATTTCTGCCGGACAATCGTTTTCGTTGTCCACTTTCTGTGCTTTCGCGCTGTCGCAACCTTTGCAATTACTTATGAATCATTTGGCGGCTTTCCGTGCTCTTTCAGTTTCTTCAAGACCCTTCTTTTATACGAATCGCTTCGTCTCTACTATGACTTCCAACGCTGGTACGAATCTATAGCCCCCCTGTTTCCCCAGGCGCATACATACCCCTCCTACTCGACTTATCCATGCACCACGCTTTTCTCTCCTTCCTTCCGGACAAGAACAAGGATCAAGACTGGTCGACTGAGAATATATAGCCCAGTTCCGCCCCGTGGTGATCAGCGGCCCTTCGGGCTGCGGAAAGTCCACACTACTCAAGCGCCTGTTTGCGGAATACCCTGGTAAGACAACGATCCAGTGACTCACTCGCTCGTCCTCGATCAACTTCTAAAAGCATTGAATTATATAGATCGCTTCGGATTCAGCGTCTCGAATACTACTCGGAGCCCCCGCCCCGGCGAGCAAGATGGCAGAGAGTGAGGGATCACAAGAACAAGAAGAGAAGCATTAATCGCATGCTAATGCTTGTCAAGATACAACTTTGTGACCAAGGAGGCCTTCCTGGACTTGGTTGCGCAGAACGGCTTCATTGAGCACGGTACGTGTCATTGCATTACTTGCGCGTGGGACTCCCTACGTGTACAGGACTAAACTACCTCTCCAGCTCAATTCGGTAGCAACTACTACGGCACATCCAAGCAAGCAGTCAAGGCTGTTGCCGAAAAGGAGCGCATCTGTGTTCTCGATATTGAGATGGAGGGTGTCAAGCAGGTGAAGAACAGCGATTTGAACGCTCGTTTCCTTTTCCTTGCCCCTCCTTCCATGGAGGAGCTGGAGCGTCGTCTGCGCTCTCGCGGAACTGAGACTGAAGGTATTTGTGCTCCGTGAACATTCAACACGTACGATAACCCATGTTCTTGCGCTGATATTGGATCTTAAAAAATACAGACAGTCTGCGCCAGCGCCTGGACCAGGCCGTTAACGAGCTGGAGTTCTCTAAGCAGCCCGGTGCCCACGACAAGATCGTTGTGAACGACGATCTGGAGAAGGCCTATGCCGAGCTGCGTGACTGGGTCGTGGACGGTGGCCGTTTCGGTGCGCCGCAATAAAGAGGTGATTATTACTTTTTCGTCCATATAGAACATAGTATTGTCAAGCGTTTGAATCCTCGTACAAACCCGGCTGGAACAAGCCAATGAAAATTATGTTGCACTATCATACAAATCATAGTGCAGGGGCAGCTCGTGGCCACCAAACTGAAAACAAAGAACACCATCCAAGGATAAGAGTTTCTCATCAGGGATAATTAAGGAAACTAAGTACATGGAAAAGACCAAATGGCACGAGCGCTGGATGCCAGACTCTTTTTCCCGGCAATACAAAATCCTAGAGAATAAAGAGACGAAAAAGGTGCCCGATGGAAATCGAAGCATTTCGAGTATTTCGAGTTCTTCGAGGTGATACAAAAAAATGTTGAGGACGAAAAACGGAGAGACGCACAAGGAAAAAGAAAGGGGATATCTGCAAGGGCCTGCTGGCGCCGAAAGGACAGTAAATTTTCGGAGAAGGGGAAAATGAGAGCCTTGCCCGTGGAGGGAGAGAGGAGGTCCGTTTGCTACCGTCGAATGTGTATCAGGAAGCACTCACTCCACCAAAACATAGACGACCGCAACACCATCCAAAGAGAGGGAGGAAGAAGGAGATTAGTAGCCGTTCATGGCCGCCCGTTGGGAGTTGCGGCTGAGCTCGCGGTCCGCAGAGGGGCTGATGGGCCGGCTGCCACCAGAGTGGCCACCGGCAGCGCTGCTCTCCTTCAGGGCCAACAGCTGCTTGGCACGGAAGGTCTCGTAGTGGATCTGGCTTGTGGTCTCGACCAGATCCTGCAGGTGGGTGCGGGTCAGGAAGTTGCGCAGGTAAACGAACTCGCAGTGGTTCTCGTCCTCGACGTTGATGACACCCCAGCGGTTCTGGCGGCCGCGAACCTGCTTGCCGTTGACAACGATGGTCTTCTCACTGCCGACGACGGAGAAGGGAATGATGTCCTGTGCGGGCCAGAGTTAGATACGAGTGATAGATAACGAACATGCGGGGTATAATCGCATACCTTAATCTGAGCGTTGATGGCACGCTCCTCGTCGTCCAGCTCGTCGTTATCGTAGGGGTACATCTTCAGGTTGTGGAAAGCGAACTCCTCCTTGATACGCTCCTTGAAAGCCTGGCGCTCTTCGAGAGTGAGAGAGTCGGCCTTGGCGATGACGGGAACGACATTAACGACGTCGGACAGCTTCTTCAGGACAACGATATCGATAGGCTTGAGACTGATGAGTGCAGAGGTTTCGTTAGTCCATGGTGTCAATACAATGGCACTTACAACATGCCGATTGAGAAAGCAAGCTAAGACTCACGCATGGCCGGAGGGCTGAATGAAGAACAAGCAGCAGTGGATACGGGTATCTTGAATGTAGCGCTCACGCTGAGCAGTGAGCTCCTTGCGAAGGTATGCGGAGTGCTGATCCTTGATATACTTGACGATCGGGTCCCAGCTAATGCCACGTCAGTCCCAGTCTGTAATAATGCATATCGAATCCAAAATAATGATAGTAAAGATATCCGGGGTGTACTCGTACCAGCGGTCGTTGTTGACCTGGTCACCGTAGCCAGGTGTGTCGACAATGTTCAGGCGTAGGCGGACACCGTTCTCCTCAATGACTGTCGCCATGTTGTCAGCGATTGCGATCACCCTGTCGCGTCCAAAGCTATCTCCACGGGGCAAACGTACTATGCGAAACGGTCTGAATCTCGGTGGTGGAGCGCACGGGCTCGTTGGGGGTAAGACGACCCTTGGAGTCGATCAGGTGGGATGCGAAGATGGTGTTGACCAGAGTCGATTTACCCAGGCCAGTTTGTCCTATAAGCAAAGGGAAAACAGGCACGTCAATTCAAAATCCCAGAGCCAGCGGAGGATGCATACATACCAACACACATAACATTGAACTGGAAACCACGCTTCAACAGCTTCCGCTCAATCTGGGAGGTGATACTGTCGAAACCGACGTGGCTGTGGGGGAAGACGGTGGGCTGCTGAGCCGAAGCAGCGCTGGTAGCGGCGGCCATGTTTGGAGGTTGAGGGAATTGAAGAGCGACGGCAGAGAGGAGTGATGAGAAGAGGACCAAGACCGAAACCAGCAAGACAGGTGAACTGAACTAATTCCCCAAGGTGAAGATGCTTGGAGAGCCCCTTAAGTTCGGCGTTGTTATTTCCCTATTGAACTCAGGGGGTGCGCTATGCCTGATTGGGACTAGCGTGATTCTCCCCGAACTGTGCAAAACGAGTTGGCCCAAAGAGGCAGGCTCGACCTTCAAAAGCTTCGTCGACTTCTCCGCAAATCTCCACCACTTTCGCCTCCACGATCATACCTCTGCGTCGCGTCGAACCATGGCCCTCTCTCTTCCTCTCCGACGGGCTCTGCCCCAGTTGCCTCCTCTCGGCTTTCTCTCTACCGCCGCTTTCTCCCTGCCCATTTCCATCACGATCCCTCCGCTGCTCGCCGACCTCTGGGAGTCTGTGCTGCGCGCCGTTCCCAAGAAGAAGACCTCGCACATGAAGAAGCGTCATCGCCAAATGGCCGGCAAAGCCCTGAAGGATGTACAGAATCTCAACAAGTGCCCCGGCTGCGGCCAAGTCAAGCGGGCTCATGTGTTGTGTCCTCACTGCGTGAAAGGTACGACAGCAATTCCTTTTCCCTCATTCCAGAGGTCAGGATACTCGGCATAATCCATTTGAAAGATGTCGAGTTGGCGATCTACGGATCATACTTTGTCTGGACGTATTGCGAGCTATCGGAAAGCTAACGGTTCCTTCTAGATATCAAGCAGTCCTGGAAGTCGGCGCAAGCCGCATGAGTTGCGACCGAACGTTAAAGAAGAGAGCGCCTTCTCACATCCTCATCAAGAGACCGGTTAGAGTGGCCTTGGTGGAGAAGACACGAAGCGCATTGTGTATTACTAGGAATTGGTTGTGGATATATCTGCTGCATGGCATCTGGCGTCTGGTTACGTGGGAAAAAAAAGCGTGAATTCGCTATGTTCAATATATTGGTCGTAATGGCCCATTTGAAAAATCTATTTCTGTTCAATTATACCTTGGGAGTAAATTGGCTCTACTAAGTAAATGTAATTCTTGGTCCGCTAGAGTCGTACAGTCGTAGAGTCGAGTCTTTGTTCAGCATCCTCTATGTTCGCCTGAGGCGCGAAGGCGGAACCACAGCTTCGCCGAAGTCGCGGGTTCCCAACGTCATAACAGAACAAGGCGATTGCACTTTGGATCTGGAACAACACTTCTTCAAGTTGAGACCGCACCCAGCATGGTATTGTCCAAAAAGAATCTTTCATATGTTCGCATCACTGCTAACCCCGCCTAGTCGAGACAATACCTTGCGTGGGGCTCAGCCGACAATGGTGGGTGGGCAAGATCTCAAACTCAACTGATATAAGCTGACCGAGGCCCAGCGCACCCGGTCGACATTTTCTCCCTGGCAGTGACCGAGAAGCAGGTCCTGTCCGTGTCGGGGTCACCATCAATCAAGGTCCATTCGACTACTGATACAGAGTTTCCGCTGGTGCAATCCATCGATGCAGCTCACCCACTGGGCTGCCACCACATTGTGACTGATGCCAGTGGCTCTCGCGCCGTCAGTGCTGGATTCGACGGGAATCTCAAGGTCTGGTCCTGCGTGGAGGGCTACTGGTCGGCAGATGCCGCGACTACAGGTACAGAATAGACATCTCTTCTACTCGCGAAGCCAGATTCCTTCCGTGCTAACTAGGACTCGACAGGTTTCGTGAAAGATGTTCATCCGTGGGCCATTGCCTTGTCTGGAGATGGTCAGTATCTTGCAGGTGTCTCGGAGAGTGGTCGTGTTGGCGTATGGGACTTGAGTGGAGAGGGCGCCCAAATACGAGACCATGAAACCAAGGGCAGCTTTGGCACATGCATCGACCTGGTAGGTTATCTCTCACATTGCTAGGTCTGGACTTCTGCTGACATTTCTAGTCTGCCGATGGCCGGTTCATTGCTAGTGGCCATCAAAATGGTGCTGTCTATATCTTCCTCACCGACACTGGTCGCATGCCGTTCTCTCTATCAGGTGCGCTTAACTCTCAGCGTCCATGGTCCCGCCAAATCTAACACTATATATAGGCCTGGTAAAACCCGTGCGTGCAGTGGCTTTCTCTCCGGGTGGTAAGATCCTTGCGGCAGCTGGAGATTCCAAGGTCATCGTCCTCTACGACACTTCCTCTGGTGAACAGATTGCCAATCTGTCTGGCCACGCGGCCTGGGTCTTGTCTCTTTCATGGAGCAGCTCAGGCGAGTATCTTCTAAGCAGGTGAGTGACTACAGATCTATAATGGTGAATAAAACAGGATGCTAACTGGCCATGCAGTTCTTTCGATGGTAAAGTCAAGGTCTGGTCAATTGACACCAAGATGTGCGTTGCTACACAGTCCGAGACTGAAAAGGCAGTCTGGAGTGTCAAATGGCTTCCGAAGACTGCTCGGTCAGAAAGCTTTGCCACCGGAGGTGCGAATCGGAGTGTTGCCTTCTACCGGGAGGCTACTGGCGGTTGAGCATGGACTTGACGGTATCGCCTCGGTGCCTGTACTGGGTCTACGTACTTTTTGATGACCTCAATGAACACGATGATTCCTGTGCATTAATTTACCCTCATGAATGTCATAACAAAATATATTTACAACCAGATAGGACTGCATTTAGTTCATCGTCTCCATGAACAACTTGCGCATCCGTTTGAGGAATGCCCCAAAATCTCGGTCATCATTAACCAGATCCACCTCGTGCTCCAAAGCGTCCCTATCTACCCTGGGCTTCGTGTGGAACACCTCGTAGTCACGACTGGCAGTGCCCAATTCAAACCAGGCTTCTGCCTCCCAGTCTTTCTCCAGTAGGTGACTGTACACGAACTTCAAACGGTCCTCACGGCCAGCACCCTCGATCCGTAAACAAAGGTAATCCTGCCAAAAGTCCAACTCGGGGAAATTGAGTCGGGATTGTGCATCCAGCTGCTTTGCGTGGGTCTTTTGTGCCTCCAACTTCTGGTTGATCGCCTTTTGCGTTTCTGCGATCTGTTGCTTAAGGCGGTCGCGCTTGGCGAGTCGCGCATCGCGCTCCAGAGTGATGGAGGAGATCGCGGCGTGCATTTCAGCCGCCTCGGCGGCCTCCTTTTGAAGGATTTGTTCGTGGGTCTGTACCTTCAGATTGGTGATTTCAATGTCTCGCTGGCGCATTCGCTCGTCCTCTGCATATTGCGTTAGCTAGTAAGCCAAGAGGGGTGATGTGCCTTAAGAATCGCTTTTTCCATACCTTGCAGCTCGGCGAGATTGATGTGAAATTGGTTTCGCTCTTCAAGAACCCGCTTGCGACCTCGTTCAATAAAAGCGTCAAACTTGGCGGTAAACTGCGCCATGCGATTGCGCAGATCTTCGAATCCAAAATTGATGCTGGGCAGCGAGTCGGCCATGGAGGGGGCATCTGCCGAGGCGAGGGGAGGGCGCATGCCACTCGTCGAGAGGGAGGGCTCGAATGAAGCAGCCATGACTAGGTATCGCCGCAGGTATAGTATCGATGGTAGCAAGACACAGGACTCCGATGTGTGGAATTTGCGACGTGGTGGCTAACAAATGTCAAGAAGGAACTTGACGCGCTTGGGATCGGCGAGTGTTTTGGGTTGCGGCGCAACGGGCGCAGAAGCGGGCTGGCTTATCGATAAGCAATCAAAAAACCTACGGACATTCAACTGGATCAACCTCGACCTCCACGTCAGAGATGCGATAGCATACTCGTCTCCTGCGACGTTCGTCTTTGGCACGGTTGGGGTCCCGAGATCTTTCTCGATATGCTCCGGTCCGGTCTTGCGCCTACTGCAAGGAGCAAAGCAAGATCCGATGGATGAACATCCCGAGAGTGCTCTTCATTATGGGCACGTAGGAAGAGCTGTCTACCTCCCCGAGACGCAAACGTGGACCTTTTCGCGATCTTTCAATAGAAATATTCCGATCTCATATACTGGAGTAACAAAGACGACTGTGCCGCCACCGGACCCTGTCTCCCAGTCACGAACCTCGTCGAAACCTATTCGAACGGCAGATTCGCAACTTATTCCGCATGTCCTCCCGGAACTTGCCTCTCAATGGTCATCTCTTCAAGATGACGCCTTTTCCAAAGTCGTTCTTAATGCAAGCAAGGTCTGTGATCCACAAGTATCCTCTTTGCTCGACCTTGGGTATGCAACGTATCATGGGGCGGAAGATTCAAGAGGTCGAGTACCGATCGCTATCGCGGCGTCGGTGACCGGGGAGTGCGGAAACACAATCTCGTTTCGAGTATTGACGGATGAGACGGTAGAGCTACCGTCGGAGGGATCTGCCCTGCGTGTGCCCTGCATCGGCCATGCAGAGGTTACTGAATGGTCCAAGCGAGGAGCCCCCATTCAGCACATTTGCTTCTCGCGGCCACTAGAAGAGAAGAGTATCTGGATGGCTGCGCGTCTTCAAGAGGCGACCACAATCTTCCGACCTCTATACCATCGAGACCCGGTCGCTATGCATATCCCAAACGATGACACGGCCGCATTCTCCGCGCCTCTTCTAAACTCGCGGCTCGACGCAAATCCCGTAGTGGACATACCAATTTCGCACACTGGCGGTTTCCCGCATGCCGATGTGACTTTCAACCCATGGTATCCGAGACAGCTCGCTATCGTCGATATCAGAGGCAACTGGAGCATTTGGGAAATATCCGGTCGACAACGACGACGAAGAGCCACCTGGGCTGCCACTTGTGCAAAGAAAGGCACCTTGCCGCAGACGGATGAGAAGCCTGATTCAACTCGCCCACGACATGATGGCTGGGCATCCATTGAATGGGTCGCCGATTTTTCGACCCTCTTGGTCTCTGATCGACGTTGTCTCATGCTGTACCGGCTAGCAAATGGTGAAGGTAACAGCAGCATAGTTGAACTTGGCATGACAAGGCAGTCCGAGTGGATTCTTGATGTACAACGAAGTACCCAGAATGTCTCTCACTTTTTTGTCCTGACAACTTCTCGGCTGCTCTGGTATGATCTCACCATGGTAACATCAAATGAAAATGGATCAAGAACGTCGATACGGCCCCGGCAGGCTTGGCGTCATTTCCGAGACTCTGAAGATATAACACTACGTTTGAGTGATCTGCTGATCAATGGAGGTATGTGAACTCTCTTTCAATAAGACTATTGATATTTGAAACGTATATTAATGAACTAGAATTGCATATGGTCCTGTATTCCAAGCTTACCGAGCTTGTTCAGGTTTTCCCATGTCCGTTTCTAGCAGATGAACCCACAGAGTTAGTACCTGTGCCGGATCCCTTCCTGCTAGATATACCATTACAAGTCAATGAGTCCCTAGTCGAGAAAGACACGCCTGTCCACTACTCAACCTTGCTCTTTCGGGAAATCGGTCATACCCCTGCGACCGTTGGTAAATCGCATTATAATCCTGATCTGAAGCTCACCAAATTATTCTGGATTGACTCAACATTTGCCGTTCATGAGAGCCTTTTCAGGCTTCCAGATGGAAAGCCCGAGGAAGAGGATGAGATGCACCTCGAGACCAGCAAGGTCCTGCGTTTAAAGAAGCGACATCATATACCTAAAAAGAAAGCGGACATGGACGAGGAAAACTTTATTGTGGATGACTGTGACGAGACTGTTGCGCCTCCCCTTGCGGCTGTTCACCAAAAGCTTTCCAGTGATTCCGAGATAGATCTCCAGTGGACTTTGGACATGACGTCTATATATGCGTCTGCCGTTGCACATCTGGCCGTTGGCAGAAGTCCTGACAGCACGGACCCGTCGGTATCTACCTTTGACCAGCTCATCCTCGATCGGGAGAACGACCTGACTGATAGCTCGGGGACCTGGGTCGCAACCGAAACGATGTAAGTAGTCTACATGAGCAACTTAACCTCGGATAGACTAACGCTGATTCGATGCAGGCTTGAGCTGAACCATGGCCGGCCGGTTCTGGAGGATATTGATGACACTGCCCTCCATCTAACACGCCTGGTCTCTACCATTCTTCCCGAGACGCCTAATGAAGAGGCCCCCTTTCGATACATGATACTGCCGCATGAGTTTTCACACGTTTTGCCTGGCATGCCATCCATCTCCTCGGATGAATCTTCAAGCTTGGATTTCCTGAGAACGTACGACCGGCTGGTGGAGGAGTGGGTGACTAGCGTTTCGCACGAAATCCCCCGATTTACATGTGTCATGAAAGAGAGAGTCGTTCGTGGGATTACCCTTGATCTCCTTCTATCACGAATCGTCCGTATATCCAACACAACCCCCAAAGACGTGCCGCCAGAAGCGGAAACCACAGACGAAAACCGCCCTGCGGGAGATGAGCCAATGTCTTCCCAGAATCTCTATCCAACTTTACCATCCTCACAACTGCCCAGCAGTCAGATGACGATCACAGCGGGACCTAGCTCTCAAGGACCCCCAAGCAGTTCTTCAAAGGAAACTATGGCCCCATCCTACAGTGGTCTAGCCGCATTTACTACGTTTAAAGTGCCCCGTCCGATGGCCCGGAATGTGGCCAACTTGCTATCTCACTGGAAACCGGGGGCCGACCCATCCGCCTACGAATGGCAAAAGACGTCGCACATGCTGGAGGAAGAAGAGGCACGACGCACAGGAGGGCCGGTTCTACCCCGAAGGAGCCGGTCACGAAGGAAATCGCAGCAGCCATCCATGCCCGAGGCCACATCCCTGCCGGGCACCCCCATTGCACCCTCTATTCGCACCTGGGGTAGTCAGCCTGTAGATGCACTTCCAGCGCTCCCTCTGCCGAGCAGTCAACCGACTCTGGATGAAGGTCCGATGACTCAAGTGGAGCGCGGGCAGTTCGGAGCACGCGAGGCAAAGAAAGGCCAGAAATCCAAGAAGAAGCGGCGGGCCGCGGGATTTTAGCGTAAAAACGAGGGCGCGATTATTGCGGTGATTACTGATTGCACCTTGTTCATACGAGATAGTTCTTTGGAAAATAAAATAATAAAAATAAAAATCCACCATGATCAAATCAATAAGAAATGGCGTGCGACTGATCTCTGCGAATGCGATAAACTCTGAATCCAACTAGTCGAATGTCGAGCCAATCGCGCAAATGGCTCGAACTAGTTTTCTGACAAATTGCGCCTGGCGGAATGCGATCGATAAACACAACAGAAGTAAACATGATCAAGCCTAACTCCCTCGACTAAAAACTATATATATCCATCTTTGTAACGTCCAACAGGCCAGCTAGTCCTCATCACCGCTCGATTCCACTCACTCGTAATCCTTGTATCTTTTTCCCCCCACTCCTTACGTCGCCCACTTCCAACCTTCCCGCCCTTTTAGAATCTCCCCCGCAGCCCCGCGGACATTCCACCTTGCAACAATCCCACTTTGTCGCAGCCATGTCCGACCACCAGTACAAGTTCAATGTGACCATGACCTGCGGCGGCTGCTCCGGCGCCGTCGAGCGAGTCCTGAAGCGTCTGGAAGGTGTGTATACCCCTTGAGATTCGAAAGTGCCTGGGCTGCGACCTTTGTTGATCCCGCGTCGATCCGATCCGTCGTGTTACCGTCTTTGTGTTGTGTCTGTCGCTGACGCTCAAGTCTTATAGGAGTCAAAGCCTTCGATGTCAGCCTCGAATCGCAGACTGCAAACATCACCACCGAACCTAATGTCTCGTACGATACCGTGCTGGCCGCGATCAAGAAGACTGGCAAGACCGTGAATAGTGGCGAGGCTGATGGACAGACCAAGAGCGTCTAAGACGGCTGTTGGTGTATATTGGGAGAAAAGTTTTGGAAGAAGACGAAGGCGGTGTCATGAATGGGAGTCGGAATAATTACTCTAGAAGGGTGCTATATTCTTCAGATGTACTTGGAAGACTTGATCGTGTGCTTCCTGGTGAAGAACGATCTTACCAGCGCTTTGTACCTCTCCGCATTGCCTCAACAAGAAATATTTGATAAAGATTTTGACAAGATTCTGAGGATGACTAGGCAAATAATGTATGCATCGAAGGGTACGGATAATGCTAGGATGAGGGGATCTAATATCTTTGAATTAACATGCCGAGGACATTGACTTGATCTTGGCATCATAAGAATCATAGTAATAGGCACTCTAAGAACATGAATAGGCAGGTGGGTATCATAGTATCGTAGACAATGCGTGCGTAACAAATGCATCAATTCTCATCCAGCAAGTCTTCACAACGCCCTGGACACAGCCTCTCTTGCCCCGCTTTAATCCACAATCACAACGGGCCGTCCATCCGGGACAGTATACTGCGATGGTGGCTGCGACTCGACTCGTTGCACATAAATTGGACGATTTTGCTCAACCATTTGGAAGGATCGCGGATCATGGACACGTCTGCAATCATGTTAGTTCCAGCAGAGGCAGTGAAAACCCACTGAATAGACGAGCATGAGACAACAGTCCAATGAGGGCTTACCGTGGCGCACCAAGCCCGCTACCAGGGCGTCTGTCACGAGAAGCGCCACTGGGTTTACTATGAGGTTCGCGCGGGCTAGGCCCGGCATTGGGATGATGAGGCGCCTGGCCATGAGAGACTATCGCTGCCCGTGGGCTTCGAGGGTGACGGGTTTCTGTGGGGCCCTGGAAATGAGGTAGATCTTGAGGGGGATGGGGGTCAGGGATCCTCGTCCGTGCCGATTGGCCATGGTCCTCTTCCACGCGCATGAGTGGTTGGTGCCTCGGCCGCGGGAGATAGTATTCCACTGGGACCGGGCGAGCCTCGCGGTATTCAACCTGACGAACGAAGCCGTCGGCGTACAGCTTCCCGTTGGAGGGAGCAGGATGGACCACGGAATGATCGGCATCAGGATGGGATCTCCAAAGAGGCACTCGTGGTTCTTCAGGCTTTGATGGCCGTGCACGATCCAAACGGGGACTACGATCCTCATAGTAAGCTGGACGAAGTTCCGAGTAAGAAGCATCTGCTGGTAGCCCCAGGGTGCGAGCACTAGGGGTGACAGTGCTGCCGTATCCATGGAGGCTTGGCTGTGTTGAATGCATGGATATTGGTCCATAGGGGTCGGCCATACGTGTCCGCTCTAGAGGGGGCCTGGCATTCGAGCTGACCTGAGATGGAGCCAAAGGGGCGGGGTTTCTCTGGTGCGGGTGTCCTATAGCTAGGGGATGTTCTGCGGGTAGAGGAAGATCCCGACGGAGATAAAACCTGTCCTGCGTATGAGGCTCTGGAGGGATAACCTCCTCGCGGCGATACGGTCCTCGGGGTCCTTCCGGGATAGGATGCCCAGTGAGTCTTGCGTTCCGCTCATGGAGGTGTGGGTTTACAGGGCCCGCAGCATAGTGTGCCAGCCGTCTCCTCTTGCAGCTCTGATCATCCGGGCTGTCAGGGGCCATGGGTTGAGCGTGTCGGGATGTCTCACTCTGGGAATGACCTGGGGTTACGGAACGAAGCGACATCTTGTTGGTCAGATGCACCAAGCGGCCATCTGCCCGGCGCTTTTCTGCGAGGACGGGAGACTCCATTAATTCAATCGATGGGATTGCGTCCTCACGATTTGATCCTGTCCTAGGATGAAGGGAACCAGTAAGATCAGTCCGGGGTCCAAAATGGCTCTCCCTAGTTGGGTGGTGTAGTTCCTGCGGCCCGCTCACAAACACCGGCGCATCAGCTCTGTTGTTGAGTGATACAGGCGGCCTCTCCAACCGAGCATTAGAACTTGTGTTGGGGTATGATGATATACCCTGGGAGTAGCCAGCATTCACCGCGGGATAGTTTGCCACTTCTGGCTGACGAATTTCATGCAATTTCTGTGTGATTAGTGGTGGCTGTCGCCCACTGGATTTATATTGGGCAACTATTGGCGGGGTCTCCAAAGGAGGGCGTCTTTCTTGAGCACCTACATGGCTCCTTCCGGACGGGGGATCCATTGGTGGCATGGCAAGTAGTCGTTGTCCAGAATTATCAACGTAAGAGGGCCCTGACAAAACCCTGGGGACGGTCTCCATGGAGGACAGGGCAACCTCTCGCCGTCGAGGGGGATCTGGCATCTCATGAGTAACAACAGGACGTTTCCCATACCGCGGACTCTGCTTTTCACCGGATGTGGCACTGTTCACAGGGACCTGTTCAGTACCGTTGGCTTCAGCTCGATACCGATTCAGTGCGCGGTTCCAGGCTTGATATCTGTTGAATCCACGGCGGTTGATGGCATTCTGGGCTGGTACCCTGGTGACAATCCGATATCCAGGCGGGGCTTCCTCAGACTGCTCTCGCAACGGGTCCTGTGTGGTGAAATGCACGGCGCTTATCGGTTGAGTTTGAATCTCATGGGTCCGGGCATTGCGAGAAAGAATCTCAATGCTGCGGTCCCTAGTATCTGATGATACAAGCCCTTCTTCCTCTTCTGTTTCGCTGTCGTCGTCATCCGATATGACGATAACCTCGCGGAAAACGTCCTCAAGAGCGGTCTGTCCATTTTCATCGTCTCCACGCCACGCGATAACTTTGGACAGGGTCACCTGCTCCACTTCCGACCTAGCTTCATGAAATGATTTCTGCTTCAGAAGGCGATCATAATCAGTGTAGAGGTGGCGAATGTGTGCCACCACCGCCAGTTGTGCTCTGCGAGCTAAAGGCAATTCCGATGCTGTGCCGACTTTCCGTTGACCCTGACACCGTACATATAGATATCAGGTACCTCCGATCTTTCTCATCCCACTCGCCTCATAGAATATTCTCAGCGGACTCACCTTTTGAAAAGCCGTCTTGATAATCTGGTTGAGATCGTTGTCAGGGATGTTAGGAAATAGGTCCCTTATCGCATCTCTCGCTTCGGTGTTGATTGTGATTTGATCGACCTCGGAGTTCGATGGGGGGTTCGCTTGTAGAGTACCAAGTGTGTGGAAGGGGACTGCTTTCCCAGCACTCGTAAGGTAAAGGCCAAGCTCTGAGCAAGCCGCTGCGACGACTGTGCTTGGGAAATGATACCCTATCCTATGGACATGCTGAGACAGATTATGTGTGCCCATGTGAGGTGTTGTCTGGTCAAGTTGAGCAACGTCCGAGCAGAAGGGAAAGAGACGATGCAGTTGTGTCTTACCGAGACCGCGTAGACCTGTAGTCCATCCTTCCGACACCGCTCCTTGCAAGATGTGGTCAGAAGCGGGTTTCCCGCTGGGATGAATGTATAACCACTCGGTGCCTGGGCTTCAAAACAGATCTATCGTTGCCCTTTTAGTGATGGTTCGACCGTACTAGGCTGATTCTCAAAAACGTACCACACTCCGCAGCTTTTTCTTCTCCTGAGTGACCGTCTCCATGATCACCTTATGCTTGCGAGCTCTCCTCTGGACAGCGCGACTGGGCGCGCGCCGAGCCGAAGCTGACATGGCCCTTCTCACGACCCGGGCCATTTCTTTTCAAACCGGCTTTCGATAAAGCCTTGCAGCAAATTCCGTTCAATACATGTTTTCGATATCGGCGCGAGGGGCTCAGAGGAGGAGACGTCGAGGGTAGGAGCGTAGATTCGGGGCGGTCAGTTCATAAAACTGGAGTTGGGTTTCAATGGGTACAACGGGTACGCCGGTATACTCAGGGCTCCGAGGGAGGCGCCGAAGGTATGGAGGAGTACGGCACGTTGCAGATGAACACGTCTTATTAGCTACTGGAGCCAGGTCGACAAAAGACGAGCAAAGCACGAATACTGCAGGTTCGCATCCCAAGTAAGGTGGGGGGGAAATGCGAAGACGAAGCGATTGCGGCCCAAAGTCACCTGTCTTGAACGGGACTAGCGTTGCCTGAGGCCTGCGAAAAGTGAAGCTGCCACCGCCCAACGAATCCACATGGAATAGACAAATCAAACTACAACTACTCTACCATGAGCGCTTCTCAGATCAGACCGCTGGTCAACCAGCAAGAGATCGTTCATGCATACCGTCATCTCTACCGACAAGGTCTAAAGGCCATCAGATATGCGACACCAAGCCGGCATGTCCTTCGAACTACCTTGCGGACATCCTTTCGCGCTTCTCCACCCGCGGATTTCAACCCATCGAGAATCGCCAATACCCTCCGCTTTCTTGAACGTGCAGCCGACATGACGGGTCTAGAACACAAGATTTTCAAGAACTTGCTATTGTCTCGATATTGGGAACTACCGCAGATTGCCAAAGAGAGTCGCATGTAAGTTGCCCGTCACCCTGAAAGTGGAGAGGATATCGCTGACTTGCGAATTAGTCTACGAAGTCTTGGACTTGGCAACGCAGAGCACCAACTGCGGAAGAGTGCCTACGACCAACTCAGTTCGACAGTGGAGCGTCTAAATGAGAGCCTAGGGACGTGTCTAAAGTGAAATGGACCCTTACATTGAAGAGGACGGTGGAATGAATCCCGTCTGATTCGCCGCACCACCAGTTCAATCCTACGTTGGGCCTCCGTACTTCAGTTTGGGCAGATACCGAGAGGTATAGACCCACGAGGCAGGTTTCCAGAATGGGAATCGAGCATCAATCTTGCCCTTCTCCTGCAATCTAGTCGCCTTACCTCCGTTGCGCCTGGGTTCCCGGGAGACTTGACGGATTGACCGTCTGTTCTGGGCAGATGGTCATACTACTGCTACCCTCCGTCGCGTCGCACTATTCGCCAGCGATATATAGGGAGGGTCTGCAACTTACGGTACATACACACCCTACCACCTCCTAGAGCCCTCTGCTGCCATGCAGTTAGCCTTATACTCCAGGATCTAGAGAGCCAAGGAGCTGTGATCGGATTGGATGCAGTCTGCTGCAGGTCTGGATGATAGTTTAGTCAAAAGTAGAATTCTCAATACATTCAGCAGCTTCATAAGCTACCAGGTTTTGGGAGCTCAATCTCCAACAGACTCAGATTTCATGGTATTCGCGAAATTCGTATGTAAATTTGTTTGGGTTATACTTCCAACGGCCATAGCGGGGGACGGGCATGTGACGATGATGATTCAGCAGCCCGACGTCACATGCCACCAACCTCAGCACCTTTCGACAGTCTCCTCGACTGCAAGGAAAGAGGCTGTGGGTGATTTCGATTGCATTCAATCTAATTCACCTCAGCCCTTCATGAGCAGCTTCATTACATCACTTCTCACTGAGCTCGGGTTCCGAACACGCCTTCCCCGCACCCTCCAGCCTCGACCCGAAGCGGAGGCCTCGCCGAACGGACAGACATACCCGACCTCAAACCACAACGTCGATTCCACGAGTCGTGAGATTAGCAAAGATTCTAGGGTAATAGAGCGGAGCAGTGGAGATGCAGGCAATTTACCTGCGCCTCCCTTCTTTGCAACCTTACCGAAAGAGATGGATGGCCGAATCCCAGAGCCGGAGGGCAGTCGACTAGCGCCTCATCATGGTCGAATTACCGACAACCAACCCATACCGGTGACCAACACCCACCCAAATGGCCCTATCACCCACAATGTTAGTGACGTGCTTTCAGCAACCAGGGAGGGCCAAAGACCCGAGCAGGGTGGGACATCAGGGCAACAGGCGCCGCCATTGGGCACAGATCAGGACGGCAGCGGGCAATCACAAATCGGTGCACTGAATATTGATGAACTCGGCCAAACTTCATTGCCAGCGGATGATGGAATGGGTTGGTTAAGGAAGAAGATCCACACTATCCGAGATCTGGACCTCAACAATAACGAAAAGGCCCGTATGGTCCACGAGTTGATGACAGAGAGCTACAACTCTACTCGAACCTTACCACCAGTCTCTCCCTCAATGCTTTCTCCAATGCTGAGCTCCCCGGGTATAAGCCATTCCGTTGGTTCTCCCGCTTCGGAGGTGAGACAGCTTTCAGATCCAACACCGACGAGCCTCAAATCTCCAGCGTCGATTCCCCATTATGAGACTCAGTTCTCGCTTACCCCCGATGACTTACAACCAACATATGTTCCAAAAGTTGAACCCGAATCAGTGGCTGAAGCTGTTGAAGCCGTTGATGCTGCGGATGACGATCCAGATACGGAAGAGTGCGACGAAGCGATTTTAGGCTGCCAGCACTATCATCGAAATGTCAAGTTGCAGTGCCATACTTGCAAAAAATGGTACACTTGCCGATTCTGTCATGATGCTGTCGAAGATCATCCTCTCATTCGCCGAGACACTGAGAATATGCTCTGTATGCTGTGCGGACATCCTCAACCTGCGGCACAGAACTGCAGACAGTGTGATGAGCAGACTGCCCAATACTACTGCGATATCTGTAAGCTCTGGGACAATGATAGCAATAAAAGCATATACCACTGCCACGATTGTGGGATTTGTCGAATTGGCCAGGGACTTGGCAAAGATTTCTTCCACTGCAAGGTAAAATCCAACCATGCGCTCCTTTAACTACATGATCCCGGTACTAACAAAACCTAGACATGTTCCGTTTGCTTGCCCATATCAATCGAAGACACTCATCGATGCATTGAAAGATCAACCCAGTGCGATTGTCCCATTTGCGGAGATTACATGTTCACCTCTCCAGAAACTGTCGTCGTGATGCGATGTGGCCATAGTCTTCATCATAAGTGTCTCTCAGAGTATTCAAAGACATCATTCCGCTGTCCAATCTGCAGCAAGACTATAACGAACATGGAGTCGACCTTTAGAAATCTCGATCGCACGATCGAGAGCCAGCCAATGCCCGCTGAATTTAAAGACACGAAAGGTCTCATTTATTGCAATGATTGTGGGGCCAAATCTGTCGTCAAGTACCATTGGTTGGGCTTGAAATGTGACTTGTGGGTACCAAAAGAGGATTCGTCACGAGCCAGAACACTGACATATGCATGCAGATGTGAATCATATAATACCGCTCAACTCCAGGTTCTGCAAGGAGGAGACATTAATGAAGTGCTCGAGGAGGAAGGCGTTGGAGAAATTGCATCTCGACCACGCTCAGCATCTCTAAATCCGGACGGCGAACCTGCGACCTCATTGGCAGCATTGCATCTTACCACAAATCCTGCTTCTTCACGCTTGAGCGTTCCGGTATCTTCCGGCACCGGCGACGACAGGCGATCTGTTTCTTATAATATGACTCATGGGCGTGCCATATCACCAGTGGTTAGCAACTACTTTGGTTTACCCACCGAGCGTGAGTCGGAGAAGCCGTCGTCGTTGCCTTTCTTCGGTGGCGCATCCCGCACTGAAGGTGAGACGGAGTACGGTGCATTGAACTTTTTGAGCAAGAAGCTTCGCGATCGATATGGATTCCTCGCAGGTGATGTGACAACCGCCGAGGCCACCTCATCAACAGCTGATGAGGAGGAGGATGATGATGACGACGAAGAAGATTACGATGGGGAATCCTCAGACAGTTCTTCAGACACAGACGAGGAAGATAATGAAGAGGATGACGATGACGACAAAGGGGAATATATCGACCTTTTTGGCCATCGATGATCGCCCCACCTCACTCTCCCCGTTTCCCGAGTTCTCTACAACGGCTCTTGGGCTAGACATGTCTTCGAAATAATGCAGCAAGCGAATCGAAATGACACAAATCTTGGCACCATTTACGGACGCCTCTGTCGTCCCTTCTGGCTCTACCTATGGCCCTCTCACACAGAGCCGCCCGGGCTGCTGTGCCTTGCAATCCATCTTCATCTTTCCATGCCGAAGTTTTGACCTTGACTTTGTGTTCTCCGGGAAAGGGCGGCTGAACATTAAGGAACCGTGGGAGCCTGGACTCTTCTCTCTGCAAACACCTTCGCGGCATCTTCTCTTGGACCAGAAGTCACACAGCTATGCATGATTATGAAGGGCAATTCGGACAGTCCGTCAAAGATGCAACATGGCGACATCTTTGAAACATTACTCTCATACTGGAAACCCCACCTGCCGTTTGAGTTTTTCAGCTCTTGTATGGCCTCTCGGACGTTTCAGCTCAATACTTAGCATTTAGAAAAGTCTGCCTGCTCTGGCATGGCGCCTGCATATTCTCATTAAGAAGCGTTAGCATTGCGGCGAAATGGAAATCAATTTTCGATCAGCATCCCTCGAAACTGAATTGATGCTTGACAAGCTATAAGTACAACGCCGATCGTTTATAGTAGGCCCTTTCGTAAAGGTTAAACAACGCCGTTGAAGGAAAGGTAATTCGAGCTGCCCTCTCAGCTGTGATATATAGTAGTCCTGATCAAAGAGTTGGGCTGGCTGCAATCTTGTTGACAGTATCCGTAGAGCGTGTATGCATGCGACCTCCTTGACGGCAGTCCTCTAATTTTTCTTAAATGGTGCGCCGAGATCTGTTCTAGGGCACGAACTTTACGTCCACTGCCAAATTCCCGACGATACCCTAGATTGTATGTAGACATTGTCTCGACAGGAAAGGAATGAAAAAAAAAAAAAAAAAAACAAGAATCATCATTGTGGACGAGGTTTCAGACAGGGCTTCACGCCTCTGATGATTGACTTAGTGCTATGCAAGTTCCGCAAAAATCTAGGTTTCAAAGACGAGAAATACTGAAGGCGAAGACGCAGATCAGGATGAAGGGTCCTTCAAAATCGAGTCCTTGACTCGGTCGTTCTAGGCGAGGGCCTTGCCGCAGGATCACACATGACCAATGGATATCAGGCGCCGTGGAGGTAGCAGGAAGGTGGAAGTCAGGAGACACAGAGTGTTATGGATTTTTTGCTTTATTGGTTGGTTTTTGCCCAACATGTGAGGAGATCCGCTTGCAGCGATCTGCGTCGCTGATAGCTAATTCGAGGGTTTCATATTTCCGAAGGCAGATATATACAAAGCAAAAACACGTTCAGATTGGGGTCGCTAATAAGCTTCAGTACTACAAAGGATAGCCAAACCAGTATTGTAGATAAATGCGAGATCCCAACAGTATAATTGCATCTGTTTCAATTCATCCAATCCATTATGCATACACCTAGAAATTAGTCTGCTGGTGCCCAAGATGGTCAAGTGCCATCCCTAAATGTCGACGCTGCGGCTTAGATAAGCGTCGTTGACGTCTTTCTGCTTGCGGCCACGCGATTCCATCGGATCAGCAATCAACAGTCAGGCCTGCCCGGTTTCGTGGATGGGCAAGCCAAATAATAACGTTCATTCTCCTCGGTTACTTCTTCTCTCCTTTCGCCTTCTTCCAACATGGAATGAATCCTCTCCTTTCTTCTGAAACGAAGCACGGATCCCTCCGCAACCCCGGCCGCCGCCCTGGTGTGAGCATGCTCCTCCGCGTTTGATTTCAAACTTCCAGATTGCTTGCCTCCTCATTCGAGATTTTGACTCTTTAAAGAGCGTGACAGAGACTAGGTTGGTCCGAAGCCGCCCTTCGTTTCGAGTTCACGGCCTTGTCTAATCGCTTATCAGTTCAGACCTGCCCCGCCGCGTTCGTCCCACTGCTCCCCCTCCCCCCTACGGCGTGTCGCACTCGTCTCGTCTCTCGCCTCGACTCGACGATGATGCGTCGCAACTCCGATATCGAGATCCATCTTCCTGATGCGGGACCAACTCCCCTTTCTCCCGACTCCTTGAACGAACCTGACGTGGAAATGACATCCGAGGAACCCGCACCTCCGCTTACCCTCCCACCGCACATCGCCGCTCGCTTCTACCGCCGGAATAGCAAGGTTCGGCGCTCCTCTGCGGCCTCTTCACGACGCAGTTCTGTTTCTTCGCTGCATTCGCATCACTCCAACGCATCTTCCAATGGCTCCACGAGTGCAGATCATATTGCCCAACATCTCCGGCGCACCTCTATCCTCGAGACCCGCAAAGCCCGTCTAGCCGATCGCGCACTGCACGCCGAAAAGGTGCGGCTGCGCGCCGCCCTGGCAAAGGCGGCAACTAGAAACCTCCATAGCGAAGAGCGCGCTTTGGCAGCTCAACAAGCCCGGGAGCGTCTGCTGGCTGATATCGCGGCCAAGTGCGAGGACCAAGTCAAGCGAGCCAAGAAGAAGGCCGAGGACCATCGGGAGAAACAGGCTGCGGAACACGCACGTCTCAGGCTTGAAATGGCCGAGAAATTTGCAGAGGCAGAGAAGCGACGAGTACTTTACCAGCAGACTCATCGACGCCAGCGTACAAGCAGCTTGCCGGCTGCGGAGGAGAAGAAAATGGCCCGAGCGGTCACCAAGTCTCTGACGCAGGACGCTGCTGCTCGCAAGATTCAGCGAGTCTGGAGAACACACCACGCAAAGGCGGTGATGCAAGAATTCCGCTCACTGAATCTATCAGTCAGCCAAGTTCGCGAAATGTCATTTGAGAAGGTGGGAGCCCTTCTCTCCAATAAGGCCGTGCTGGATACCATGACCAAGGTCCTCCGCCTGTGCGGACTACAGGACATGGAAGGTGGGGTGATGGGTGAGCGAGGCGCAGTGCGAACCTTTCTCAGCAGCTACCTGATTGTCACCCACCCGACTGAGGTTCTGAGCGGTGATGGAGAACAGGAGCAGGACTTGATCAACAAGGCGCGTGAGCTCCTGGTGGCATTCGACCAAGTCACTGCGTTGCTTTCGTCTGGCTGCTGTTCTCCAACCGTAATAACTGCGGATCTCCAGTCTTTGTGCGAGTCGCATAACGTGTTTTTCTCAGCGTTTCATGCATGGAAGTCTCATGATTCGACTGTATTGATTGAAATCATGCTTGCGCAATTCGTCGAGCTAGAACTTATCTGGCAGACAGTGAAAGACGACGAAGCCGGTGGTGCAGCTGATGATTATCGTCAGGGCATTCGGCAAAACCAGATCCTTCTCCTGGCCCGACTTAAGCGGCTTGCTGGTTCGGAAAAAGCCATGGGGATGATCCGACAGTCTCTCAGGAAAGCCAAGCGAGAGAAGAAACGCTTTGCTTCCAAGCAGGCCATTCCTCGTTCTACCGAGGCAGCGGCAGCTTCCTCGACGGAAATCTTGACCGAGAGTGTCACCTCCCCCATGAGCGAATCTTTTAATAATGTGGATGTCGCCGTTCTCCAAGAGCTGGATAAGCAGCGTGCGTCTCCACATGAACGATTTACCAAGATTCTTACTGCCCTTCCCGAGAATCGGGTTTTGGTACACGAGCTTCTGCTCAATAAAGAATACAAGATAGAAGAGGCATCATACACCGATCCTAGACGGCAAATTATGGAGCATATGTGCGAACAGATGAGACAGGATGTGGAAGCAGGGAATGGCACTGGCTGGACTGTTGCCATGGCCACTGTGATTCAAGACCGTTTACTACGCTCGCTTCAACCCGGCAACTCCCTTTACGTCCTTATTAGCGAAGTGTTGGACCCGAAACTGGTTGAGAGCCAGTGCAAGGCGGGCTCCTTCTCTTATGAGAATTTCTTCAGCTTTATGAACAACATTCTGCCTCGCCTCTGTGCGCCATATCGAGACCCAGTCGTCAAAGCATTCGCCGAGGATACCTCTGGCGACGCCATCGACCGACTGGCGAGACTAATGAGTATAATTGACCTGTTGTCGCTGGATCACACGAATTTCATGATCCAGGTCGCCGCGCCACAGCTTATTCAGGAGGCGCCTGGTTATGAACAGCGAACCTTTGATAAGGGTGTTACAGATGGTACGATCACACTTGGGAAGACCAGACGTTTCTGGCGCACCAATCGAAAGATAATTGTCGACGAAATGAAGAAGCGAGACCCGGAGAATATCCACGGAGAGCCTCGCCCTCCTGCGTCACGAATATATGCACACGGTCTTGTGGACCTAGCCCTGAGCAACGCTATAGTCTCTGAGGATCTGATCCCGGAGACGCTGGCGCTTGACCAGCAGCGATTGGAGCGGCTACACGCGAAAGCGTTCCAGATCGTGGCAACCGCGTCTATTTTGCTGACGGCGAAGAATTTGCTGAAGCGGGATGCACGGTCTCAGTGGAAGCCCGAGGCTGATCGGATTCTGTCCTTGAACTTCAATGAAATTAGCGCAGAGCGAGTGCATTCAATTCTCGAGTCGACGCATCCCATGCCACCGGCCACGAGTGCCCAGCTTGCTGCCACAATCAGACGTGTTCTTACACCTGTCGCTACCGCAAGTTCTTCCGCCGCAATCCAGCCTGCCGTGCAGGTTCGTGCGGATGCATCTTCTGAGCCGTCAACCGCCGAATCCTCTACCAACGGGCCTTCCGCACTGAGCTTCTCCGACCCAGTGGCCAAGCTCATTCTCTCCCGTCTGCGAAGCCATGTCCTCTCTCGCCTGAGTGCATCAAGCGCCTCCGAGCGAGTTCGGGCCACTACGACCGCAAGTCAGAGCCTCGCCGCGGCGGGTATGCCGGAGTTTGTCAGTGAAGTCGGCAAGTTGGTCGATGAGCTGGAGAAAGTACGCGAGGTCGACTGGCTCTGCCATAACAGCGTATATGAGCGTCTCCGTGAAGAAGCCATCCCCCCACAGTGAATGTCGTTTTTTTTGAGGCATCCTAATTATATCATTATATCATGACTTTGGGGTTCAATTGGGTCTCTCGTTTTCATTGCCAGTGGTAGTGTTACGTTCTGTTTATTTCTTTCGTACTGCTCGCAATTGCATTTGATCTGTTTTGCTTGGGAGGCTTGCAATATGGGCAGATTGGCAGGGCTGGCTTCAGGATTGGGATGGGACTGGATCAATTGATTATGCTTTGAGACCGGGACTTTGGGTTCAGGAGTTTGGACAGATGCAACAGATTCAATTTGAACCTATTGATTTACGTTGGAATGACCTTGTTTTCCACGTAACTTGTAGACTCGATAATGATATAACTAAGCATATCCGCTATCTTATCAACCTTCTTCCACCCCACATCCACATCCTTAACCCGACCACCCTCACCTCAAATTCCCCTCTCCACCACCACCCCAAGCAGGAGCGAATACCTCTCCTGCATCTCCGAAAGACCGACCATGGCCACTAAGCCAGTCCTCAGCCTCCTCTCAGACCTCACACCACCCTCCCTCGAACGAGCATGGCTCACGGCCCCGCACCCCACCCTCCCCATTGTCGCGACCTGCAGCTCCGACAAAACCGTGCGAGTATACTCGCTCACCAACTTCAAGCTCCTTTCCACAATTACAGGCGGTCATAAGCGCAGCGTCCGCACTGCCGCCTGGAAGCCTCACGTGCAAGGCGAAAGTGTGCTCGCAACGGGCTCCTTCGACGCCACAGTCGGCGTCTGGCGACGATGGGACAGCTATGGGCGGGCGGAAGGCGGCAGCGCGGGATGGGGTGGTACCGGGGCCAATGCCGATGTGGACGGGGACACTGCGTTGACATCCAATGGCAATGCCGGCGGGAATGACGAGGAAGACGAAGAATGGCGGTTTGCGGTGTTGTTGGATGGACACGACAGCGAGGTGAAATCCGTCTCGTGGTCGGCGTCGGGGATGTTGCTGGCGACGTGTGCGCGGGACAAGTCAATCTGGATCTGGGAGGATCTGGACGACGGCGATAACAACTTTGAGACGGTGGCTGTGATGCAAGAGCATGGCGGTGATGTAAAGTGTGTTGCGTGGCATCCCGCGGAGGAGTGTCTTGCGAGTGGAGGCTACGACGATACGATCAGAGTCTGGCGCGAGGATCTGGATGATTGGGGCCAGGTGGCGTGCATCAAAGCGCACGGCGGCACGGTTTGGTTCCTGGACTGGGAGAATGTGGACAATTTGCCGTCGACTGCTTCCTCTTCACCGGATGACAGCGCGGAGCTGGTCAGCCAGTGGCGCGAGCAGCGCGCATTGTCTGGTCCTCGTTTGATATCCTGCTCGGATGACCGGACTGTGCGTATCTGGCGCCGGGTACCCAAAGAAAGCGGAGCGCCTGGTATGAACTCGTCTGCAGCGACCGGAATACCGAGTATCATACGGCCCACCGGATCCGACGAGACATGGGAAGAGGATGCGGTGCTGCCGCATGCACACGAGTTGGCCGTGTACGCAGTTGCGTGGAGTCGACGAAGTGGACTCGTCGCGTCAGTGGGTGCCGATGGACGGATTGTGCTGTACGAGGAGCGGCTCGTCAAGGCCCCAGCGCCCGATGTGGATGCTATGGACACTGAAACCACACAGAAGCTGCCGGTCAAGACGGAGTGGTCTATTATCGCGGTGGTTGATGGCGCCCATGGCATCTATGAGATTAACCATGCTGCCTGGGCGAAGCGAGCGGATCGTGGATCTGCGGATGGCCAGGAGGAAGAGGTTCTTGTGACGACTGCAGACGATGGTAGCGTGAAGGTATGGACGCTCCGGCGGTGAAGTATATGCATGGGAATCAAAATGACATGATGTGATATAATGTCTATTGAAAATACATATCGGGCAGCAAGGGTATACCCAGGGAAAGCCGGACTTTTGAGATGTTATTACATGTAGACAGCCAGTGAAAAATCAATGTGTCAGAATACAGCTAGAAGTTTCGTTTTTAAATGCACACAATTTACATCACATTAGAAGCTAGGAAAGGAAGATACAGGTCGTTGTATAAGAGATTCAATATTGAAGAGAGCAAGATCTGGACGCATACATCTTCCTCGATTGTAACGCCATAGAAAAAGATATGTCAGGAGAGCTGAGCCTGTACAAGGTTCAATTGGTCATTGTAGTTTTAACAGTGGCGATGTCGAGATGCCTCAAGAAGGAGAGGTAGTTTTTATCAGTAATCCGGCGAAGGAGACACATTCGTTGGCTGAATATATTGAATCTATGAGAGATGCTTGATTTTATACGCCCAACTTTACACGGATGCACGCAATCAATCCCGGGGAAAAAAAAGAAAATAAGACACCCCACGGAATGAGGCAACCGGGAAACCAAACCCCCCACCCACCGCGCCAAAAGATGCAGAGTTCCGATATCATTACGATGATGATGCCGATGGCTGGCGGTGATCACCAGGTTTCCCAGTCGGTCGATGCTCCTCATACTCATCCTCATCTCCACTCAAATCCCAATCGTCCCCAACCACATGATGCTCACGGCCGAGGCCGGGAGAGTGCAAAGTATCCAGCTCCGACTCATCAAAGTCACCAGCTTCGACATCTGTAGTTGACCGCTTATTATGGAAGCGGTCGAGAACGGATCCACCTGGAATGTCGGGGTTCTTGACGCCACGGTAACCACGGTGGGAACGACGAGAACGCCAGATGAAGAAGCCCCAGACAGTAACACCGATGATGACAACGATGAGGATAGCCTCGCCGGACTTAGTGTAGGCGTGGAGTTCCGTCTCCTTCAGTTGCTTATTCGCCTGTTCCTCGGCGGCGGTGCTGTTAGGGTGACCGCCAACCGACGTCTGGGGTAGCTTTTCTCCGTCGATGCGCGAGTCAGCGGGGCGGCCACCGATGCTGGCGATGTCGACTCTCATAAAGCGATCTAGCATGTCGCGGGTCTGACGGGGCTGGTCGAAGGGGACCATGTGGCTGGAGTTGTAGAATAGCACGTAGGTCAAGTTACGGGCGTACTGGTAAATACCGGCAGGCTCGCCCTCGAAGGTCCAGTCATGGCGTGGGGCCCAGACGCCCGGGTCCGTTTCGAACCCAGTGGCACCCTTCCACTTCATGTTGTGGATCAGGGTCTCTGTGCCGAGATGGTTGCAGATCAGATCCTGGTCACCGCTGAACAGGAGGATATTGATGTCCGATTCGAGCAAGGCGGGGAGCAGCTTGACGCCGGGGGTCGAATGGGAGGCCAGGAATGTCGAGCTGACAGCAGAATTACACTCCATCCAGCCAGCCGTTTTGGCAGGGTTCACATTCAAGGCTTGTCTCACGTCCTGGCGACGAAGGTAAGGTGTGATATTGACCAAGTCTGGGGGCCAATTCATACCGCACTCGGGGTATGTATCTTGTAGGCGAATGTCGTAGGTATTGACACATTTGCCATCCTTAGTGGTCAGTCTGGTCAGTCCCTGCAAAACATCCTCACACTGGCGAATGTTGACCATATCCTTGCTCCGCGGGTCCTCCAGTGCAGCCAGACAGACCGAGTTCAGAGACTCGACCTGGCGGTAGGACTCAGTTCCCTCCTTGATCAAGCCCATACGTTGAGCGAACTCGAAATAGGCGGGGGACTGGTCATAGGGGGAGATCCAGCCATTGCCAATCAGCAGCCCCTTCAATGGCCATTTCGTCTTTCCTTCTTTCTCAGCGGCCTTGTTGCGCGCTTGGATAGCGGTAGCGATGTGCGGGATATGCATGCCAGCGTAAGATTCACCGGCAAGGTAGAGCTACAAACCTGTCAGCACTACAATCGTCGAAAACTAAAGAGTTCAAAGGATAGGCACGCGACACTCACATCATCTCTCTCATACTCCGGGAACAGCTGGAAGAACTTCTCCAAGAAGATCATAAACTGGGCCGACATCTCGTCCAGCTCATGAATATAGCTATCCGTATTCACATAGCTGAACCCCGTACCAACCGGCTGATCGACGAACAGCAAGTTGGCAAACTCGTCCCACGAGCCCTTGTTGTATTCCAATGTATGGTCATCCTTGAGTCGGTAGGGTCCCACCTCCATCAAGGCGCCATCCATCGAGCTACATCCGGGGCCGCCATTCAACCAAATAACGGTCCTTTGTCGGTTCGCAATATGACGATTCTGATAATGCCAAAAGAACAAGTTGCCATTGTTATCGGGGTCCACCTCGATGTGTCTAGCCAGAATCCGAGTTATCAGCCAGTGCTCTAATTTTGGGGGTGGGGGGCGCCTCCACGAATTGTCCAGTTCGTCGCATAAACTCACCCAGCGTGCATCTTCAATAAGGGGCCCTCTGGAGCGCCGGGCAACGAATGAACATAATAGTCAGCCGCGGAGTTGGCTGCTGCTAGCGCCGGGGCTAGCAGAAGGGATAGGGACCATGAGAGCATGGCGAGGGCGACGCCCTTCTTTGAGCGAGTGTTGGATAGGATGGAAGGGAATAGATATATTCAACAGCTCTGCGGCGAAGAGGCGAACAGAGAAATGTGACGAAACGTGTCGGTGTTGGTCACGTTTGAGAGCCGGTCAGACAGGTCCGCCACGGATAGGCGTGGCTTAAACGACCATTGGAAGCCGGACTGAACTAGAGGACGAGTCCCACGGAGAGCAGGAGTCGGAGAAGGGAAGTGATGATAGAAGCTCTCCAGAGCTTCGAAACGAAAGAAAAGAGAAACCAGAGGGTTGGTCGCTGGACCCTCCGAAAATGCGCGAGTCAAAGAAGAATCCCCATGACGGCACGAGCTGCTGGCGTGGCCTCGACTCGGCGCGGCGGTATGTATGGTATGAGTATTACAAATAAATTACAGCAGGTCCACTGCGCACAAATTGCCCTGCGTACCTGTATCTATACTATACAAGAAGTGTTTTATACTGTCCAGTACCAGTACAAACGATACAAACGCTCGAGTGGCCCGTTGCCTATTTAGTAGTTCTATAACTTGCGCCACCGACCGATGATTAGCAGGAAGAATAGGAGTCGCAAGCTAGTGAAGCTAGCTCACAAAGAAACTCATTGATGATTGGCAGAAGGAATGTTAATTTTTCCTATTGACATCTATTTACGGCCGCTACAATCCGTGGTTTCGAAGTGTCTCGATCTTTCCCCCTTGGTCGGAAATGCAAGAGTCCACCCAGTAGTTTAACTTAGCACAGAATTATGGCCAGCAATGTAGGAGGCCAAGATAGTGAAACTTCCTATAAGAAGCACGGAACAATCATAATTCCAGAAATAGGATAAGTATGATCGGGATCATCATCTGAAACCGCGCGGCGTTTTGACCTAGAGGGTAATCGTGTTTTTTTGGTGTGAAGACGTGGAGCCTGTCCCTTCTCAGAAAAGATCACCGACGCCCTTGTCGGCATCGTTCTTAATCAGATCCACCATCCCCTGAAGAACCCGGGTGAGCTAACGAGCCACTCTGGAGAGTAACGTATTTGGTTGCAGAGGGATCACTTACATCGGGCATGATAGGCTCGCCCTGGGCATCTGTCACGTACCGGAACGGCATCTCGGTCCGCTCGTGCTCATTGATCAAAATCTCGGGGTAATCCACGTATGGAATCTTCTCGAGGGGCACTGCACGAGCGCGCGAAGCGGGGTGAATAGTTAGCCATTGCTTCTATAGTTCAGCCGAATTTCAGGTCGAGGAGAATAGCCAACCTCGTTCATGGACCACCATGCGTGTCACCCGCACGGCGGTATCAGTCGTCATCTGCTTGGGCCCGAGGCGACGACCGATGTAGCCCTTCTTACGTAGTTCGGAAGTGCGATCTACCGAAAGATTAGTATTCGAACCTATTTCGCTGATGCGCTCATGTGCGATCCAGTGATTGAGGATAATATAGATCATGATATACATACCGCGAGGCGGATCATCACCTGGATGCCCACAGAAATCAAGTATGCCGCGTTAGCCCAAATTCCATCAAGTCCCCCCGCGCAACAAATGGAGGGGTCCGAAAACTTGACCACCCAATGGGGCATTATCAGACAGAGATGATAAGAGTGCTTCATACCGAGAATACCACCAAACAAAAAGACCTCAAAGATATCGCCATCGTCCGGGTTCAACTCCGTCGTGGCGGCAGGATCCAACAGACAGACCTTGTCCTTACGGTCCGCAAAAATCTCCTCGACACTGCGCTGCTCAACCTCCAAGCCCTTGGTAGCAGCCAGATCGGCGGGCAACTGCAGCTCGGCGGGCACCGAACTGAGCAAGAAGCGAGCGCCGCTCGCATGGGATTCACGGGCAATGGCAGCGTATTCCAAGGCGGACCATGGCCCCAGTTCGGGATCCAGGTGCTCAACCACAAAGGCCTTGGGCTGCTGGGTCTTTTGATCGGTCATGATGAGAAACCTATGTTGAACCTGGAGGGGGGGAATATGTCGGAGTGGGGGGAAAGTTCGTCGTCGAGTTGAAGAAGCGGAAGCGCAGCAGAGTTTGGCGGCGCCCCGTGGATCAACTGGAGGATCGGGGGGAGGACTTCATACTCTTGATGATCCCTTATTCTCTACTCTGCTATTCTAAGCTTTACACTGAAAATACCCCAAACTGCATGTTACATACACTCCTACGCTAATCATCTTGGCTTCAAGGGACACCATTCAATGATCAGAACCTAATTTGCCTCTTTGCCGTCATTCGGTTGGAGTGCCCGTCGGGCCCCAAAAATGTGCGGATGCGGCGACTTTTTGCGTTCGGAGTTGGCCCGCATGACTGGAGGGGGAACTAAAACGAATAAATATCATTTGACTGTATGAATTAGGTTCTCAAAGTTAATACTGAACCACGAGATCCGAAGACGATTGGAGGTATAGCTACATTGCTGCTGCTGCTTCTGCCATGTTCGTCACGGTCTCCTTGATGACGTACGAGTGGGTTGCTCGTCGAGGATGTTCGCCAGTAGACGGGTCTAATAGAGGGATGATTATGATCATCCTCAGGACCAGAAGATGAAACATAGGGTAAACGGAAGTTCAAGTTCCTAGTAAAATAAAGTACAGTACCGAGTGTACGAGACGAGTACCGGATATACTCTGGTGGACTTTTGATTTGCGAGTGGACGAAGCCCCGCGTTTATCGATTGAGTCCCCCGACTCTTTTGGATTTCCGTCTCCAAAACTCACTTTCATCCACCTTCCAACTCTTCTTCCCACCTTCTCTAGCTTGCCTCTGCTTTCCCATCCACTCCCACTTTCGGCATTTGCTCATATCAACCGAGAGAGAATCCCCCCATTAGCTCTGTTCCTCCCGCTTTGTGGCACTCTTCACTCCCACAACCCCCGTCCACCATGAATCCCCACCAGCAGAACAAAGTCGACATCAGCGTGAGTCCACGCCTAACCCTCCAAACCTCTCCCGACTCCCACTGACAATTCTTCCGCAGTCGATGAGCCCCGAGGAGCAGCGTCTGCTGCGCCTGTACGGCAAGATGCCCACCAAGAAAGACCTCCTCCAGAACAAGCTCAAGGTACGTTCCAGTCGGGCCCTCTCCAATCGTACCCAACCACCTTCACCTCAGCCACCATCGAACCCACATCCACTCCTGAACGACACCAGCCCAACCAACCAGCCCAAACTAATCATCCCTTTTCCTTCTCCACCCTACAGGAGCGCAAATACTTCGACTCGGGCGACTACGCCCTCAGCAAAGCCGGCAAAGCCTCGGACGTCGGCGTCACCAGCATCGGCTCCCGCCACCCGGTCCCGGAGAACATCCCCCATCTCACCGCGACCTCACCAGGAGCCGCGAACCCGGGCGCCGTCAGTGGAGGTAGCACCGCAGGCATCGGCCAAGCGATTCCCGGCAGTATCAGCGGACACCCGGGCTCCATCGGCTTCCAGAGCCGCTCACCCGTGAAAGAGGGTAGTTATCTGCAGCGCGGTTCGAGTCTCAGTGAGGGCTCGGGTCTGGATGATGATGACGGTGCCGGTGGTAGCAACGAGGGCAAGGAGCCTGCCGTGAGCCCTCCCGCTGCTAGGGAAGGTGTCCCCATCCGCCAGTGATCGAGGGGAATGGGAGGTGTTGTGTTGTCTGAGTTTTGGATCGGGGTGGAAACCTCCGCTTAGACTTGAGACTTGATACTTTGTTCCTGATGGAGCATTTACATTGCATGGCTTATTTGGTACCCTTTTTGTCTTTGCTGTTGTGCTTTCCCACATTGTTATCCGGTTGGGTATGGGAGGGATTGAGAGGGTTCGTTCTGGATCTGCGATCTGCGATCTCTTACTATGTTTTTCTTGTTTTTTCGGGTTCAAAAGCCTGGCGCTGTGGGAATGTTAGGTTTCATTTTTTTTTTTCTTTGGTGATGAGGCGCACTGCAGGACAGGCCAAGCGTTGTACAGATGGAAAGGATGAAAAAAAAAAACAACTGAAAATTTACCTTGAAAAAAGACATCCTCGAGACGGAAAGGAAGGGAGAATACAAGGTAGAGAGAGAGAGGGGGGACATTGATGAGAGCTGGGCATGGCATGTCGACGGACTGGGTTCTCCTTGCTGGGATCCTCACAATCGAGATCGATTCCACCATCCAGAGTCAACTCCATAACTCGAAGAGTATCTTTGTCCGACAACCGCAATCCCCCCGAGTGTCCGGGCATCAATTCAAGTGCTTTTGCGTTCTACTTTCTACAACCTGTCCATACTCGAATTTATGCGAATTCCATCTTCATCTTCATCTTCACCTGTGTTAGTTTTACAATCATTCTGATCTCCGATCTTCTCTTTTAAACAATTTGCATATCATAACGCTTTTCTTATCCTCAGCTGGGCTCATTTTCTTATCTCACTTTTTTCATCTCATTTTCTTCTCTCGTTATTGTTCTCCCCAAATAGTGTAGCATCTCATGTAAATGTACCATTTTATATAAAGTGTTTTTGTTGCTATTTGATGATAGTCACGTCCGCTCTATGACTCCCCATTCCAACACAGCCAAGTATAAACGGGAACCGAACCTCGAGAAAAAAGCAAACCTCCATAGCCTGAGCCTAAAGGTGAAACCTCGGGGGTTGCTTCGCAAAGAACAAGGGTCTCTCTATTACGTGCCCCACACCAACCTCCAATTTGAGCCTGGACGAAGAGAAATAAGAAAGAATCCCGAAAACACCCACCAAAAAGGTAAAGTATGTACAGAAATGAACAGCCGCGGGCCAGCGGAGAAGTGTTGGACATGTTACTGGGAAAGGAGGCAGAAGGAGACGGAGCAAGCTTGCATTAAAGGAACGAGAGCAGAGCCAGGGAAAGATCACGGGCGACAGAGGGTATAAAAGAGGTCAAACACGTGGTAGGGAGAAGACATGACAAGAATGTAAAGACATAGTAAAGAACATTGCATTTGGTATCATGGAAGGGCATGAGAGGGATGTGGTGAAGGATTGCAAGGGTAGCTAGCACCTGCGGTAGTACAGTTACAGGCAAGGCTGCCAAGGAGACTGGGGGTGGACGCTAGAAACACAATCCTGGGGCTAGGGAATCGAATAGAGGCAAGGTACTCGGGATACGGTGATCTTGTGGAGGTAAAAACTTCCAGGATTGGGAAGCAAGGGTAAAGACTTATACTTGCGCGCGAGGACGAGATCGCTTTAGCGGCAGGCAGTAGCCCCAAAAGAGGAATGGTCCAAGCGCGAGTGTATTGTCTGACGGGGGGCTTGGGCATGAGGATGTGGGGATAGAGAATAAAGAGAGAATCTCTATTTGGAATCGGACCGGACACCACATGGCAGCAAGTTTTGGTGGCCCCATACGGTTGTGATTTGTCAAGACATACCGATCATGGGACGACTAGACTGGAGAGTCCCCCCCCCGATGATATTGATGCCTGTGGTAGTGCGGTAGGGGCCGGAAGACATAACCTTGAAACAAGGGATCGCGCCCACTGTTCCAGATTTGGAAATTGGCCTCTTGGTCGTAGAACACAATGTGATGATGGAAAGGCGATCGGAACATTTTAAGATCTTCTAGAAGATAGAGTGGAAATCTCAGAATGCACGGTCCGATCGAGCTCCATCGGGATACTGAACTCAATCAGTTTTCCAATGCCCGGCCAGACCATTGTCGAGATCGTCATGCTCTCCGAGCCAAAGCTCAACCGCATAAAGACCCATAGTACAGGCAAGGTTGATCCATCTCCAAAGATTGCCCCCACCGCCTCCTTGGCTGCTCCACCACTCACCACTGCCGCCCATAGCTTGCGATGCAGACGCGAAGTGCTGCATCAGCAGGCTAGTGTAAACAGCGATGAGAATAGACGGGGCGAAATAGCTCAGGAAGCCCAAAACTTGGCCAGCCGCGTCGGAATCGTCCAGAGAGGCCTCCTGCGAGAGCGCTCGAGCGCCGGATTCCCGCACGGCGGGAATGATCCGCGTTGACGCGTACAACACGAGTAACCGATACGCGAGAGAAATCAGAACTGACGGGGTAACGGCACTGAAGACCGCGGTGATGACGTTGAAAGCGGCGTGGATGATCGAAGGTAACAGAGATAACGCATGCATGAGGGTGGTGTACGATGCCATGATGATCGGTGGAAGTGGAGGGAAGTCACCCGCCTGCGAAGGAGAAGGAGCTTGCTCGACCGGATACGAGGGCTGGTAGTCCGTGAAGATCTGGTAGATACAGAGGACGGTGTAGGCGAAGAGCAGAGAGCTCTCCACGGGGTTTCCACGTCCACTGCCAATACCCCACGCGCACAAAATGACCGCGCATGTGATAGAGACACCGATCAGGGCCGCGTCGACATTGGAAATTTCAGGGAACTGAAGGACACGCCAGAGGAAGTAGACGGAGCTGGAAATGACGGTCGCAGAGAGAACGAGAAGGCCAATCTTTTCATCAAAGTTAGTGATCGCATCGCAGGAGAGGGGGCCCAAGAAGGGAAGACATACCATCCAGCTGTCACTTCGCCCACCTCGATTCACCAGCCAACGCGTAATCTGGCCAGCAGCCTGGATAACCAGCAAGCTACAGAACCCCTCCGCAAGCTGGAACACGGGGGTGGACCAGCGCAGCAGTCTATCCCAATTGCCCAGGGTCACCGTCTCCACCAAGCCATCTCGACCAAAGAGCCACTCCTGAATTGAACTGTCCGATGCCCTCTGTCCTGTGAAAGTGCGCTCAACCCATCCACCGCTACTGTCCGCATCGACCGAGAAGCGGTTCAAAGACCAGATCAACAGAATCGGGATCAGGATCCATTGTGTGGAGCTGACCACGACGACCAGAGAGGAACGGAACCAAGAGCGGTCGGGAGTGGAGACCTTCAACAGCGAGAAGAGGAAGTAGAACGTGGCGAGAGAGAGCGAAAAGGCCAGACCGCATACTTTGCCGCCTACATCGAAGGCCAGCGGAATCGAGGAGACGACCACGGTGAGGAAGACGGCCGACGAGAAGACGCGAAAGAGCCACATCGGGAGTAGTGGGAGACGCGCAGCGCGCGTCGGGATGGAGAGTGGTCGAGGTTGGAGATGATGAGAGGAGGATGACGAAGAGGAAGGGGGAGGTTGAAAGAGAGGAGGGGTGGGAAGGCACACGACTGTTTTTCTTTTTCTCTTCTCGAGCTTATCGCCCTTTCACGTGGGCCCGCTAAACTGGGGGGGGGGGGGCCAGCGATGCAAGAGTAGGGGCCTTGCGCTTTGGGGTTCTTGGTTTTCTGGAGAGAGTCACACCGAGAAATGAGTGGTTGCTTGCTGCAGGCGGTGGGATGGTCGATCGATGGGAGAGTTTCTCGTATAGTTTGGGAAAGCTGATAGGTATACAAATTAACTCTGCGGCAGGTAGTCACTGTGCATAAGTGAAAGGGAGACTTTTTGGTTCTTCTTTAATTTTCCAACACACGCCGACTTATGAGTTTTGTGTTTTCTGCAATCAAGCTAAGGGCCCAGAAGGGCCAGAAGGGGCAAGACTGGCGGTCAAAGCACCGTATTGCGATGAGCTTTGCTCCCCAGGGTCGGAGGTATTATTATTACGTGGCTGCTAATTACTGTGGGGATACTGCATTTCCTGACTATATTTACTCTATGCTCAGAGATTTATGAGGCCCGTAATGACCTAAATTGATCCGTTCAATAACTATACAACTTAAGTAAATCATCCATTGTGATGGCGTCAAGTCGATAACGCCATAACGGAGGGGAGTGCCGATAGCTGATTAAAGTACCAAGCCCTTAGGACCGAAATGGGTTGAGCATAGTCCTTGATGTAACTATATATTGAAATGAAGAGTCTAGACTCCCCAACCAAGGCATTGTTGTCCTCACAACCACTGTCCACAATCAGCCGTTTTGCAAAAATAACAAAATAGATACAACTAACTGTTAATTATTTGATACTATGACAACCAGTGACATCCACGTTGCCGAAGCCGGTTAAGCTTAAAAGCTTCAAAGCTCCATCAGGTGACTTGGCTAGGCCCTGGTCACCAGCCCTACTTTCCCGATATGGCGCCGATAAGAGCGGGCAGCCAGCCAGAGCAGAGCAAATCATAAGAGCTTCATTAGCTGCTGCTCTCTCATTTGATATTATCTTCTCGTGGATGTTACGTCTGCGCCAACTATTCAAAATGGCCGAACAAACAGCAAACAAGAAGATCAAGACTTCTTCGCCCTTGATTGGCACTCACAGGTTCGCAATCTCGCCCTACAATCCCAAGATATTCGGTTCCGCCTCTAACCTGGTATCCTAGCGGCCACTTCCACGCCGACGAGGCCTTGGCTGTTTACCTCTTGCGCCTTCTGCCCACCTACGCCTCTTCTCCCCTCGTTCGCACCCGTGACCCGGCCCAGCTGGAGACATGCCACACCGTGGTGGACGTGGGTGGCGTTTACGATGCCGCCATCAACCGCTATGATCACCACCAGCGCACCTTCGACACCGTCTTCCCCAAGCACAACACCAAGCTGTCTTCCGCTGGTCTGGTATACATGCACTTTGGTCGCGCCATCATTGCCCAGCACATGTCTCTGCCGGAGGACCATGCCGATGTCGAGCTGCTGTACAACAAGCTGTACACTGACTTCATCGAGGCCATTGATGCCAATGACAACGGAATCTCAGCTTATGACCAGACAGCCGTAGCCGCTGCCAAGCTGGAGAAGCGCTTCAAGGACTATGGCGTCACCCTCGCCTCCATTGTCAACGACATGAACAACCCCGATCCGACCAGCCCTCCTGGCGAGCCCCAGGATGAAGACAGCCTCTTCGGCCGCGCCAGCACGCTCATCGGTAATGTTTTCGTGCGCAAGCTCCACCACGCCGTTACCTCATGGATGCCCGCCCGCACCACCGTTCGCAATGCCTACGCCTCCCGCACCGAGGCCCACCCCTCCGGCCGCATCATGGTGCTGCCCCAAGGTGGCGTGCCCTGGAAGGAGCACCTGTACAACTTTGAGCGCGAGGCTGCGGCCGGCCCGGAGTCCCAGGTCTACTACGTTCTGTATCCCGAAAGCGCAGCCGAGGACTCCAAGTGGCGTGTGCAGTGCGTGTCCGTCTCGGAGAGCAGCTTCGAGTCCCGCAAGCCGCTCCCCGAGGCGTGGCGCGGCGTGCGCGACCAGGATTTGGACGGTGTTTTGGCCTCGGAGGCTGAGAAGAACGGCCTGGCCAAGCTGCCCGAAGGTGCGATCTTCGTGCATGCCAGTGGATTCATTGGTGGTCACAAGACTAAGGAGGGTGCTATGGCTATGGCTGTGCGCAGTTTGGAGTAAACGTGAAATTTACATGGAGAGAATTATATGGAGATTGAAAAGTTATACCGGTTTATGAGGTGGGATGTAACCGGTTTTGTTCATACATAATAACGATTTTTGCAACGAAGAGCCTCGATCTCCAGTTTCACTGGGATCCTAATGACTAGCTGCGTTTATGAAGCTTTAGCTATAGAGAGACGTGGGCTTGAATGTACCAAGTCCACATCGCCTTGCCTGGGAGATATATCCCGTTCGCAAAGTCAAAGGCGCAAGAGGGGTCATGTCCAGCTGGTCCTTTCAGTCGTCCAATCTTGGCGTCAGTGTCACCGGCCTTTTGCCAAGTCACCTCATCCCCAGCATTGATGCTGAATTGACATAGAATACATTTGATATCAATGGTTGAGCGAGGGAGTGGAAGCAATCTTTCGTCGATATATTGGTCTCCGCGAGGGTCCCTTTGCTTCGCGAGTAGGCGACCTTCAGGAAGTGTTCCGAGCTGTGTGTTGTCGGAACCGAAACAGAGCTTTGGGTTCCATTATTGCCGCCATCGAGACACCGGCTGGTCTGAGAGATCCTGGTGTTGGCGAGTCCTAGTGCATGGATTTGCCAATTACGGCAATGTAGGCATGACGCAGTCGTATGGGTTTGATAGATAACGTGTGTGACTTCAGTGACGGACATTGAGCGAGCTGATATCCTCAATGCTACCGGTTCCATCTCCGGGCTTTTGACCTTCTTTCATTCCCGGTCGAGCATCCAAGGACTCTTCACCTTCGCCCATTGCCCGTTGGATGAGCTTAGCTTTGATCGCAGCACCTTTCAGGCGTTCGTCTGCATCGTTGACAGCTTCTTCCGTGTTGGTCATATCCAGAGAGGCCGGGTCAACAAGCTCCAACAAGGTAGAGAGATTTTTGGTCAGTCGCGCACTATGCGCCGGCAGCGAAACCATCTTTTTGCAGATCGATGGATCGAGGCCGATGGCATCGGCACTGGCCACCGACTGGTCCAATGGCTGTTCGGGCGTCTCCGAGGGGTTGGACTCGGCTAGTCGCTGGGCCCAGACTAGCGCCTTGCCATACAATCGGCCCATCTCCACAAATTTCTCGAAGCCCTTCTCGACAGCGAAGACGCTGCCTTCGGTGTAGCCCGCCTCGGCGCCATCGGCAACACCAAGATTATAGCCTTCATTATAGAACTGCTCCTCAATATCGAGAAGGCTATCTAGCAAACTGGATTCCATTGCGGAGAAATAAGCGACAAGGAAAAAAAAAATGTAAGGGGGCGAGGGAGGTATGAGTCAAAATTTGGGGTAAGAAACAAAGAGAGCTCATAAATTTTGATATGCGGGGCGGGCATGTCACGAGATGCCCACTTTTATCGAATTTCCCGCCGAACCCCTCCATCTACGCTCTTTCAGGCTCTCCAAACCACAATGGCATCAGACCCAATCCTGCCCAAAGAGGGCGAGCGGAATATCCTCATTACCAGCGCACTTCCTTACGTGAACAATGTCCCCCATCTGGGCAACGTCGTCGGCTCTGTGCTGAGTGCGGATGTATTCTCGAGGTATGACTCAAAATCGCACCATCAACCCCCCATGTCTCAAAGGACCAAAAGACTCACATGGGGACGATAGGTACCACAAGGCTTGCGGCCACCCTACCCTGTACATTTGCGGAACGGACGAATACGGCACAGCAACGGAGACCAAGGCGTTAGAAGAGAAGGTGACCCCGGAGGAGCTTTGCGCCAAGTACAACAAGATCCACCAGGAGGTTTACAAATGGTTCAACATTGGATTCGATCACTTCGGCCGCACCCCTACTCAAAAGCACACCGAGATCTCTCAGACTATCTTCAAGCGCCTCTATGATAACGGATTCCTTGACGAGCGCACCGCCGAGCAACCCTTCTGTGAGAAGCACGGCTCCTTCCTGGCTGATCGTTATGTCGAGGGCGAATGCCCCCGCTGCCACTACGATGATGCCCGTGGTGACCAGTGCGACAAGTGTGGTCACCTCCTCGACCCCTTCGACCTCATCAATCCCCGCTGCAAGCTCGACGGAGCCACCCCGGTCCGTCGCGAGACGAAACACATTCACCTGCTGCTCGATAAGCTCCAGCCTGAAGTCGAGAAGTGGTCCTCCGAGGCCATTAGCAAGGGCGACTGGCCCAAGAACTCCAGGGTCATCACCGAGTCCTGGTTGAAGGAGGGTCTGAAGGACCGTGGTATCACCCGTGACCTCAAGTGGGGTGTCCCCGTGCCTCTTGATGACTTTGAGAACAAGGTGCTGTACGTGTGGTTCGAGGCATGCATTGGCTATCCCTCCATCACGGCCAACTACACCAAGGACTGGGAGCTGTGGTGGCGCAACCCGGAGAATGTTCAGCTGTACCAGTTCCTGGGCAAGGACAACGTCCCCTTCCACAGTGTCATCTTCCCCGCTACTCAGATTGGTACCCGGGATAAGTGGACTATGCTCCACCACCTCAGCGCTACTGAGTATCTGAACTACGAGAGCGGCAAGTTCAGCAAGTCTCGCGGTATCGGTGTCTTCGGAACGAATGCTAAGGAGACCGGTGTCGGCCCTGATGTCTGGCGTTACTACCTGCTGAAGAACCGTCCCGAGACCGGCGACACTCAATTCGAGTGGCGTTCCTTCGTTGACGCCAACAACAGCGAGCTGCTTGCTAAGCTGGGTAACCTTGTCAACCGTGTTGTCAAGCTTGTGAACGCCTCTTTCGGCGGTGTCATCCCCGAGTTCACCGTTCCCGAGAGCTTCAAGCCCTTCGAGGAGGAGGTCAGCGGTCTCCTGAAGCAGTATATCGAGGAGATGGAGAGCGTCCACCTGCGTGCCGGTGTCAATACCGCCATGCGTCTTGCCGAGGCCGGTAACGGTCTGATCCAGGCCAACCGTCTGGACAACTCCCTGATTGCCAACGAGCCCGAGCGCGCCGCTGCCGTCGTCGGTTCCGTCCTGAACCTGATCCATCTGCTGGCCAGTGTCTTCGCTCCCTACATGCCCGGTACCTCGGACTCTATCCTGGAGCAGTTGAACGCTCCTTTCCTCACGATCCCCTCCCTGGAGGCTCTCAAGAATGGCTGGAAGCCCGACAGCCTGAAGGGTGGTCACAAGATTGGCAAGGCGGCCTACCTCTTCTCGCGCATTGACCCCAAGAAGGCCGATGAGTGGCGTGAGGCTTTCGGTGGCTCCCAGGCTGAGCGTGCCAAGAAGGCCGAGGACGCTGCTAAGCTTGCCGCTAAGAAAGCCGCTGCCAAGGCCAAGAAGAAGGAGAAGAAGGAGAAGGGCAAGGCCCCTGGCGGAGTCGAGGCTACTGCCAAGGGTGGTGCCGAGAAGCCCAGCGTGACGACCGATGGACCCCATGACGAGGCGGTTGAGAAGATCGCCGATGGTGTCGCTCAGGTCACCCTTCCCACCTCTTGAAGGACCAAGCTAGGAGAAAAGGGAATTGGGGGGCCTCGGCAAGTGCAAGACTTTCCGTGGCGCAGACATTGTGAAGGTCATGAATTAGATGAGCGACGTGGTTTTCGGAAATGATACTGATATACTGGACGTTGGATTTTGGCATGTTCTCTTTTTGTTTATCATACACATGAATCCACGACAATAGGTGTTAGGGAAGAAAGCGTCGGAGTTGCATTTTGCATTTGACTGTTCGTTGATTTGATTGATGGTTCGATCTATCTACCTAAATCCTATTTGCTGTAGTATGAATGGGTGGCTCTTCCGTTGTGCTTCCCAGTGTGTAGACTTCAAATCCCGCGCCCCATACGAACTAGATCCCTCGCAAAGCTTCCCTTGGTCTTCTGCGGATGCGTTCGAGCTCTTTTCTTTGACACGGCTCGAGTCTCGTTCCGTTGATATCTCGAACCAGAGCCCAGGAATACGAAAGTAATGATGGAGCGGACGCCCAGGCGAGAAACCAGAAACGACTAGGATCAAAAAAATATCCCATTGGCAGATTTCTTTTAGAAAAGTAAAATAAAGAGCAAACACGCCGATATGGTAAAAAAAAAAGGGGGGGTTCATTACATGCTTGTTGCGCCAATCGCGCCGCGATGCTCGCTGGGCTCGATCCCAGTCGTCCATCCTCCTCGATTCTTTGTTTACCTCGATCACCGCTTACGGGTACCGGGTCGAGGCTTGCACTCATCAGGCCCCACGGGGTGGAGCATGACCTTGTTAGGAGACTGTTGGGTATTGGCAGAGTAGCCCTTGCTCCAGTCGTAGCTCACGGCGTAGGCGAAGATATTTCCGTTGCGGTTAAAGGCGGTGCTAGAAATGGGCCCGCCAACAGCTGGGTATCCCTTCAGGCGGTGCTTGGCGTCCTTGTCCCAGAAGTGGAAGGTACCGTCACTTCCAGCGGTGCTAAATGTGCCGTGGACGGGGTGGAAGCAGATGGAGTTGACGGAGTAGATGTTGCAGATGTCACGGTTGGCTGGGGGAGTTTCACGGTGGCACTTGAAGGAGAAGTTGGACGCGGAATCCTTATCCTCGACGTACTGAATAGCACAGCGACCTTCGATACTGCCGACAGCGAAGCCAGAGGCGTCGGCGAAGCAGCTGACTACCCGCGTCTGCCACTTGAGGGGGGATTGCATGGTCTTGTAGAATTTCGTCGGGGTGTCGAGGTTCACGACGTTGATGTAGCGGTCCGCAGTACCGATGACTAGGAGCTTGTTCTTCACGTCCATTGTGTACACACGCTCCTGGCACTCGATCGATGCGATAGGGTTCGATTGTCGCAGGTCCCAGTACTTGACAGTCTTGTCCCACGAGCCTGTAATGAGAAGTGGAGAGCCACCGACGGATGGGTTGGGAATCATGTGGCAGCTGCGGATAGGAGCATCGTGGGCAGCAACTTGGGTAGCAGTGGTCGCACCGGAACCGAGGTCCAGAAGACGAGCAGCTTTGTCGGCACCTGCACCGACGACTTTGGTTCCGTCCTGGTAATTGAAAAAGAGTCACAGATTAGCCTGGGGACATGAACGCGCTTCTTGCTGCACTCCAAGAATAGAAATGAAGCTTACCGGAGACCAGCAGCAGTTAAGCACGGGAGCCTCATGTTCGAATAGAGCCTTTCCTTCGCTCTGACCCTGCTCGTTGATCTCGTAGATGCGGACCTTTTTGTCCCACGATGCGACAGCTAGATGCTCACTAGCTGGCGAGAAACGAAGGTCGGAGATGCTGTCCTCTGGGGGCTGGTTGAGCGCAACATCCTTGGAGATGTCACCCGTAGTGTTGGTCTGGCCTGCCGACGCGGAGGTCGTGGCAGCACCAACGCTGCCGAAGAGGGACATCGGAAAGGGCGCGCCGGAGAGCTGCGTGAAATGATACTGTCGTGAACAAGAGAGATATGTGGGTCGAGGGAAGATGCAAGCAGTTGGTTGAAGATAGAATCAAGGACACGCAGGTTTGAGATCCAAAAACAGGAAGGGAGGTGTCGAGGTGGGCGGGTTAGAGGAGATTGAAAAATAAGGGAATTCGCGATGCTTTTGTCATGCGAAGCGTTTTGGATGCGCGATGTGCTTCCGTCCTCAGGCAGAAAAACGGTCTTCACCGCCTTCCTTAGATGGGCAGATGAACTATATCTCGTATGAGGGAGAAGAAATAACGATAAACCGAGTCTGAGGATAATGAGATGGATCAATGGACTTCGAATATGGTGTTATAGCTTTACTGTAAGATTCTGGAGAATCCGAGTCTTGATCGTGACTAAGACTGATGTATAACCGGAACCAATGAAACTTGTCCGATGTACAGTGGTGTTTCACAAGTCTAGAAACAAGAGCTAGAAAAAAAGGCATAGCCACACACGCTCCAACCTCCTCTGCTTCTGAAGATTATTTGGAATGTTTTTTCAATCATTTTCCCGATTGCTCAAGTAGTATATCTCGATTTGTCATTCAATGCATGCCCGATGAGACGATGTTGAAGTTTGGTAGGATGTTCAAGCTTATGAAACACCCCTATAAGTGTCAACGCGTCTTTCCACTAGACTTCATGGTGTTTATTCTTCTATTCTGGCCCTCACAACATGAGTACTTAAAGAAAACTCGGATTTCTTTATGGCTCTCCTCCGGACGACAACCGGAAATAATCATATTGTTTACAAACTTTACGCAAGCCAAAGGTCTCAAAACCAAAGCATGCTGAACCAGGGAGTTCTGGGCGAGTTCAATAGCATGAATCCTTTTTATCTTGCTCTGAAAGTATGTAATTTCGATCTAAAAAAAGAAAAAAAAAATATCTATTGGAGCTTTTCAAGGATGAGAATCGTCGTGTGAAACTAACGGGGATAGGATCTCGTTAAAAGCATGAACAAGGTGTCAGCTCACCTCATACGAAAATCAAGATTGAGTACGCGTGATCGACTCAATATCTAAAAATATACATCTAATATACAAAGATAATGGATGTCTGGTAGGATACGTTTTATTGCCTCTCCCTTACGAAATCTCTCTGTATGTCCCTTGAACAGTCTTCCCAGATGATTTTGAAAGCATCTCTGGGTTTATACCTTTGCAATTTAATTGAAAATATCGGTATGACACTCAGCCGGGTTTTATTTCACAGAATTGAGGAGGAGCTATCATTATGAGGCACGTTTGACAAGCGAGAGATACCCGGGGTATAGATAGCAACAACGTTGATCAACAAGCGAAACGCGAACGAAACTCAAAGACAAATAACCCCAAAACAGCATTTTACAGCCCTTGATACCAACGGAATACACATAAAAGAAATATCACTCCTTCAAAGAAATTTGATCGGTGAAGACAGGCCGTCCAATTCGCCTGATAGAACCCAATTCTGGCATCGGTATCTGATCACGAGCTCCAACCACAGGCATCTTGGCTCCTCGGGGAGCAGGAACTCTCGGAGGGTCATTCGCCAATCCCGGCGTCTTCTTCAAATCGACTTTCTTCAAGTCGAGATCATTCTTTGAAGTTGCAACATGCACGCAGTCAGAACCATCTGGCGCAGATCCCATATACAACCGATGACGCAACCAAGGACCGTCGAGTCGGTGAGCACCAAGGGTCTTGTTCGCTCGACCAACATTCACCGTTGTCCATGCTCGGGTCCAAGGCGTCATTCGAAGCCTCTCCTTCGTCGGATCTTCATTCTCGGTTACCATGGTGGCTTCGATGGCAACCACTGGAAGGACAGTAGTGTTGTTTGGTGTTGGCTCTTGGCCTGGAGTCACGATTTTGGTGTATCCTGCGACTTTGAGCCACGGCGAGCTTATAATTTGGGGACCCATAATCGCTGGGAGATCGTCCGCGTAGATGCTCATGTCACTTGCCCCGGTGTCGTGAAGGAATTCGAGCTCGGCATAGAAAGTATAACCGGGGAATCGTACGTGATATCTGTACTATATTGAACGAAATTTCATGGTTAGTGGCAGAGAAGCGAATTGGTAATTTTCCAAGGGGAGGTCATACAAATTTTAGGTACTTCCAATAGCGATCAGGGTCTATGGTCACCCGCTCATTCCTGCTAGATCCCCCCGTTGATCCGACCTGGACACTAATGTTAGTTTTATATTGTCGAGCATTTGAATTGAGTACATACTCCTTCAACCCAGAATGACTTGTGGCCAGAATGAGCCTTGTTGATAGTGTCAAACTCGTCCCAGTCAAATGGGCGCGGCTCACAGAGCTTTTTCCCATCCGACCAGTAGGTGACAAGACCGGAGATCCACTCAAGTTTACCTGTTCGATATGCATTGATAATGGCTATCACATTTTTCTTCTCAGAGAGAGGATCGTTTTGGGGGCGGAAAATGGCTTTTTGAATAAACTTGAGTGTATCCAGACGCTCGTAGGTTTTCCTACTGAGACCTTTAGGCTCATCCTTCATCCAGGTCCTACGGAGTTGGCTGATCAGCAAGTACACTCAAATGGAGAAACTGGTCGAAGATTGTATCCATGTTGATACATTCCAAGGCAGTAAATGCAAATTGAAGATTAATTAAAAGAGTGGTACTCACTCAACAGCTTCCTTCACGTCCAGATACTCTCTCTGCCTTGCCTCAAAGAAATGAGGAACAATGTTGTCCTTGATTCTCTCATCGCACCTAGCGATCTGAGCTTCGAAATCACTGTACCGGAACAGTTAGCCTTCGTCCAATGAAGCTTGTAATATGTCAGGTTAACTCACTCAGGATCCAGATCGGGCTCATTGGAATTCCAGCCAGTCGGGAATTTCTTCGGGTTGACCAGAGGCTTAGACCCTTGATGCCGCCATCTTGGCTGTCTTTGGGGCCTTGCTGGTGCCGCGGACTTATACTCGTCCACATACGAGACATCGAGATCCAATTCTTCAAGCTTGATCTCTTTGCCTATAGTTGGATCCGTAAGAAGCCCCTTTGGATCTGCGACCTCCGTATTTTCAGCCTTCCTGCATTTGACCTGGCGCTTGGGTCCTTCCGGAAGCGGAGGGAGCGGAGAGGCACCTGGGTTAGAAAACGACGACAGATCAACAGGCATGCTCGAGTCAAGCTTGTTCGAGAACATGGTTGAGTAGGGGTCGAGTCCTAGCGAAGGTAATAGGTTCAGAACCTGTGCCTGTGCCTTGTGTAGCTCAGCCATATCAGATTGCTCTTCTCCATCGTCGGACGTCTCGACTGGGGTCTGGACCTTCGACTTCTTCGAGGAAACAGATCTCTCAGATTCATCGTCGGATGAAGCCTTTCGCTTTTGCCTCTTGGCTGGTGCTTTACGTTGTCTGGGCATTTTGACAGTGACCTTGACAAGCTTGAGTTGTGGGAAGTTGGATGAGAGTCAAATTCTGGAAATGAACAAAGCAGGAAATTTGATATAGAAGAAGAAGGGCGGACAGCACCTTGAGTAGGAGCGGGCACTTATAGAAATGTGCCAACAAAGGTGAAACTGATGGGGATGAGGGGGTAGGGAGTTTCGAGCACCACGGCAGTTCCCATCTAAACAAAGAAAGCACTCGATCAGCCATCATCGAGTCATTTCTTACATATTCCACTGGGAATGTGGTCTTTTCTCTTTGGAAAAGGTTCCAGCCTCGACCGATTTACTTTCTTGGGGCCTCTTCACATAAATTCTTTGACTGGAATCGCCCGTAACATCGACGCAAACTTGGGTTTGAAAGAACTGCCGTTGTTAACACAAAGGGAAGGCATCTTCTAAGGCCCGCTTTTCCTTGCGACCCCAGTAGGACAGTGGAATGAGGCTTTTCCATTATATTCATTCAAATTGAAGTCATTCAGTCCCTGGTCTAGATTTGACGACCAGGCCTTTTTCATACGAATGCGATGCGCCCAATTCCGTTCCCTTTAGTCAAACGTGCAGTTGTCTCCATGTCCCACTTTCTTTCAATCAAAATCCTGCCTTGTGTCTTGTTACGCATCGATCTAGGATCTTGCTACTGGTACGACAAACGAACTCGTTGAGTTAGTTTTCACACCCTTGACAAGTGTGAATCTAGCGACAAGGGACAAAGGCCCAAGGAGATACCTTTTGACTAATGCCGTTTTGAGAGATATTTCTAATGGTCTTTGAAACCGTTTCTCTAAAAAGCTTTAGAATTATCATATGTTTCTCGGGCTAGCTACAGGGTAATGATCAACAAATGATTTTCAGTACCAGTCGAGAAATACTTTTAGGAGCTGAGCGAGACCTAATGAACACCGGCAACGTCATAAAGAAGAGAAAGAAGAGCGTATCGCCGTAGAGGGAAGTAGTGGTCTTGAATCAAGGACTTGACAAAGCCTCCGGGCCTAGCTCAAAAATAATACTGGCAAGGAATTTCTCGCTTTGATTGTCAAGAAGACCGGTCATGATCAATGCAAAAAAATAAAAATAAAAACATACAACAGCCATTCTAGAGGTGTGAAGCCCTCCGTTAAAAGGTTTTTTGGTACATTTTGATCAAGGGAAAGATTTCGCCATGCAGGAGCAGACACTATGAATATCCTTTGCCTTTCAGGCAATTGCCACCCGTTGCTCTCACCCTTTTCTACTTCCCTTCCACATTACTTATATCCCTCTGTCGTTTCCCTCTTACTTCAAATCGAAGGCAATAATAACGTAAAAATATATGACCGGTAAAAATCTTGTTGATAATTTTCAAGGATAAGATCATATCATTTTGCGACTTTGGGGTATGATCATTAGAGTCGATCGCCATAGTCTTCGTCTTTAACTGGATATATTCAAATCCGATTAGAAAGGCCCCACTCAGACATGCTAACCTTGACATAGTGATCCTGTACTAAACAAAAGTCAGATACAAACAGATAAGCTTGTATGCAACCAAAACATCCAATAGTTTCCTCGTTGGAGAACTGTCTAGTCATGACGGCCACAGACGACGCATACCACCTGAGGCCTAAAAGCCTTGTGTGGCGTGATAGATAAACGGGAAATTGTACAGAAAGAAATTTTGCTGTACAGCAGATCATTTTGAGATGCTGGGGGTTGTGTAGAGCTGAGCGAGCCATCGGCTTTTCCTTGAGAGGTCTCTCCTCGTTTCAAATCCTAATACGAAGTTCTCGGTTTACCTACCCAAAACCCCCCTTTACGTGCGAGGCAGCTTCCGTGGCTCTCTCCCCTCGATATAGTCTGGCTTGGCATGCAGCGTCGTATCGCGGAGCCAATCTAATGTCCTTCCCGTGGGAGGAAGGGGCTGAAATCTAGAGCTTTGAACATTAGATGGCATTGAAACTATGTCCCTTTAGCTTGTCGAGTTACTATTGTGGAGTAAACGGATGATTCATGGGGCCGACCCCACGGACGGACCCATCATACACCAAGCCCAAAGGTCTTGGCCTTAAGGCAGTGTTTTCGAATTCTAGATGTCGAGAATTTCACCCTTAGGGTATTTTGGATCGGATTAGACCGGGGATGTTTGGTATGATCCTGGCGGACACACTTGTTTCCTCATATTGGCCCACATCCCATATGCATACATCTCAGCCGCGTTGGGGCGATGGCATTCGTTTCAGGAAGGGACCCTAGCTTTGTTTAGACACTTGAATACATTGAATCCAAGAATAAATGTGCATAACGGATCTTGCTTATTATGATATCGACCAACTCCTATGGATTGAAGACGACACTCAATATAAGGCGAAACATTCACTAATACCGGGTAGTGAGTCTCAAACGCCACTTCCTTTAGAATAAGAGCCGTTCGTGAATCGTTGAGAACTTTATTGGTATGGACCTATCGGATACACCTCACACTTAATGGCGCAAGGGAAATGGGGAGATGGCTGTGCGAATAGTCGAGGGGGCGAAGCTATTCGTTAGTACCCGGCCCCCATGATTGTGGATGCGGCTCGGCCCCTTGGCCTGTGCTCCAGGCTTCCTTGCCCCAGTAAATCAAGTCTTGACTTCCGGAACTGGGTAGGCTTGTATGAATTTTACATAGAATTTTGCCAAGATATCCATTATATCCATGTGTCACCTGTGGAGTCGGTTGTAAACATCAGGAAGGGGCCAAAAAGGGAGTAGTAGTATGTTGTCAGTTTTGAAATATCCAACGATAGATTCTTGGCAGTAGTCGAAAAGACTATAAAGATCTGCTTCCTGCCTTGGATAAAGGAATTATTCAAACCAAATCCTCCTTCTCTTTTCAAAGGATCGAACAAACTTTCTATCATTCGGACTGAAGCAGCCTCAATTTAACGCAAAGCCCTTTTCACCATGCGCAACACTTTGCTCATTGCTTTATTCGGTAAGTCTTCCTCACTTCAACTGCTCTCTTCTACCAGAGCTGACAAGTGAGCAAAGCCGTGGGGGCCCTCGGTGTTCCAAATGTGCCCGACTATATCAAAGCTGAGAAGGACGACCTGTGGGTCTGCGATGACAACATGAATAAAAAGGGCTGGGACAAACTTCATATGGACGATTGGGTAGAGCTATTGTAAGAGTGTTCTCGCGAAACTCCAAAAGAACTCGTCTGACAGTATCACCAGTGGAAATGCCTGGCCACACAGTCTAGGTGGCAGAGATGCAGACAAGTCCAAGCCCTACATCAGATACGTAGCGGACCAGACCCGGAACTACGGCTCAATCGACTGCGAAATTGGAATCACCTATTCTTGCGACATTACGGCCAACCGTCATGACTGCCGAGCAAAAGGGAATGGAATTACTCCCGTTGCTTACTTCCATTTAATGGCAATGAAGCGTTTCTCGTATTTCGCGCAATCCCTGGGAGATGCTATCGATAGCGCCGGCTCAACAGTGATCAGCAATGCCGCCAGTATCGCAGCCAAGTTCACCGACCACGATATTAGCAAAGATGATCCCAGCTCAGCCTTCAGTATTGCAGGTGGTGTCTTTGGAATCCTTGGTGGGATCCCTGGCATTGGGACATTTGCAAATGCTGCAGGCGGTCTTGGTGGTGTACTCAGTCTGGAAGGGACCATTATGGCCCCGGCGCAGAGCGCGGCGGCTTTGATCGTTCAAAAGGAGGTCCACGATATTGCTAAGCTGCAAGCTAGTCTAGAGAAGATCAAAGATAACGCAAGGGACGCGGTTTGGAAATGGGCCAACCAGATTATCAACGATCCCTTGACGAAGAGGCCTATTGATGAGTCGAATGGCTGGATGAAGTTGCTGAAGGGGGGTGCTTTTGCCGACAACATTCAACAGAATTGGAGAAAGAATTTCCAGAACCTCCACAGTATCACTAAGCAATTCAATGTGTTTGCTATCAGTGGTAGCTGGCAGTTGGATCAAATCTTCGTTGTCAAAGCGAAGAACATCAACGGTGATCTCACCAAGGATTATTCTAAGGCCAAGCTGGACCAGTTTGATGGTGTCTGTGAGGATGGTGACTGCTACTTTTTCGTTAGGGCTCAGTCCTTCCAGAATCTCCTTGATGGTAAGTGGCAGACTGTTAAAGGCTTGGATAGCTTAAAGGACTATGGCCTGAAACCCATCGATATGGCGAAAGGTGCCGAGTGGTATAAGAAGATAAATGGTGGGGATATCACTACTCAGCCAGCTGATCTTCTTAAGACCTTGCAAAATCAGAAGAAGTCTGCGGGTAAGCTTTGGGTGAGCTTGCCTTTTATTGATTATGATGAGGATGTCAAGTCCACCAGCAAGATTTACCATGAAGGCTCTGGAGCCCCAAGTGATCACTCACACTTCATTTCGACTCTGGCGAATTACATTCCCGATGTTAAAAACTGGCCATATGATAACGATCTGTCTACTAAATAGAGCAGATTTATAGCCTTTCTATCTACCGTGCTGGCGCCCACGACAACACCGGGTGGCACTAGGGCATGATAACGAGTGGCCTGCAACAAGAGTTTTATGAACCCGAATGCACTTGTATATGATCTTTTGTTTTCTTAAGATGGTTCAATTTCAATTGTTATTGGATAATAGTGTGTTGATATTCTGCCGTTTCGTAGTTCTTCAGGGCGTTCAGGTGAAGAGGCCAAAGGAGTTAAAGAGTAGAGAAGTCAAAATACAACCAAAGACCAAAAAAACATACAACAGCCAGGATTCGCATGTGGTCACCCACCATACTACTAACTGGCCGGCGTGTGGCTTAAGTACGGCTGAGCGGACGGGAAGCCCTGTTCTCCACACCCTATGGTCGTATGTGCTTGTTTACACACAGATAAGAACCATACAGTGCGCTTCAAGATATATAGATGTGAGAAGGCAGCTAGAATTAGAGGTAGATAGTTTGAGGGAAGGTAGTAGCATTACATGAATAGGCCTTCCTAGCGATATAAAGGACATTTTAAGTGTAAAAAGTCAAGTCGCGCTTCCATTGATGGACCCTCGAGGTTTGGCCACCAAACTTATTAATAGCATGGAGCTAATGCTTAACCGGACCCGGTTTGTGGAGATTACCTAGATGACGTCCACTCCCATGACTCGACCATTATGCATCCTGCGACTCGACAGGGACCGGTAAGATCTCATTTCGATTGAACATGACATGCGAGAGCCTCGTCGGGTCCAAGCGCAAAGTGCACTAAGACGCTCAGCACTAAGACGCTCATGACCCTTGTGGCGTTGGCGGGTTCCTGACGGCGCGGAAGATCCACTTCCTCGCGAGAAATGTCAGGCACAAACACGCGAGGGCGCACGATGATAGGCGCTTGGGTCCGCTTTCTGCTGCCACGTTATTATCCGAAGGAGCGCTAATGTGCACAATTTCCTGACTATTGAAGTCCACTTCGTGTAGCGTGGCCAGTATTCCTGGTTCGTAATCTTAGGGGTCTGACAAAGTTGAAGCTATCGCTAAGTTCTTCCATTTGCGCGAGAGGCAGGCGAAGCGAGAGCCGCAACTCAAATACACAAATAATCGGCCTGCCAATAAGACTGCCGTGCAGGAGGCTCATAGGGAGCCTCAAGGGATAATCAGAATGCGGTATATAATATAAACGATGGTACCCTGTACTCGGTGATCTTGTCGACTTCGTTCTGTCCAACTATACTCTCATTTTCTTCTCTTTGGCTTCACAGCCGTCCATTCTTTTTATCGGACACCGTCCGTCCACTCTTTCTATCACACTCATTATATAGATAGCCCTCCGGCTATCCCCTTTCTTCCAAACATGAAGACTGCATGGGCTACCGTGCTGCTGCATGTTTTGCTTCAAGGACAGTCCAGCGTAGCGACAACGACACTCCACCCCAGCTCCGATGTGACCTGCCGGACAATCCCCCGAAACTTCCTCGTCAATCCATCTGTCGAGACTGGTGATATCAATCCCTGGGGCCAAGTACCTAGCGAAATCGGCTCAATTTGCTCGTTACCGCTCGTCGTGAGCGACTCCTCGGATGATGGGAACTACGCCATGAAGATCGGCCCAGCCATTGGCTACTGGGGAGCACAACAGACCGTGACGGGATTGACAATTGGCGCAGAATATACGTTGTCTTTCGACTACAAATCCGTATCTGGCAGAGCCGAATTGTTCATTGAAGAAGGCGGCCGTCTGCTGGCGAGTGCAGCCTCAGGACACTCGCCCAGGGCCCACTGGAAGACCATCTCCGGTACTCTGACGGCGACCTCGAGCTCGCATAAGATGGTGATCTTGATCTGGTCCGAGGGAGGAATTTTGGAAATCGACAATGCCAAGTTCATTGGCCCGGAGCAGGAACGGGTTTGCTCGACTGGCCCCATCGGCTCAACCAGTTCCTCCCCAGTTGCACCATCCAGGACTCCTCCTGCCCACTCGCCAACCCATTCTGGCCACCACGTGAGACCTCATCATCCTCACCATCCTCATCATCCTCACCGGAGACCCTCGTCGACCCCATTAGTATCGATCCACCCTTCGACGATGGTCTCGTCGCAGATTTCCTTCTCGAGCATCCCCGTCTCTGTACCAAGCTCGGGGACTCCTTCCGTGACGCCTTCCGTGCTACCTACTTCAGCAGTGCCATCTTCAGAAGTGCCCTCCCCGGCAGTTCCATTGTCGACGCAATCTCCAATCAGCTCTAAGCCTATCTCCAGGAGACCCATCACCAAGACCCCGTCGCCCGGACTTCCTTCGGCCACTCTTTCATCTGCGCCTCTACAGTCTTCTACCGGTCTCTCTTCGCCGAGCTCTTTGGTTCCACAGGCATCTTCGCCAATTTCCACGGTACCCGTGCCAAGTCTCACCACTTCCACAATTTTCAGCACCATTACCGCGACCATTACCGCCTGTCCATCAACGGTTCCTGATTGCCCTGCTTCTGGAAAAACCACCTTTGTGACCACAGAAACCATTGTCGTTGGTACCACCGTTTGCCCTGTCACCGAGACTTCTAACCCTACGGCCCCTCAGCCTACAGTCTCAGGTACTCAACCCAACGGTGCTTCCCCAGTTGCATCCACTACGTCCACTGTCTTCAGCACTCGCACAGCCACAATCACTGCATGCCCATCCAGCGTAGTAGATTGCCCTGCGAGACAACAGAGCACATATGTCACTACCGAAACCATTCTGGTTTCCACCACTGTGTGCCCTGTCGCAGATTCGGAGGTCACCGCCACCGCTGGAGTTGGTTCGCATCCCCACGGTTCGAATGGAGAACCGCGTCCCAGCGTGTCCACTTCCACTGTGTTGACTACTCGGACGGCTACAGTGACTGCTTGCCCATCAACGGTCACTAATTGCCCTGCATCAGCGAAGAGCATCATTGTCACTATCGAGACACTGGTCCAGTCTACCGTGCTCGTCACGATTGAGATCAAGCCGACCGCCACAGGTGCCTTGACTTCTCTCCCGGCCGTGGCTACTAACGGAGCCTCTGGCTCAAGCAGTGGATCTTATGGCGAAAGCAAGGAGTCGTCTACTACCTCGACAGACCAGACTGGTTCAAGCAACAGCCCCGGATCTGCCTCTTCCGGAAACAATGCCAGCGGTGTCGCAGGTATCCAGGCGGGAGCTTCGAGCTCAGCTACTACTTCCCACCGTGCATCTTCCACCCCAGCCTCAGTCTTGGTATCAAGTGTGCGTCCCAGCTCAACTACCACGGCTGCTTCCCAGAAGACTAGTGCAGCAAGTGGTGGTGTTACTACATCGGAGCCAGCCTTCAACGGTTCGGGATTGTCGGCATTGAAGATGATTCCCGTCTTTAATATTCTGCTGCTCATGGTTGCTTCAATGTACTTCCTTTCTTAGAGGGGCATCAATCTTGATGCCCTCTTGTTGATGTCACATCGACTTTTTCGAGGTCTCACTTCGAAGGTGTCTATTGTTTTGTTCGACGTTGTATATAATCACGATTATAATTTTACAATCTCATGAGACGCATATTTATACATACCAAATGCCTCTCAAACTCTTGATTCCCAAATCAGTAGCAACACTTACACTAACTATGTCGCAGCTTCCTGGACGTCCGTGTTGGCCCCGACTCTTTTTTAGAAGTTCTGACACCCCAAAGGAGAAAGACAAGCCAGGGAATTTTTGGCACCTATTCAGCTTCGACATTTGTATCTCGTGGCTAGACGACTTTCATAATCGAGACTGAGCTCTGTTGTTCTAAGCTTGACCAACAACGCTTTTCAACTCGGCAATTGCAGCCCTAACCACGTCCATTGCCGGACTCTCCTCTTCTAGAAAACTGCGCCCCTCAAACAAATGCGGCTGTCCCTCGGCCATAAAAAACTTCGCTTTCTCGCCAAGTTTACTTGCTGCCGAGACACACACATCCTTGTCAACATCCACATCGGCATCTCCTTGGATGAAGATGGTCACAGGCCAAGCCGTCCACTTCTTACCCTTCTCCAAAGCCCAGTCAAATCCGGGATCAACCTCACCGACTATACCTTCAAATGCGTTTTGATAAATGTAATAGTCATAGAGAGTGTCACGGATCTCGATTTCCCTTTCAGCGGCAGATTTCTCTGCAGGGGGCTGTGGGTGGACGTAGTCCGGATTCTTAGCCGTAGATGAAGGCAGTAGCATTGCAGGATGGAATGTCCAGGGGTCATAGTCCGGTGCGGATCCAACAATCAGTGGACCATTGAAGAAGCGTTCCACATCACTTGTGGGAATTGGAGTCGGGGTGAGTTGGATTGATGAATGGTAAAAGGGATGGCGGAACGTGGCAATGCCACTGATAGAAAACAAGGCCAACGGTGCAGGTTGAAGATGATGAGGAACTAGGCTCGCCATAAACAGTCCTGTATAATAAGAATCAGCTCAGGGTCTCTGAAAAAATCTGGATAGAGACTTTGGGATAGTAGCCAACTTACCGGCACTGGCTCCTCCAACTATGACTCGTCGCTCTGCAATATCACCCAGCTTCCTAGCAAACTGATAAGCAGCCGTGACGTCTTCAAGCAACTCCTTACCTCCAATAGGAGGAACAAGTCGATAGCTTGCGCTAATCAAAGGCCACTTTTGGCCGTAGCAAGTCTATGAGAGGCGCGCAGTTAATAATGTTATCTACGTTTCCACGAGTAGAACAAGCTTCTTACCTGCACAAGCCAAGGAGGAACGCAGGAACAATTACCTCCCACTAGGCCGCCGGCATGGAAGAACAAGAAGACGGGCGCATCATCCGCATAGTTGATTGCATCATACACGTCACATTCCAGCGGTATATCATGGTGCGCATACTGGTGTGTGGTCTTTCGAAGCGGCTCCATCTTTGGCGACTCTGTACTCCAATATGTTTGACGTCCTACGAGAGACGACAATTGGAAGAAATTCCCAGTAATTTATATTCAACATTCTAGATATACAGTCAACTCCCGCTTATGGCACACCCCACCATCCAACAGAATTTGCGTGCCATAAGTGAATTGTGCTTATTGTGATCGGATGACTAATTTAGATATATTGATCGACATACATTAATTCCTAATTAGGAAGTCATCTAATGTCCTCTGTCTCCTACTATCCACCTGTAGCCTGTTGAATAGACGTTCCAACCCCTCTATCTGACGTATATTCTCCTCAGTAGTGCCCTCTTGGTGCTGAGCCCATAGAAGCGCTTTTTAAATGCTATTAATAGCCTCGGCACCAGATGGAAGCTCTACTGGAGGTCCGGATATATATTCGTCATCCTAGTCACCGTCATTACCACCCTCACCAGACAAGTCGGCGATTATATCAGATAAATCAGGCTCACCGAAGTCATTCTCGTCTGATGGATTTAGGAAGTTATCCAATGACATGACTATAGGTGTGTCGCTACCCATATCCGCAGGAAACCGGTTGATTAAGCTCTAGTATAAAGGCATTAATTCAAGCGGCTCTGGTGTTGGCATACTTTGCGTCTAATCAGTGCTGCGACTAACGATAGTGCTCTTAATAAAGCAGTTCTGTATAGTCTAATCAAGAACGTCATTTCGCCAGGCCTAGGTAAGCCAGCGGAGGGTATAATTAAGGCTCATTTTCTTGTTCGGATCAAGGTTCCGGTCAAGGATATTAATCATCCATATCATCCATTTCCTCCGATAATGGTGCTTTAGATTCTGGATGATTCCTTGATCCAGTGGCTGATAAACTAACGTCGCATTTGCCGGGAAAAATAACACCTTGATATTAGACGGGGGCGGCGCAGATTCAAGCGCGCATAGATACGCGCTAAAATTATCTAGCAATAGCAGAACGCGTCGTTGCTTACCAATATGCTTATAAAACGCGCGAAGCCATTCTCCCATAATACCACTACGCATCCATACTTTCTTATTCCAGCGCCAGGTACATCCAATTGCTCGGATATTTACCCCCCGAAGAGCGCGTGGTGTCTTTGCTGTACCAATTAGCCATAGAGGCATTCGGTCCGAACCAGTAGCATTCGTCGAAACTACTATAGTAATCCGGGCCTTATCTCTCTTTTGACCAGCATAACCATCTGTTAATAGGCCACCGTTTGGCATACGGCGCCAGTAAAGCCCAGTTTCATCCATATTATATATATCCTCCGGTTGATATTGATCGCAGATCGCCTGAATAGGTTTTATCTCGTCGTGTATCGAGGTCGGGGCCGATGCAGATTCACCGTAGAAGGTATAATAACGGAGGGAATGACGTTGCTTAAACCGAGTAAGCCACCCATCAGAGAAAAGGGGCACTGGGCTTTCAGCATATTCGGGTATTTTCTTCCAATACTCGATAGCTTTAAGCCGAAGTAACGGGCCTGTTATAGGAAAGCCGGCATCCTAGTGTCTTTGCTGCCATTCAAAGAGAGCTTAGTCTAATATAGGCCAATGCGATGTCGATAAGCGCATATTTAGACCAGCTGGGCTAGCATTAAGATGCTGGTATTTAGATGAAAGGATCTTTGAGACAGTAGCCCGATCAATTAGGCGACCAAACTGGGACCGAAACCACTCAACGCAGGCTCGCTGAGAAGGTGTAGGGTGTGTTTCGGATACGTAGACGCGTAGAGCCTGTTTCTGAGCGTCAGATATGCCCTTCCTACCTCGCCTTATGGTAGGCATCTTGGCCGAAAGGGCGACTGAATTTTCCATCGTGATTGGTCAAGCTATATGACTAAGCAGATATAGGAGAGAAAAACTGTGTGCTATAACTGAGTGTGCCATAAGTGGTCTATATATATGGGAAAAGGGGGAAAAGTGGGTCCGTCCACGAAGAATGTGTGCCATAACCCGATGTGTGCTAAATCCGGGCGTGCCATAAGCGGGAGTTGACTGTAGCATGTGAGACCGCACCTCGTGTTTGTTGCTTATCATCTTCTGTAAGCAGCCCTCGTATTCACGGCAATTTTCCATTGTAGTAAAAGCGGGGGAGTGGGGTTTCCTTAAGAACCTGGCCAAGCAATGATGCAGGAGCATGATTTTTCACCAGACTAGTCCAATTTAGAGCATCGTCTACTGTAACTGTAGCATGTTTACCAGTGTTTGTTCTGTTTGTTTGATTTGCTGGGCCAAAGTCAGCCAATTACATTTAGTTTCATACCGGAGTAAATTGAGATGAAGGCGAAAAGGCCGAATACTTGTCGATAGTATCACTGAACCCTCCCAGCATTGAACATGTCTCTCCAATCGCTCCCCGACGAAATTCTTCTGCGGATTCTATCTTACCTGCCATCTCATGCCGATGCAGCAGCGCTGTCTTCACAATGCCACCGTTGGCATCGGTGTGTGACATGTCTGACCGTCGCAAATACCGCCGCGTGAAACTCCGAGAGATCTTGGATTTGGCGGTGGCGTTGAGAATGCTCCGATCGATCCTCAAAACACCCCAGTATGGGGAATATGTTCGCTATATAGAGCTGAACCGATCCCCATCGCTCGATTATAGCTTTTTTGTGCGATTATACGAAATCAAACCGCCGCAAAGATCTCTCCGTCCAAAAGACCAGCCAGGATCGCCTGACTCAGGCGATTAAGCGCGCCGGTTTCGATAGCCCGGAAGAACAGGAGAAGGTGCTTAATGTCTTACTACAGAGTCCGGCTACCATGGAGTAAGCTTGTTTTCTCCCTGCCCCCTTTCCCTATTGATTGAATTCGCTGGCACATGTTCAAAAGAGAACCAAAGGAAAATGTCCAATTCTGACTTTGATTAGCCATAATGACCCACGAGCCCCGTTCCTTGCCCAGGCGTTGGCAGCATTACTAGTAAGCGTTTCAACCCTCTTAGAATCCTTGAGTTTTTGTCCTGTCGGCCAGGAGCCATCGAAATTTGCAAAACTAAGGGCCCAATCCAATGGAACCCCCACTTAAGGAAAGCGATTACTTCTTTAAGCAGTTCTTAGACCGGGCGAATAGTAGGTCGCAGGAGACCCTGCCTTACCTGCATCATCTTCGCCGGGTCCGTTTTCTTGTCGATCCTGATACGAAAATCAGTCCCTGGTACAATTACCAGCCCTATGATCTATACGGCAGCCTGAATCTGGTACGCCGGCTCCCTGCGATCGAGTCTATTCGAGTCGATGCAATTATGGACACAGGAGGCTCTAGTATTATGCCCCCACCTCGATCTGCAAATTATTCCCAAATCACCATCCGGAACTCCAATATAGATTCCCGATATCTAGTACGGACCATTCAGTCAGCTAAACGGCTGGAAGAGTTTGCCTATACGATCGGTGGCCGGGGCTCGAGCGATGGCATAAGCAGCTTCATCCCAGATCACGTCTTACGGGCGCTTCTCATACACGCCGATTCGTTAGTACATCTGGATTTAGATAACGAGGCGGAACTTCCGCTCGTGCATATATTCGATCCGACTCTTAGAGAATATCTTCTTAACGAAAGCGAGGATCGATCGTCGAGATCCTATCCTGCCTATCAGCAGGAGTGGGCTGATGAACTCCAAGAGCCCCAGCCAGAGCAGAGCAGTCACTCATTGCCTTGCTCTCTTCTTGGGCTTCCGAACGTGAAGAGTTTGAGCCTCGGAATTCATCTCCTTTACTAACTATCGCGGGGAATTGGCGCCGATCAGGTCGACGATGCATCATTTGCTAGTGTGGATCATCTCCCTCCTAATTTAGAGGCACTTTGTATCTATGGATATAAGAAGGGGATGAAACCGCAGATCGACAGTCTTCCAGATAATGCGTTTGATAGGCAACTTGAGAAATTACTGGCCGAAAAGGATACAAAACTACCACGATTGTCATACATCGAGGGAATTGATGAATTTATCGAAAACGTGACTACCATCGAGCATCCAGAAATTAACGTTGAGGATCTATGGGAGAGGGAGACGGACGATAAATGGACTGATCATGAATACGATTAGCGAGGATGATTGGGTCCTTCCTTCGATGGGACAGATACTCAACAGAATTCGAATAAGCTGATTCAGGCGAACCTTTTTTGTTGTAAATATAGGATGGCATTAATGACACGACAAAAAAGTTCATGGCACGATAAGGCTAGTTCTAATGAGGAATGCCTCCCCTTCGATACAGAATGCTATATTAGAAATACACAATTTACCTACCGAGTCCATATGGATGTATAGCCCTATCTTTAGAGATGACCATTGAAAAGACCATTGAAAAGACTATAGAAAATACCGTAAAAGAGGACGATATAGTAGGACGGGAAGTGGAATATTAACTTAGTCTATTATAGGAATATATAGATATAGATCGCGTATATAGTCACTCACGTTATTAGCGAGAAGTGTTAATGTGAATTATACAGAAGGACTCGGTAGGTAACTTGGGTGTTTTGAATGTAGCATTCTGTATAGAAGGAGGGGGGGGCATTCCTCATTAGGACTAGCCTTGTCGTGCCATGAACTTTTTCTGTTGTGTCATTAATGCCATCCTAAATATAGACCTATTGTACGAAAATGAGGGTATTGTAAATTTGAGTTGTCTATTTCTTGGGGAGGGGGGTATCGCAGCAGTTGTGTACCCAGTACTTCAACCAGGAGCAATGAGCACGCCCGGGATGAGGTCGGTGATATTGTAGTACCCAGCCTAAAGGGTGAGACAGATCGTGCGCCTGTTCTCACCTCTATCACCCACATTCACCCTAGAATGGAATTCAAAGAATAAAAAACATACAACAGCCAGGATTCGCATGTGGTCACCCACCATACTACTAACTGGCCGGCGTGTGGCTTAAGTACGGCTGAGCGGACGGGAAGCCCTGTTCTCCACACCCTATGGTCGTATGTGCCAGGATTGGCCTCATAGGAATTCATATACTTCATAATTGAAGCCATTCATCTCCACCATACGGAGTACATAGTAGCAAATCTCAGGAGGACGCTATGATTAGATTTCCCAGTCCCCTCCGCCCATCTTTTGAATGCCTTCCAGCCCCGTGTCACATAAATTTACTTTAATCCACCCGACATCATGCACAGTACAACACTCAATAGGATCATAACCACCGTTAAGTAGGTTCTCTGGCTGGTCGACTCTCAAAATATATAATAGACACAGGCTTCCACCAACCGTAAATTCACGAATGCATGTTTATTCAGGCAGTCGTCGATCGGTGCCTAAAGGACGCCTTGCAAAGACTCTTCATCTCTAAAAAGATAGGAACGATGGCACGCCGGCGCCCATGGAAGGGTGAACCGTTGAATCATTTCAGAGGAGTCTCCTGACTCCTGAATAGCACTCGTTGCGTTTTTCTGGAAATGCTCTCGGATTTTCGCCGTACTCGCGTCTTCAAACAGAGATCGGTCCCGAAGAAAGTAGTCTGGAAGCTACCAAGAACATCTAGACCATTATATCTCTCAAGCCTGTCAGAGACATGCCATTGGTACCGATGGAAGGATTTGGCCCAGTCGGCATCGCTTTCATAGATACAGCGATCAATAGGGAACCCCCAAGCACGTAAGCCGATTTCTTGTAGAGTTTTCTCGAGCATATCAGCAAGATCATTGCAGGATTCCGTAGCAGGGGTACGCTTAGACTGATTTCGAGGTAGATCACGTCTAGATAATCTCTCTAGTGTCGCTCATGCTTTATTATGTAGAATTTCTGTGGAGTGGAACGAAGCCATTCTTCGAAAGTCGTATCTCTGTTTAAAGAATTCAGAAGATTTGACCGAGGGCAGGGTCGTGATTTTTGCAAGAGCAAATAGTATTCCGCTGTGGGTATTGGACAGATTGGAAGCACTCATTTGCATTTTGAGGAGGTTTATAGTCATAGGCAGCATTCTTTGCCCGATGGTACGAGGGAGAAGCAGCAGAAAAAGGAGTGTCGGATGCGATCATTGATGTGACTACCCAAAGAAACGGACATTATAGACACGCGCACAGCGACAACAATGACAATAATGCCCGGGGAGACGCTTTACCAGAGAAGGCACGCTGACTGCGTTCCAATACCCAGAAAGTCGAGGTGCTGGCGAAAAGATCACGCTTGTGAGAGGTTCTTTGTCAAAAACCCGTGACGTTTCCGCCCTGGCCCGTGACCGAGGCAAGTAGAAAGGACAGGCTTAGCTAGAAGAGCAACGATGCGTAACAGGTTATCATGACTCTCTAGCTACGACGGAACTCGTAGCAGCCAAAGCGGTTTCCTTCAGGGTCACGGAAGTTCATAAACCATCCATGAGAACTCTCAGGTGTCTTGCCTAGGCAGGTACTACCACCGCATTCGTGGATTCTCTTCTCCATCTGGTACAATCAGCCTGCGATTTTCTGGAAAAGATATAAAGTTCTTGGAGAATGGAGGCATCAGGACTGACATCGTCAAGGGAGTCGACCAAGTAGTACACAGTCATCCCACTGCCCATAGTCTGCTCTGTTGGAGCGCAACCCTCCGGCATCTGGACTATGCCTCCCGACAATCCTAGATCGAAAATCATTCAGCAATTCTGACAGGCTGTGCATCAATGTTGGCTCACCTTTTGGTTCAGCAAAACTATAGTGCTGCACTTTGCTTTGGTCTTCAGCTGATTGAGCTGGCCTCCATTCCCAAGATGGAAAGATGGCACCATAGAATGCCTTACCAAAGCTGATAGTCAGCACAATCCCCGTACCCTGCTACTGCTACAAACGAAAATAATCAGAGTCGCATGACCAGCGAACACACCTTTAGTGCTTCAGTATCCCGAGCAGGGATCTCCACCCAACATGGGCAGCCTTCTGGGGGAGGCTTCCATTTCTGTTGGGCCTCCGTTGCGTCGGTGGTTTCGGTAGACATCGCAGACTGTTAGATTACAGAAGTTCAGCGCTAGGCAAAAGCTTCCGATAGGGAGGAGAAGGAGCATAATAAATCAATGGCATTTACAACTTCCCTCAAGAAGCGGTGAAAGGTAAAGATGGTACGGTACGTCATTGATATAATGATCATGGGCAGCAGATGGCCTCGACTTCGAGTAGAGTCTCAGCTAGCGAGCCAGGTTGATGCAGCCACTTCGTATAGCTGCCGTGAATTCATGAATATTGGGTTCAAGAGACTTACATGACGACTAGGCACCAGCAGGCACCAACAGAGAATCTCCGCGATTTAAGTTTGGACACGAGAAACTTCCTGACAACGCGTCTCGGTCGCGCCACAAATTGAGCTCTATGACGCGTGTTTCCTTTTCTGTTCGTTACGCGTGATAAAACTTTTGTCTACTGATTGGCCCTTACGTATAAATGTTGGAATAGACTCTCTTCTTTCTCGAACGGACGTGGTATATCATTTGTATTACACACGGAACTGGTATAGAACAATTAGAGAGGCGTTGAGTTCTGGCCCGCTCCCCTCATCTTTTCTCTCACAACTCGCAACAATGGACAGCCAGGTATTTCACTCTCGCAAACATCTCGTGAATTTCACTCACCGCTCTTAGAAAAATATTGCGAGCCCCGAGGAGTATCAGGCTGCTCGATCTCGTCTTCTAAAGCAGGAGAAAGAGGCAACGCGCCTGCTACAGGAGCTCGCCGTGGTGCGTCGTCAGTTGCCTATGGTGCGCATCCACGACCCAGAGAGGTTCCAATTCGACACACCCGACGGAGTGAAAAGCCTAACAGATCTATTTGATGGGCGCAAACAGCTCATTCTCTACCATTTTATGCTGGGACCCCACGAGACTCAGGGCTGCGTGGGTTGCTCATTCTGCATGGACCATATTCCCGATCTCCGCCACCTGTGGAGCAGGGATACGTCTTTCGTTGCTGTGGCTACCGCGCCCTTGTCTGAAATCACCGCCTATGGTAATCGGATGGGCTGGAAGTTCCCCTTTTATAGTTCTGCGAAAACTCATGAAGCATGGGCCGAGGCCGAGGGACAGGGAGAAATTATCACCTGGAAACCCGGGAATGGCTACTTCGGGCTATGTTCGTTTTTCAAAGAAGGCGACGAGGTCTTTCACACCTATGATACCTCGTCTCGTGGCTTGGAGATCATCCTGCCCACCTATCACCTGCTGGATATGACGCTGATGGGTCGCCAGGAGGTGGGAAATGGAATGAATGACTTCCGCCGTCACGATGAGTACTAAATTGAGAAGACATAGAAACAAAAGCTCGTCAATTTACCCTCAAGGCCGACCTTTTGCTTCCAGCTCTCCCCCTTCCCCGCCCTTTCGCTGTATTCTAGCGACAGCTATCTACTGCGGGTTTCCTCTCCGCCTGCGTCCGCTGTGTAGGAACGTAAACGTTGTTCTTTAGCAGCCCCTATCCCTACGAGTCTCCTCATCTGCCTCCTGACTTGCTCTTATCATGATCTAGATCTGTACTCCACCGATAGCATATATAGCCCCGAATATTGATATGTCACTAGAACGTATGAACCTTACAAAATGTCCTGAGTATTCAATACTGACTTAAGCAATTTCGATCGGAACTTGGACTTACAGGGTGTTAATGGACAACAATAGCAGGCCGACTAATCTTCAAAATCATCTCATCAGACATATTAATGACAAATCGAGAGATACTGCCTGAGCTATTCGGAAATTTAATTCCAAAGACAAGTCTCCAGGAACGGAAGAGGTTGGAGCGCGTCTGGCTATGCGCTTTCTTCCAACTCTTGTTACAAAAGCTTGAACTCCTAAAACATATCCCACCCCCTGAAGAGGCCAAGTAGTTAATGACTCACAAGCTTTGCTTGTTTCCAGAATTTGAGTGTGATACTCCCAAAACCACTGTTCGAACAGGCTCAAAAATAGTCCTAGCCTGCAAATCTATACGTCTTGACCCCCTCCATACCAAAGACGGCCCCTCCGGATCACAAGTTCCTGATCCTGCCCGACAACCCATTCGCCTTCTTTCGGATAGCTACCGTCAGCCTGTGGCCAATACTGGCTTGCCAAAATTTCATTGATGCGGTCAATCTTATCAATCAGTACTTTGACTTGAGAAGGATCGATAACTTCTCCACTTTCTGCTTCATTGATGAGAAATCCGTCAAGGTTGATGAACCGTGCGATGGTGACGTGAGCCGAGGGAACGATATAGCGCGAAGCAACGGGGAGACCCGTTTGTCGAACCAAGTCGAAGATGTCCCGGCGTAGATGGTGATATGTGTATTGATCATCATGGTCCTCGGAAACACCGGCTGAGCCTTCGCCTGCGGCAGGAACGAAGCTAAGAGCAAGTGCAGCGGAGTCAAAGCTCACCATAGGCCTCAAAATTCGGGTTCGATGATTGAGGGGATACCCAGAAATGTCCGCTGCGGTGACATTCTTTGAGGATTCTAAGGTTTGGATAAGCTCTTCAATCTGGTTCTCCGTCAAAGAATGGGCCACCTCCAGAACGGTGGTGTGGAGATTATCAGGCGGCATGGTCCAAAGAGCTATTAATGTCGAATGAGTCGCCGTGCTTCAATTTCAGAGATACAAAGGTGTTGTCATGATCTACTTACATGGAGCAACATCTTTCAATTCGCTCTGAACGAATGCGATCAAGTCTCGGATATGAGGAGGGGGTCTGGCCCAGATGACGAGGCAGTTGCGAGGATCGATGTATCCTTCTTCTTTTGCAGGTCCATCAAGTCGGCGCAGAATCTCATCTATCGACCAGCCTGGGAAGTCTTTGTCTAGAATCTTCGCCTTCTGTTGCGCATTCCGATCCGTGCGATGGGTTTCATATCGCGATTGCAATTGAGCCTTTCAAATCCGGATCGAATCAGCACCCAGCACCAGTCACAACAAAATTCCCAATTGGCTTTAGATCAAGCACATTACTTACCGGGTCATCGTTTGACTCGGCGATCAACACCTGGAAGGGGTTGTCTGGAGATATCGACGGAGTAGTCATCTTAACCGAGCAACGCTAGACGTTAAGTCCCTGGTGTGGCTCGTCAAATCAGGTCCCCGGTGCGATGTTATACTTCTAATGCCAAGCCTAATTTCCCGGTACACGCAACCTGACTCACTTTGCGGGTCTCGACAGCTGTGATTCCTTGGTTAAAGCTCAAAATAGCCTACATAGCCACCCCCTAGCGGGTACGCTTACCAATCTTTGCACCAACTTCATCTAATCTATGACAGGGCGTAAAGTATTGAAGCGAGCTCCACTTCACAGGCCCCAGGCGGGGTATCATCGAAAGGAACAAGACTGAAACCCCAGAAATCAATTACGGACCTTCCTGAGTTAATATATAATCTCCGTGTTGCAATTTTTCCATTGTCTGTTCTACAGGGTGGAATATTACTGGATAAGATGACACTTCCGGAGATCATCACTCTATTGACTTGATAATATTCAGGCCAGATGAAGTCAAAGGTACCTCGGTAACTTCATGTTTGATGATTTTGCTATCAAAATAATGCTCCATAAATTCGAAGCTCCGAAAAAGCGTCTGGGGTATTTCGTCGGGCCATCCGCCCCTTTTCAGAATCGATACCTAAACCCTGGCGTTTTCCAATCAGTGACATCTTCATAGTCATTCGAGACCAATTGTACCCGATTGACCATCTGTGCAACATTCTTCGCATTGCGATCGACATCCAAGACCTTACCACCACCGACCGCGCCGGCATTTCCTGCACTTCCCTCGAAACCTTCAACTCGCACGCGCTGAGCATTCATCCATTGCAAGTAGACGCGTAAACAGAGGGCCAGAAGAACGGCAAGCGCGTAGCAGATCATAATTGTGCGGAATGCGGTATCATATGTTGGGGCTTCGCGACTGAGAAAGAATTGAGGCCCCGAAATATTTCCTGCGCAGTATGCGAGGAAGAGCAGAGCTGTCATGGTCATTTTCTTCGTTACCCCGCGATAGTTCGCTTGCACAAGCGACATAGCCAGCGGCATCGCGGCCGGGCCAGTCGAAAGCAAGAAGTAGCCAAACAGTTGAACTCCCAGTACAACATGAGCGCGGGAGTAGATGATTGCACTGCCAACCACGCATGGAAGAATGACCGCGATGATCAACAGACAGTTCATCTGGCGATAACGACCAGCAAGCCAGCCGGAACCAGTGATTGCGGTCACTGTAATCAGCGAGTAAGGAATAGTGATCAGTGTAGACTGGAGACTTGTGAATCCAAACGACTTTATCACGAGGTTGGCGAAATTTTGGGTGCCTCCATTTGGAATTTGCGTCAGGATTTCTAGTCCGAAAATAAGCCAGGTCTTTGGATCCATGAGGCATTCGACAACTTGATCCCATTTCCATGCAGTCTTCTCAGTTACACCTGTTCCAGCAATAACAGCTCGGTTAGCTGCGAATTGACGCTCCTCTTCTGTGAGAAACTTTGCTGTCAAGATGGAATCTGGAAGGAACATCCAGATAGCGAAACCCCAGAGGAAGGTCAAGATGCCGAGGACGATAAACATCCATCTCCATGGCCCGACATGGTCATCAATATGTCCTAATCCATACGCAAGAAGGCTTGCAGCGATGCCGCCAACACTCTGGACCGACGAATCAGTTTACGACACGACCTTGACGAGGTTTGGTGACACCTACGTTGCCAGCAAACCACATACCCGTTCGTGTTGGGATCTCATCACGCGTATACCAGGTCGAGGTGATAAACATGAATGCCGGAGTAATAGTTGCCTCGGCGACTCCTAGTAGGAAGCGAACCGTCATGAGCCCACCAAAGTTGGTGCATGCCGCAGTGAGAGCTACCACAGTGCCCCAGAACAGTGTGTTGGCAGTCAAATACTTAGCAGTGGGCAGGCGAGCTATGAGTAGTGTGGTCGGATATGCCCATCCCAAGTATCCAAAGTAGAAGATTGAAGAGACCCAGCTATACTGCTGCCCCACCAGGCCCTAGTACACCAACGCAGTTAGCGACCGAGCTATATTTCTTAAACGGATATCTTACCGTGTCGTCGGCTAGACCAAAGACTGAGGCACTCGAAAGAATTGTCTTGTCCATGAAGTTTAGCATGTATGTGACAAATAGCAAGGGCACGATTCGCATGTCGATCTTGCGCAACACTCGTTTCGCCATGGCCATGTCGTTCCCCTGCTCCACCGTGGATGCATCGACAGTAGCGCTGGACTCTGCCATAGTTTCAATATACTGGAATTTTTCCACAGGCAAGTTTGCGGAAAGGAACTTTCAGAGGCACAAGAAAGGTGGTCACACGCTGTGTGTTGATCCCAACATGTCTATCCCTGTCTTATCTTTCCCCGCACTTCCATTGGCTCGGCCGAGCTCCGCGAGCCCTTTGCATGTTATCGCTGATATAGCACACTTGGATGACCTATTTATTGGATAAAAGGTCAGTATTTGAATCCTACCCCACAAGGCCAAGTTGGTTAAACTACTCGAAAAGGAAACTGTTCCCGTGGCTGGTGAGTTGCTACCCCAGCTGTCGGGATCTGCCGACTGGGTCAAACTAGACTCTCCTCATTTTGACATAATTCTCGGCAATCTTTCAAGGTCACTTTCTAGGACAAGTTCCTATCTCCCTTTCTTTTGTTCTCAAAAGAAAACTCTCAGAGTTCAGCTTGATCGAAACAGTTCTTTCCACCAATCATGAACGGCTTGGCTATCAGTCCCTTCATAGCAGCCTTACCCAAGGTGGAACTCCATGTCCACATTGAAGGAACACTCACGCCAGCTCTCCGCTGGGAGCTAGCGCATCGCAACAATATCAGTCTACCGTATGCGACATTCGAAGACCTCAAAGCTTCCTATGCAGTGACATTGAATCATCGGCCTGAGCTGAACGGACGTCAACCCGGTATTCCAACTTTTCTCGAGGCCTATTTTGCAGGATGTGAAGTCCTTCGCACAGAGCAGGACTTTTATGATTTAGCAATGGCGTATCTCCGTCGCTGTGCAGAGATGAATGTGCGATACGCCGAGCCGTTCTTCGATATCCAAGCACATACGCGACGAGGCGTGGCAGCGACTGCTGTTTTAGACGGGTATTTACGCGCACAACACGATGCAGCACGCGAATTTGGTGTACGATCGCGCTGGATATTGTGTTTTCTCCGTGATGAGCCTGTTGAAAAAGGGCTGGCGGCATATGCCGAGGCGAGACCCTGGGCCGCTGGTACCGTCGAGGGAGGCAAGGGGCTTTTCCATGCCGTTGGACTCGCCAGCAACGCGTACGAAAGACCGCCGATGTTATTCGAAGAGGGATATGCGCTTGCAAAAGCGGATGGCTTGCATGTCACCATGCATTGTGATTTTGGACAAAAAGACACCCACGAGCATATTCATGAAGCCATCTTCAAAGTATGCAAAGGCCAGGGATCAGAGCGCATTGATCATGGACTTGATGCCGAGGACAAGGAAGAGTTATGGCAGGGTCTCGTTGATAAGAAGATTGGTTTGACTCTGTGTCCTCACGCGTACCACCGAAGAACAGCAACAGAGGTTCTCTTTCCCAAGATTCGACGACTGCGCGACAGAGGGGTGAAGATTTGCATCAACAGTGATGATCCGACTTTGATGCATGATGTTTGGATTGATGGGAATATGCAGAAAACTTATACATACTGCGAGTTCAGTCAAGCTGAAATGGTGCAATTGGCCAGGAATGCGGTGGATATGTGCTGGGCCGAGGAGGATGTGAAGGACGCTATCTATAGAGAATTAGATGAGGTAGATGTCCTTGAATAAATGGCGCATGAAAATTATTTGCCATTGGGAAGGTCGTTTTATCTACATTTATAAGTTCATTGATACGACGTGAAATAAAAGTGTCTCTTCATTAATAGTGTCGTTAAGGGGTGATATTAAACTTTCAATACATCGCAATCAAAGAATCAATTATCCCGTCTCGTCTTTCGGGGCTCACATCCTGGAAGGCTTCTTGCACATCGTCATCCTCTTTGAGAAGCTTTGCCAAGTCAAATCTTGCTCTGCCATCGTTTTCATCACGACGGCCAAGTGCGGTACCAGTACTGTTGGTATTGTCGGAGATGCTGGACAAAATTCCAGTCAGGTTCTTCCCAGACGCAAAGCTTTTCAGGGTATTCTTCAAGATATCGGTGATGCCAATCTCCGCGTTGAGAGTGAGTTGCCGTAACACGTCGGTGTAATATTTCACCACGGTGCCATTCCAGACAACTGACGTTGTGGTTGCTTGGAGAGTAAGATTTCCGGTTTTAAGCGCTGAAGCTTCGGCTCGGAGGACGGCCCCCAGGTTTGAGATTATAGTCTTCAGGTCGATGACTCCGGTAAGTGGATATTTGTTATCTCCGGGTACTAGGGTCACTCCCTCGATGGTGACATTCCCGATGAGAACATCACCAGTCTTAATATCGAGGTTCAAAGTACCGACTTCAAAGTGCAGGACGGTGGGATTCGGAAGTGTGATGTTTCCAATGAGATTTGTGCCGTCGCTTCTCGCAGGAAGGAGTAGTGTGGAGTCGGACATGGCAAAACCTGCAAACTTGTTCAAGGCTTAAAGTTGTCAGCAATGAATCCGAAAATGTGACCGAAGCAAAAAAAGAAATCGTGATTAGAGCTGAATGAGACTGTGGACTAGGCTTACTTGGCGCGACAACGTCTTTGTCCATCGTAACGTGGGATTTGAGCACTCCCAGATAAGCGGTCATTTTGCCATACATCGCTAGTGAGGTTGTTTCCTGGAAAAGGACTTGTTTCACAAATTTCTCCCAGACCGTCATGTTTTGAATCGGTGTGAACTGATCAGAGACTCCAAGAGTATAGTTGCCTTTGATCGTTTGACCTGAAATGTCAACAGCGGCATACGGATGATCATGTCCATACTCTCGCTCAAATAGATTGAGTGTCACCGGCTCAATACGGACAGGAATTGCCAGCTTCAGGTCCACGTTCGCTTTCAGAGTTAGGATCACAGAATCGTTCTTTGGCTGTACTACCTCCGCGTTGACGAGCCACAGGTCTGACTTGTTCACTACCAGTTGTGCCACGGCAGGGATAACAACGAGGAAGCTATAAAAAGGTTAGACGTTAGTCGTGAGAGATAGAGTGACTTTAACCAGCAGCTTCTTGGGACTTACAAAATTGGAAGCAGAATTGCGAGGAAAATCACATTGCCGATTAGATAGACGAGCCAGAAACGACGCCAATGACGGCGCCACTTTTCGCCACGAGTTGGCGTTTTGGTCAAGGAGAGACCACCAGCAGACTCGGTTTTGGCGAGTCCTTCATTCTCTTCTTCTCGTGAGAACAACGGCCCACGGTGGGCTCCTATCACGAAGTCCTTCGGCGCTTTTGGCATATTCCCTGGATGGCTGGTATGCTTGAATGAGAGCAGCGGAGCTCGGCAGGAACCCTCATCTTAAAAGGTGCTCGGATTCAGCTCATGTGAAATGGCTGCGTTAGCTATGCAAGACAAGAATCTTGGTACTCCTACTAGCAAAAAGGCCGAGGAGATGATCCAGGTGCACAGCTACAGTTCTAGATCAGGAAGGTGGAGGGCTGATCGTTGGTTGAGTGGAGTTCCCCATAGTAAATCCACGATCTGCGATAAATTGCGGGGATGCGGGGAAGTGTAGAAAGTAAAAAGAAGTGCAACTTCAAGGCAGGCACCCGCTCAGGAAATCTATTCCGGAAAATTTCGAGGCTCCGAGAGGTCCATGCTAGATTATCATTTAGGTCCTCGGTATTTAGGGCATTTGGACGCATAAATTCAATTGCTTGTGATATTCCGTTAAGGTATTGCGTTGTTGCAGGAACTGGTCTCTGTGATTCGTTCGCCCCCTACGCACAGACTTGTCCGGGCTTGGGTGAGTTCTGCGGGGTACACTTATATCGTTCGTCATCTTATGTGAACGCCTCAGATGTAGACACTGACTAGGCCCGTTAGTTATTAGTGTCCGTGACCAAATCGTGGCTGGGTTGTTGGAAGAACGTTTCGAGGTCATCGCATGCCTCATCTACACATCAAGCTATCGGTTTATCGATGATTTCCTGGTACACAGCGCTAGCACGGTGACAAGACTGATGCGCCTTTAGTCATATTTCCAAGAGTAGGATGAAAATGCCAATACAACACTCTGTGGCATACTGTACTTTAGCGATCGTCAAATGACCTCGGCTCTTGAGCTAAAGAAGCACTGACCCCTTATATTGGCAGCGGTCAAGGAGCAAATTCTATAAGCTGCTCAAACCTACTCAATAAGAAGGACCCAAAACGGTGAGAATTGCGCCACATATAGTCAAGAATGACCTACAGAACTGGTATGGTCAAAAGAAGCCGTGCGCTAGAAGATCTACAATGACAGGGAAGTTTATTCATTAAGAAGGTCAGCACATGTTATCGGGCCACGCCATGTACAGTCTTTATCATTGATGAAGAAGATGATCTTCGCCCCGACTCAATCTCTTTGCAAGTTGTCAGACGAAAGTCGATTTCCATGGTAATTATGATCTTTGCATGAGCTATTTGTCGGACTCTCTGGCAAGATAGCTTGTCCTCGCCGAGAATATCAGAGATTCCATGGGTTTTAGAATCCTTGCGACCGTCGAATAGCAAACTTCTTTCCTGGGCTCTTCACTATGAATACCTTTCCCCTTCGGGACCCGTATGATATGTTCAGCCTGAAGGAACGACAACCAATCGTGGAGACCACAGTGAACAAAAAATACATGACTAGTGCTTTTTAAGAACCGCCACAAACATATCGACACCTAGGCTTCGTGATTCAGTCTTGGCATGTCCTTTTCTATCTGCTGTTTACTATTTGCATGAAACCAGGTGAGAGACGAGCATCCTGTTAAGCGGTAACCCTCAAGTCTTCTTATTTTTATAGAATGGTATTAACGACACGACATAAAAGTTCATAGCACGACAAGGGTAGTCCAAATGAGGAATGCGCCCCCTTCAATACAAAATGCTACATTCGAATACACAAGTTACCTACCGAGTCCTTCTGTATAACCACATCAATACTTCTCGCTAATAACGTTAGCGACTGTGAACGTGACCTCTATCTATTTATCCCTATAATCGACTTAATTAATATTCTACTCCCACTCCGACTACGTTGCCCTCTTTTACGGTCTTTTTAATGGTCTTTTCTAAAGATAGGGTTACGCATCCATATGGACTCGGTGGGTAACTCGTGTATTTCGAATGTAGCATTCTGTATTGAAGGGGGCGCATTCCTCATTTGAACTAGCCTTGTCGTGCTATGAACTTTTATGTCGTGTCGTTAATACCATCCTTTTTATAAGCCTTGGCCTCCTGACTGAGGATTACAGTTTGCTGGTCTGATTGGTTGCGATTATACCGACGTTATATCTGTTCAAGCCCTCAAACGAGGACATTGACTTCTCCAACTATATTCTCCGGTGATTATGACTTTCAGCCGCATGACTTCTATTGATTTTTAACTCCGGAGGTCCGTCGCTGCGGGTCTATTTGCCGATATTCATATCCCTTCCTACAGAGATATTGCCTGGCCCTATATTCTGAACTCCTTGACCGCGAAATATGGACTTTGTAGCTAGAGAGCTACCGGCTGAAGACGCAGACCTATGCCGACCGTGCGTCTCAGTGCTGATGGAAGGCTGCGGCAGGCTCACGTACGAAAGAAGCTCCTTGGCGCACCCTGCAGCTACTGCCGCAGCATAATACTGCCATGCCTCATTCTTGTGAGAGTCTGCATAGTCAGAGATACCCCGTATGGCGATGCACGAGGACTTCGTCGCGATGCCCGCCGCTTCCATCTCGAAGCACAGAATATCGCCAACCACCCTGCCATCTATTTCCGCAGCATTTGACGCGCTCCTTATAACTTGATCTCCAGAGGCCACGAGTCCATAATGAATCCTGGGAATCGGCTTCCGGTGCTGACGAGAGACCAGTCTCGATTTGTCACAGACCTGACAGGTTGCTTGTCGAGGAAAATGATGATATTCCGACTGGAATAGCTCATCCGGGTCCATAGGCCGCTGATACGAGTCTCGAATATCATCGCTCTTTTCAAGCATAGCTGACACGAAATCAGGAATCTTGCTCTGCGATAGTCTGTGATCAGACCGCATCATTACCACAGCACTTCTCAAAATCTCGGGTGGCGGCCAAAGGAATCCTTTCAGTATAATGCCATTGTCCGTATTCTTAGCCAAATCGTATTGGACGACACCTCCATGCTGGCCATCGGGCATGCTCACGACGACGTCACCCAAGCGAATATCATTCTTTGCACTTGGTACACCTCCCCCGACCCCGACCATCAAGCGTAGCTCGATCGATGGAAACGTGCGTGCCATATCATTCGCGACCGCTGCGGCCGCACTCTTCCCCTGGCTACCTGGAAGGCTAGCGAGGACCACATTGTGGCCGCTGAGCTCTCCAAGGACATATAGATTCGAGTCGCCAGGCGTTCTGGGCAGTCGGGAATGTTCCTTATCCAGCATAAAGCGAACAGCACTCATCTCAAACTCTATGGCGCACACGATTCCGACGGTGTACGCTTTGTAGTCAAATCCTGCACGGCCAATTAGACGATGGTGCTTCTTGGATGGGCTAACATGTCATTTACCTTTCATCTTAGTAGCTTTGGATAATAATCACTTATCTTAAAAATATAGTTTTGGAGTACTTGAGGGCTTCAGAATGATAACCTCTCAGAGGGTGACAAGATGCGAGACTGATGGGAGTTCAGCTCGTGCGGGGTAGGACAGCTATTGCGTGGCTAACTGCCTCATGCACCGCAAGTTCAACCTACTACCCATGTTTCGCAATAACGTCTTTATACTTGACAGCTAGCCTTGACGAAAACATGGTTAACCAAGTCATGGAGTGTCAGGTTACAAATGAATCACTAGAAGAGACTAGGGCCGGATTTCAACCCGCCAGAGAAACACATACCGCTCAGGCCTCCTTTCATGGGGATGGCTTACAGAACAGTGGAAGTGGAAATGTTACAGTAGGACGGGATCTCAACATAGGTATGGCCTTAACTTTTTTTCAATAAGCTCTGCTGACGTACTGCTAGGCAATTTGAAGGAAAACACCTCGGCCTGTGAACGCGACCTCTTCGTGACGGATCCGTATGGCGACAAGCAAGCTTTAAAGCGCAAGAAAGGCGACCGTGCTACTGGGACCTGCGAGTGGATACTCTGTACGAAAGAGCTTTTTGCCTGGCTTGGTTCTGGAATGGCGGACGGTCCCCAGGGACAAGCGAACCAAGTCCTTTGGCTCCACGGAAACCCTGGAACGGGTAAATCGATCATGGCTATATACCTCGCGGAAGAGCTACCGACAGCTTTATTCAACATGGAGGGGGACGAGGTGACGCTAGGCTACTTTTTCTGTGACTCTGGCTTTCACACACGGAGGACTGCAACCTCGATCGTCCGAGGGCTTCTCTACCAGCTCATTAGAAAGCACAAGAAGCTTCTCGATTTCATCTTGCTAGAGTACCGTTCACGTGGGGCTGAGCTTTTTACGTCGTTCGATGCTCTCTGGAGTATATTTATGGACATGGTGGCAGACCAGAGTATCGGTCGAATATACTGTATCATTAACGCGCTGGATGAATGCGACCAAGAATCAAAACAGATCCTGTTACAACAGCTTGAAGAAACCTTTCAGAGCCAAGAAACCTCGCCCAATGTTCGAATATTAGTGACTAGCAGGCCATATCCGGAGATACGCGAAAGTCTGGAGATGTTCCCGAATAAGGATTTGGCTTCTTTTCCCGAGGGACAGGAGGACATTGATCTTTGCATTGAGGAAAGACTGAATTTCTTGGCCAAAAGAAAAAAGTACACCAATAAGGTCAAAGAGCAAGTCCGCAAGATTCTCCGAGACAAGGCTGAGGGCACTTTCCTCTGGGTTGGCTTGGCCTGTGAGGAACTGAAGGATATTCCTTCAAGCCGTGTTATCAGTACTTTGCAAGACATACCGAAAGGGCTTCATGCAATCTACAAGAAGCTTCTTGAGACGGCTTGGGCACAGAACGAGACCAGTGGCGATGACCTCCAACGATTCCTAAGCTACATGGCTGTAAGTTCGCGACCACTGACCGTGGCGGAACTCTGTGAAGCATGCCAATTGTACGAGGAGGAAGAAGACTTTGAGACAAGAATCCGATTCACACACGACAATATCGAGTCCTGCCGCTTGATGGTCGTCATTCAGGAGGAAAAGGTTCTTCTATTACACCAATCAGTGAAGGACTACCTAGTTGGGGCTAGCTCGAGCTATTTCATCGAAGTGGCCGAGGCACATGCCCGTCTTGCTTATCGGTGTGTTGATATTCTCATCGCGCAATTCTACAGTACATATCAACTTCATACTGGCTTTTTGGATTATGCAACCCTTGAATGGCCTCATCATGCGCGTATGTCTGGTTCAAAATTCAAGGTTCAATCTGAACAAGCGAAATTCTTTCAACTTCTTTCTCCTTGTCGGGATGCGTGGCTACAGAGAATCATTTCAGCATCGGAGCTCTTGAGATTTCCCACAAACTTCTCCGTATTTCACGTAGCTGCACTGTGGGGCATTGCTGCCCTAGTGGATTATGCCTCCGAGTTAGGAGCCCAAGGAAGCCAAAGAGAGGGTTCGAATCATGTCGTGCATATCAATTGCTTAGATGTTGAAGGGAGAACGCCCCTTGAATATGCAGCTGAGTCGGATGATGCGGATTCTGTTGCTGCCCTTCTGAGCCGGGGAGGGACGGTTACTGCACAGACCGTCATAGCTGCGGCCGAAAATTGCAGCAATGGGAAAGAAGTGATGGAAATTCTTATCGACCGATGTGGAGACCAGATTAGTATCACTGACGAGGTTTTGAAGGCTACGGCTCAAAACGAGAGGAATGGAAAACAAGTAATGGCACTTCTTCTCGACCGTCGTGGAGACGAAATCACTATCACCGAAGAGGTAGTGATCGCTGCGGCTCAAAACGAGGAGAATGGGAAAGAAGTGATGGCACTTCTTCTCGACCGCCATGGGGATCAAATCACTATCACCGAAGAGGTAGTGATCGCTGCGGCTCAAAACGAGGAGAATGGGAAAGAAGTAGTGGCACTTCTTCTCGACCGTCGTGGAGACCAGATCACTATCACCAATGAGGTATTGAAGGCTGCAGCCGGAAATTGGTTCAGAGGGAAAGAAGTGATGGCACTTCTTCTCGACCATCATGAAGGCCAGATCAGTATCTCCAACGAGGTATTAATTGCTGCGGCTAGTAATATGGGGAATGGGGCAGAAGTAATCGCTCTCCTTCTCGATCGTCATAGAGACCAGATCACTATCGCCGAAGAGATAGTAAAGTCCGCAGCCGGAAATTGGTTCAAAGGGAAAGAAGTGATTGCACTTCTTCTCAATCATCATAGAGACCAGATCACTATCACCGACGAGGTTTTAAAGGCTGCGGCTGGAAATATAAGGAATGGGAAAGAGGTAATGGCACTACTTCTCGATCGTTGTGGAGACCAGATCACTATCACCTACGAGGTGTTGAAGGCTGCGGCTGGAAATATGATAAATGGGATCGAAATAATGGCACTTTTGGACCAATACGGAGATCGGATCACTTTTACTGTTGACGCGATGGAAGCCAAAGCCAATTTTCTCAGTGAGGTCGATATTCAGATGGTATCGACCGAGGAGCTCGAATTTGACGACTGAACTAGTAGAGTGCTTCGTCTCCAGAAAAATCGCTAAAATATGAAGCGATGTTGTACCTGGATAGCTTGATAGAATGTTTGAATCTCCCACATTGCAGTAGCATTTCCTCTAATCGATTAGCTCTCTAAAACAACCTTCCCGTACACTAATCAACCGATATTTTTTTACTGAATGTTGGCGTACTATATTGAGGTTATCGTTGAATTTATCCCTCTGTAAGCAGTCGTAATGACGAAACGAGCTTAGCCACCAAGGACTGGTTGTTGAAGCAATAGTATTTATGGTAATAGTATTTCATGTAATCTATTACAATGGCAATGATCTGGGTATTGGATTGAGCGATGAAAGTAAATAAAACATTAACGTAATTATTTGAGATTCAGTCATCAATAGGACGAGCTGAATTATCTTGTTACTATGCAGAAGACCTGATTCTGTCGCACTCTAGACCTGGTTTTATTGTGGTGGACTTTGCTAGACTCGGCCACGTCAAACCATGTTCGGGCCAGGAACACTCGTCTCCACGTGCCTGACCCATCAAAAGCGATAGATTGCACCCGACCAGGTAGAAATAGGGACTGTTGTCTAATTTGACAATCGACCTGGCACACCACACAATCGAAGTTAGTTGAGATATCATCCGCCTTTCTACGCACCACACCAACTCAACATCACCACCACCAATCGAGATTACTGATGCTTGGGGAGGTTCCAGATTCATTCAAGGCTCGTAGCCCGTAGCCGACATGATCACATTCAATTGATATCTAAAATATTGACGCAACGCTCATTCAAGAAGGCACTTAGTAGTTGAAGCGGCTCTCCTCGACCTGCTCAATGTGGTCCTGGGCGTGGCGCTTGGCACGCTCACGGTCAATGAAGTCCAGACCGCGGGTCTCGACCTCACGGTCAATGAAGGCACCGGCGAGACCGGCCATGATCTCCTTGGCCTTCTCGTGGCTCTGGGGGCGACCTGTTGCAGAGAGGGTTGTTAGCTATGGGTTTCAAGATGTATAGTATCACACTGGAGGCAGTGTAGAGAGCAAAAGGGGGGTCAGCTCGATCTTACCGTTGCGCTCGCAGTGGTCCTCGTAGGCCTTGGCGGCCTCGTAAGAGGCAGCGCCGGCGATCAGCTCGTGGGCGAACGAAGCCTCGTGTTCGCGGGTGACACCGCCGTTGTTGTACTCATTGTACGAGTTGGATTGCGCAGAGTCGTCTGGAAGGGAAGAGACAAGTGGGGTTAGCGAGGGGGTTTCCAGATGGTAGATGCGTATGATACGGAGGTATGGATGTATCGAGGGAGGGGGTATGGCCTGATAGCCAACCCATTGGAGTACTCACTATCGAACCAGCCCATTGCGACGGTGTTGTAGAATTATTCGAAGGAGTAAAAAGGGGAGATAGATGTGCGAGATGATGAAAAGAGAAGAAGAGGGGAACCGGACGAGGGGGAGAGGAGGGGATCTAAATAGCGCGCGGTGGATAACAGACCATCCTTCCACGAGGGCGAGTCGCGGCTACGTGGCTGAAGCAGTTCAGGTCGGTCGAATTGGCCGCCACTTTTCCCAGTCGGGCATGGAGCTGCTCCTGGGTGGACGCTCCACAGGGTAATACTCCAGAGGGCTGAGATCCTCGCTGGTAAAGGAGGGGGGCGAGTCGGGAAATTCACAGATTTCATTGGCGCCAACCGATCGACTTCGCCTCTGTTTTTGTTTTCCATTTTTACAATAAACCCACTGCTCCGCCAATCACTCTGTGGCTCGGTTTCAGCTAACCCCCCGGGACCCGAGATTAGGGGGAAGCGGGGTGGTGCAAGGCGTCATCGGGTTTGAGTTGAGGAGGGGTGAAGGAGAGTACCGAATGACTAATGTCGAACGTCTTGAGTCTATATCAAGGACGCAATGTCGGTATAGAAGGGCCGTTGTTGACCGCCAAGATGACAAGCTCTGTGATCACTGCTTGGCGATGAAAGCCAAGTCTTTCGTGTCCACCAAAGCAGACCCCTCTTGGGATCCATTTTTTGCCGACTCCCGATTCCCAACTCGGTACTGTAGCCTGGCTAAGTGGGGCATTTACCTGGGCTATGTATTTAATACACCCTCAATTCCACAACCAGTAAGAGCTAACGTATCATTAAGGACTAATGAGGACTAACGGGCGTTGACTAACGCCAGAAGAGGAGAAGGGGATACGTCGCTAGTACGGCCGAGAATACCTCCTCCCCACCGAGTGTTGTACACCGCTCAAAGGTGTGTCAGATTTCATTCTTTCGGACTTGCGACAGCTGCGGTTTTGAATCGGAAGTATTCCGTAGAAAAGGGGAAGAAAGGGGAGTTGATCTTTGCAGCGGGATCATCACGTCTGTACATATGTCGGTCTGTATGTATCCTGCGGCCCTACAGAAGCTTAGTTCCTGGTGCAGCGACTACCCCTCCCACGGTTGGCCGGACTAAGTGTTTCAGCTTGCGCCCAGCATTGCCTATCAGGAGTCGATTTTCCTCGTCAATTGAGAGATATACTATTCATAGCTCTCTGTAGGCCACATTTATCGCCACCACTTCAAGTGTATACCCTGTATGAATGCTCTGTAGAGCTTCCAGCGTACGAAGACTACCCCGCTACCCTCTCAAATTAGCGATCCGAGATGATGTCATCATCATCGGCCCCTCTCTTACCCCCGTCGTATTGTATTGACGCCGACCTGTCTTGAGTCATTAGTAGCAACATATGATGCAGCAATGAGAACATGTAATATCTCAAGTATCAAATCAGAATGGAAATCGTTAGCACGTACTATAAATAGGGGCTTGCGCATACTGTGGCTGATGAGCTAAGAAAAACGTACCGTACCGCGCCTTGGTCGAAATCGAAATAGGGGCGCGGGGTAGACTCAGGTACAGAGTACACCCTTTTCAAGACTCGCCTGGGACTGGAGATTATAGACTCTATTCCAGAGTTCTAGACTTTCTAAGGATAACGTTCTATACTCTGCAGTTGTAGAGGGACTTTTGTCTGCTAAATAATCATCGAAGCTGTTGGAACATGCCAAGTGCTGCTTGATCTTGGGTGTTTGAGCTATGGTTATTAAGGATCGATTAGAATTGTAGCTGACATGTACCTCAATTGAGGCTCAATCCCTTCCGCCGCTGTGAATGATGAACTTCCCGAGAATCGATATATGTTACCAGAGGTGACATTTATGGGCCTGCAGCGGAGACATTCGGAAATTAACATTAGAGCATATCAGCGACACGTAAATATCCTATTTTACTACCAATCACGATAATCTCAAAGAAAAGTCTATTGTTGACTAAAGTATTAGCCGTGTAGCAATGATAGCGGTGGTGATGTATTGACTTTATACAGACAATGAACTCAATCTGTGGGCAAATGGTACCCGTAGCTTCGAGTGATACCTTGCGCGTCTCGCTTCTCGTATCGCCATTGGAGCCTTTTTAGCTTACTAGTCGAAGCCTTATTTCTATGGTTGAAATCCCGTTGAGATAACCCTGGAAGATCATAAGACCCCATTGCAATCGACGTGAAGAATCTAGAACCCGCTCTACTGTAGGTTGATAGCTCCGGACATGGCCACTACATATATCTGTGGTCTGGTCCTCGAGCCACTGTTGATCGTCGGAATTGTCAAATAAGAGATCTATTCTCGGCCCGGAATGACCCTTCCGATATTCATCCAGTACACACATACCCGTCGCCGTTTAGCCAGTACTAGTGCAATTGGTAATAAAGTCTATTCAAGGGGAACGTTCAGATCCATTTCACATACTGTAGCCAGCTATATGATTACGCGCTCGCTAGTCGCATTCAAGGACGATCGGACAGAAATTAATATCCTCCTATATTGAAGTATCTATTCTCCGAGGACAGTAAAGGCAAGGAAAATTACAATAGAAGTTCTGAATTTATTCTCGACTGCCTACCAACTACTATCCACCAACAAAACTTCATCACATCATATAACTATTTGGTAGGCAGTCAAGAATAAATTCAGCCTATAGATTGGCTTTGAAGTAGGAAAGGATGGTGTTTACCTCACTTAGGATGAGCAAGCGAGGTAAGCGAAGGAAGCCGATGTAAAGTTACTTGTCGAGAGGATTTCCTCAAGGGCCTGTTTCCATATCAAGAACAGTGTTACCATGAGCGGTATCACCGAGAGGAGCCCGTGGCGATAAGACAGGTGTTCGTCCCAGTAGGATCAAAGTACGAGTCATGCTCCATGGGCTCCTAGGAAGGGAAACCCATAGTCAATGCTTCTTAAATCTATCCTGCGAAGCCCGGGTATGAATTCTCTAGATAGGGGGCCACGGTGCGAATCGTCGATCATATAGGATGTATGTAGCTTGCCAAACGTGGCAGCGATCTGCCATGACCAATCGTAGAATTGGCCCGGGGTTGAAAGGAATGCTGCTAAGCGGTGTCAGCCCCATTATGTCTCATTTCTTACTTCTGTTTCTGGGCAATGGGAATGCATCAGAATGCGTCAGGAATTTCTGGGGTAGTAGTATGGGGGGCTTGAATATCCACAGTTGCAGACTTGACTTGACGTGCTTGCAGAGGACAAGTTTGAGAGATTGCAGGTCACGGTCGTACTGCCTTTGACGGATCTTCCACGGTCGGGCGCATCCTGCGTGTATGTGCTGGCAGTGGGGAATTCTCATCTCCTTTCCGGTCTCGAAGTTTCGAGTTGTTGCGATCATTGAAAGTGGATTGAAGTGATTCTTGAGTGTCCCATAGCAATGGCTTGTGTCATAGAATCCTGGCAAGATTGCTGGGTGGAAGGCGGGGGGAAGCCAATCTGGCCAGCAATGTCACCATCACCATTGTGTGGCTGACGAACGGAAGCTCGGCGTGGGGTAAGAGGGATCCACTTTGGCCCATCCTAGACGATCTTCCGCCCCCGTATATAAGCTGCGGGTGTGGGGAAGTGAGTTGCTGGGTGATGGAGGGGAATAGATGGTACGGTCGGCCAAGCAGGAAAG